TACATTTCAAATAATATTTTGATGTTTGGCGTAAAAACTATGAAATATATATTTACTAAGGATTTGGGCTTGTCTCAATAGGCAGACTTGTAAATGGATTCATAAATGGTTTTGGCAGGTGACCAAGATTACTATCCCCTCCCTTCCTCTAGATGTCTACCTGTGTAGACCAAGCCTCTGGTATTACAGTTGGTACAGCCTGCTTGATAGGTAATCGTAGAGGGTCACTATCCTTTCATTGAGGCACAGCCCTTCTCAAGCGGAACTTTGTGTGGTGATTGGCCCCAAAATTCTGCTGTGTCGTAACTTTTAACACCTGTGCATTATTTGACAGTGGATGATACCTATAATTTGATAAGAGTATATGTCATTTGAGATGGACTGAAAAATAAAATCAGCCCTAACGATTGTCTTCAAAACCCCTGGAATGGTATTGATGTCAACTGAATGCATCATCTTGTGTATACTGACAGCTTTTTGGATTTTGATAAGTTTGTGGTCACTAGAGCATTGAAATTATTAGAGCACTTCAACAGCGATATCCATCATCTTATGAAGGAATGTGTGAGGCCATGCATGCAGGAGAGATAGTTGTGAAGGACATAGGTATAATGTCCATAATTAAGTCTACAACGAACACTGTGTGTGTGAGCGTGCATGCGTGTGTGCGTGTGGGCATGCATGCGGCTGTAATGGTATCAAGGTTATCATTGGGTACAGTTGAATATCGTCAGAAAAAGTCATGCCTTCGAACAATTTTATAACTAATCTAAAGAAGTTAAAGAATACCTTATTTATGTCATATGACTATAGTTAATCTGTCATGTCTTGACGATTGTAATATGAAAAGATTACAGATTCTTTAACTTCTTTTGTGTAGTATACAATGTGTCTCAAGGAAAAGTAGAATTCACATGTTCCTGTGTAATATTAGGATGGAGTTTTAGTGGGAGGTGTGGTGGAGTAGCCTTATGATTCAAACATTTCCTCATCCAACCAAAAATCCAGGTTTGATTCCAGCAGGCATATAATATGGAATTGCCCACTGTTGTAAAAAACATTGTTGGAGTCCCTTTGTGAGATATTTCTAAAATGTTGAACTTTGTGGCAGAGACCTTTATGCTTGTTTGGGAAACAAATACAATGTGTCAATCAGTGATATTGATATGTATATATCTATATCTATCTATATATCTCTCGCTCTCTCTCTCTCTCTCTCTCTCTCTCTCTCTCTCTCTCTCTCTCTCTCTCTGTATATATATATATGTCAAAATGAAAACTTGCTGAATAATATGGGATGGGATAAGCATAATCTTTCCCGCTCATGTATGAGAAGGTAAAGGGCACCTGCTAATGCTGTTTCTGACCTACAGCAACCAAGCTGTTCCAGGCGGACATTGATAGTGTCAGTAAACTCCCTGCTGAAGCTGACTCGTGTCTTCTCAGGTGTCAGTGATCTCCATGAGAGCACCTTAGCAAGGTGTAGCTGTCAGTATACCTGGAAATGTATAGGGGAAATGGACATAGGATTTGGAGTGTGAGGGGTCAGTTTACGTGGAGGGGTGGGACATGGTATTCAAGGGAGTAATGAGGGTCAATTTATGTGGAGAGGGAGGGGTGGGACAGGGGGTTCAAGGGAGTGAGGAGGGTCAATTTATGTGGAGAGGGACGAGATTCAAGGGAGTGATGAGGGTCAATTTATGTGGAGAGGGAGGGGTGGGACAGGGGGTTCAAGGGGGTGATGAGGGTCAATTTATGTGGAGGGGACAGGGGGTTGTGGAAGATGGCAAATGATGGTACAGACTACAGTATCAATCACAGGTCTGTCGGTCTGACTGAGGGTCTGCATCGTGGTTAGGGTACAAGATGATGCTTGGCCTATTAGCTGCGTTTGTCAGGTGTTTGTCTCAGCATGGTTGTATAAGTTTGTCTTGTCTTAAACCTTTCTCATTATTTAAAAACTGACACCATGTCTTAAAAACATTTGATAATATTTGACTTCTTCTGAAAAATTAAATTCCTTCTGTGGTTCACAAGCAGTTGTGTAGTGAATATTATTTATTTAACATTATTTTTCTTTCATTGTGGGCCAATGAGGAAGTTCAAGATCAAAGACCCAGGATTGTTTTCTTATTAACTCAATTTGTCGACCTCCTTGTTCTCTTACCCACAGGCTTCACATGGTTAAAATTTGTATGCCTCCAGTGCTGTCATGCTGATTTTTACTGTTTTCATTATATGACCCAAAACCCAGATTGTTAGTACAAGCTCTTTATACACTTAACAGTTCTTTGACAAAGCTGCCTCTCAAAGACCGAGTTGTTGAAATGCTATTGATCTGTATGCTGCAACAACCCAGCCATAGCGTGCTATGGAAATGTTACAAGTCACAGCTGTTATACTGCTCTGTCTTCACAACACACTGTGGACGATAAATAGGTGGTTAGTAGTTAATTAGTAAGTAATTATTCATGAAGACAAAATTAATGACTATAAACTGTGTACCCCTCTGTGCCTGATTGATCAACACAAACACGTTACAACAATGTAGGTCTTCAGCAACCCATGCTTGATGTAAAAGGCCACAATGCTTGTCGTAAGAGGCGACTAATGGGATCGGATGGTCAGACTTGCTGACTTTTTGAAGCATGTCATTGTATCTCAATTGCGTTGGTCGATGCTCATGATGTCAATCACTGGATTGTCTGGTCCAGACTCAATTATTTTCAGAACGCCGTCATATAGCTTGATTATTCCTGAGTGCGGCGTTAAACCAAAAAAACAAAAGCAAACAAACACATAACAGCAATGCCTTTAACACAAGATGTCATTTTCTGCTTTGTCAATATTTGAAGTGGGTCAGATGATCGCTGTAACCTTTAAAGACAGCATAATGTTTCTTTTTGAATCTGGAAGGATCAAAATAAAGTGCTAGAAACAATTCACTTTTAAACAACATGCAGCTGATAAGTGAACAAGATGATAAGCCTACTGGTATGTTTGTTTAGCTAACGTGACAGACCTGTCAAATGATACTGACAAATCCGTGTTTGTATTTGCCCGGCTGTTGTAAATTCTCCAGAATGATGTTTTTATTGTTTTATTATGTTCATGATCGTTGCTCAACATGAAAAAAAATGTTTTTTTTAATGATTTTTAGTATTAGTAGTATTTAGTATGATTAACAGCATATATTTCATTATGTTTGTGATGTTAATTTTATCATAGTATTGATTTCCATGAAAAAGCCATAGCCAGACTAAAGCAACTTTAGCATAATGTTGTTTATGCTTCACAATAATTGGACCCGTGAAGATCCGGGTTAGAATAGGTTTTCAGCAACCTATGTTTGACGTTAAATTCTACTCTGCCTGTCGTAAGAGGCAACTGATGGGATCGGACGGTCAGGCTCGTTGACTTGGTTGATGCATGTCATCGTATCCCATCCCCATGCTCATGATGTCAATCACTGAACTGTCTGGTCCAGACTCGATTATTTACAGACTGCTGTCATATATCTGGAATATTGCTGAGTGTGGCATTAAACAACAATTAAACAAAACAAAACGAAACGCAAAAATTGAATGATTTGAGCGCTGGTACAGCATAAATAGATCCAATTGCACTGATGTCAATGCTGATCAGATAGTAAGCTGCTGGTTACATGAAGTTTTCTTGTATTTTCAAGTGGAGCCATTATTTCAAAGATATTTGTTTATTAATCAGTACGAAGTGGCCCCAAGAAGCTGTTGGCACTACACGAAGGTGGAATGTTGTAGCTAACATTACAAATGGGTCAAATGCTACTGACACGTCTCTTTTTAAAATGTCAGCTCTAATGTCAATATCTGTTCCTGTTTCACCAGCGACATGTTTGAGAAGGTTGACTGGCAGGTTCTGCAATCATAATCATATTACACTGTCATTCCTGCCTCGTGCAGAGCAAATTGATTCCGTGGAAATTAGGACCTATTTCAGTTATGACTTTTAGTTTAATATGGCCTCTCTAGAATTATCTGGTATCATATTAACCTATCTACATATTCTGAATACCTTGTTTGTCCAGTTTGTTGAGGTAGATGATAATGAGTGCCAGCTGGTTCGCTTGCTTCATGTTTTCATAAATACATTAAGACCTGTATATTGGGATTATATATTCATTATCCTATGCAATTATTTGCTTTGTGTAGAAGCAGATTAATGACTCAAATTCTTCCAATAAAATATGTTTAAAGGAAAATAATACTGGAGGATCAAATGCTGCCCTATATCATCAGATTTGTCATATCCCTTTCTGGATGTTGGAAGGTAGGTTAGGCGGTTAAGTGGTTAAAGTGTGATCTGGTCCCACCAAGATGTGGGTTTGAATCTCAGTGTGACGATAGTATTATAGCCTAGTGTTCCAAAACAGCTGCTCACTCATTCACTTGGTATTGGGTGGGCATGGGTGGTCTGTTTGTGTGAGTGCCTGATTTTGTTGTGCAGAGTTACATAGTTGTCCAATCGAATGCCAGATTCTTGCTGATTATGAAGCTTGTATGTCTGCACTCTACCCATGCTCATTGGTTCAAAGTGGTAATTGTCCAAGATCTGGCATCACTTTGGGATTTCTTCCGACATTAACTGAATATGACTGAAATCTCACTCACTCACTCACTCACTCACTCACTCACTCACTCACTCACTCACTCACTCACTCACTCACTCACTCACTCACTCTAGTGTACTGCATGATTCCATGTGACATAACTTGGTATCATCACATGTAACAAACATTTAACACTTTTTAATGGAATACATGACAATTTACCTGTGTCCCTTGGTGTTTTGTGTCAGTACACAGCCTCCAGCACTGCTAATTTAGTTCAAGAAGTTTTATTTCAGATGACTGCCTGCTGTGTTTTCTGGAAATGTTGGATGCAATTTTTTCAATAGCTAAGAAAACATTGGTGAAACGTTGATTGAAAAAAATATGCTTCAATGACAATGTGTTTTTTCAGATTTCCGAAGTTGTGGTGCCAGGGCAGAGTGAAGACATCACGGCACGTGACGCCTTGTTGCTATGGAGTCGCAGACATGTGGAAGGATACCCTGGCGTCCAGATCAGAGACTTTTCGAGAAGTTGGAGAGACGGAAAAGCATTCCTTGCCATTGCACACAGACACAGGTGAGAAATGCCTTTTCATTGGTTGATTTGTGCTCTCATGATTAAATAGTTAACAGAACCGTATTTTAATGTGAAAATAGTTGTCTATATCAGGGACATACTAAGTCTTGTCACTGTACTTTGAATGCCCCATTAGAGGCTGATTAGATCCACAATTCAGGATCCCAATGCTTGTCAGAAGGGTGGATTAAACATTAAGTTGTGTTTTCCTGAACCTATCGACAGTTTGCAGATACATGATATAACTAAAATAATGCACCACTCACTCACTCACTCACTCATGACGTTAAACCCCATTTCACCTCACAATCTTCAAGCATGTGACAAATTGTTCCTGTCATTAAGCATTAACTGATTAACGCTTTGAGTTCTTGCCACCCATCCCCATGCTCATTTGTTGCTCTGGTTGGATGATCTGTGCTTGAGGAGGGTCATTTCAGAAGATGCGCTGAACTTGACCAGTGAAAGATGATTGGCATTTACAGTTGATGTGGAATCCATCATGGCCCTGTGGGGATTTTTGGCACAATACTTCCGTTCCATTCACCTATGGAATTCTGGCTCAGAACAGGGCAACAGAACCCCCAGCTTTACAGCTGACAGAGATGAGGATCATTATACCTTTATAGTATGGTTGTTGCTCATGCTGTCAACCACCATTGCCTCTCCCCTTGGTGTTTCTGAGTATGACACCAGAACCCCAGTTTGTAACCTCTGACTAAGAGTGAGTGAGTGAGTGAGTATGGTTTTAGCAATATTCCAGTAACATCGGGGGACACCGGATATGGGCTTCACACATTGTACCCATGTTGGGAATCGAACCCCGGTTTTCGGCGTGACGAGCGAACACTTTAACCACTAGGCTACCCCACTGCCTCCCCTGACTGGGATGAGGATCGGTTGGTCACAATGTGTGACCTGATTGATCATGTGTCATCTTACATTTCTAGTATGGATTGTTGTTCATGCTATCAACCACCAGTTTGCCACTCCATTGGTAATTCTGAGTCAGAATAAGACACCAGCACCCTTTACTTGCCGTAAGAGCTGGCATTTATAGGACCCTCTAAATCTTTAACTTTTTACATTCGTGTTATGACAAGGACACCTTGACTTTCATGGCTAATTTTGGACAGAGTTTATGGTCTTAATAAATTCTGATCGGTTGACGGTATTGTCTAATATTAAACTTGGCTTTCTCACGCAACCGATAACTCAATATGTTTTCAATGGTCCCAAGAACTTACCCAGTACCTGTAGTACAAAACACCGATTTTCCATAACCAAACGCCCTCCTAACCTAAGTGTCAAGAATACCCAGCTTTTTAGTATAACAGATGATCCAGTGGCCACCATCGCGTACAGAATGCCAGTATCTGATAGTATTTTCCTTGCTGCATATCACAGTCCTCCCCATCACATCTCCCTGGTATAGGTGTCTGCCTAGATTTACATCTATGCGTAGTCTCCCAACTCGGCTCATAGCCAACCAGATAAAAACACTTCTTTCTTTTTTTTTCTAAGGAAGATTTTCAGCTGATGCTGTGTCTCGTTTCTGCTCATCTTAAATTGTGATGAACAGTTGTATAAATTGTTTACTTGAAATTACTGATTTGCGAACCATTTCTGCTAATTCCGCTGATCATTTTCCTGTGTTATATTGTCAGTTTTGGTGGCGAGTTGATGTTTAATGATTATTTCAAGTAGATAGTTATCTTTATTGCTGTGTAAATTCTAGGAAGGAATTTGATTTTTTTGGTTCCTTTTGCATGTTTGGGGGATTCTGGGAATGTTTATTTATATATTTTCTTGTAATGTTTATAGAAAATCTGTGACTGTTTAGGTTCAGGAGATATTTCAAATCTGATAGAAAATTTAATGAATAAACATACTCTGAGGTTTGTTTTCATTTGATAAGCAAGTGCTTGAGCAGGATTGGATAGCTCATGATAAAATATAAACAAACAAAGACGGCCATTGTGTTTATCTTGTGCTTATCTTATACTTATCACATGATGTAATACAGTGTTTAAAATTAAGTCTAGACAGACAACTTTTCAACAGCAGTGGACCATTTTCTGAAATTTTGATTTTTCAAGATAAGGAACATTATCAGTTTAATTTTTTATTTTACATATTTGTTTGTTATTTTGTTTTTACACTTTAGAAAAAAACGCTTTCTTCTAGGATCTGTAGAACAGGTTGTGAAAAAACTCTGAATTTGATAACCTTCGTCAGTATGCTGTGCATATAAGGTTTGACAATAAGATCCATGTACAATTCTGTTTCCAGACCGGATTTGGTGGACTTCCGGAAAGCCAGACATTGCAGCAACAAACAGAACCTAGAGACAGCTTTCCGACTATATGAGAGGGAATATGGAGTTACCAGACTTCTTGACCCTGAAGGTGAGAACCAAGGGAAACAACTCATCGTATCAAATTATCAGACACTATTAGAACTGCAAGGTCCAAAGAAGTTATACCACTCACTCACTCACTCACTCACTCACTCACTCACTCACTCACTCACTCACTCACTCACTCACTCACTCACTCACTCACTCACTCACTGGTCGGAGTCGGTGTACTGTGTCTGACTGGAATATTCATGTTAAACTGCGCCACGTTACCTCAGTGGGCTAGCACTATAAAATTCGCACCAGTCTTTGGCCCCCCCCCCCCCCCCCCCCCCACTCCCCCCAACACGCATGCACGTTGATATATAAGTGCAATAATCTTGGACACGATGTTAAACCCCATTTCACCTCACCACCTATTAAAATGAACATATTTATCTGGTAAAGTTTCCCACGCGAGTTCCAACGGAGTAACTTTGTAACCCCTACTCTCCCTTCAGTGTGTATACCTTCCTATGTAAATGTGTGTCTAGGACAGATATAAGTAGGTTTGGAAGTGGGCTCAAGTAGAGTTAACCTGATACGTTTATCACACAGATCTTCAGCCTGTAGATTGGACAGTTTTTATAACCTGAATACTTAAGACACCTGACTTGAAACAAATCTTGAGTATCTTGGCACGGTCGATACAATGCACATCATCAGGGCTGATCGTAGTTAATGTTTGGCCCTTAATAGTAATAATGTAATACACTGTTGCACCTTTGAACTAAGTGGCTAGATATATGTTTACAGAATATCTTGTTGAAGTGAAGATGATTGAGGATTGAGTGTTTTGCCCTGTGATGATTGGGAAAGGATTGTTTCCTGTCTGAATGTAACCTTAAAGTTTGATACAAGCAGAGTTGTGTCCCTTATTTGTGAAGATATTCAGCTTATTGGTTACACACAAACAAATGTTTTCCCATAGACTTCTATAGTAAATTTTTTTTTTGTTGAAAAATAACTAAGCATTCAACAGCTATTACCTGTACATGTGAGCAAAGTCTGGCCTTAGAACAGAAATGAAAACAAAAAAATTGACTAGCTTAGCCAGCCCTGTTTCTGAGTACAGGAAATTAAACACACCACCCCAAGCATAAGTTATCATGTTGAAAAAGATAGCACGATGTATAGATAAAAATCGTCAGTTTTAATTACTTGATGGATGTACTTTTCAAAACCATAATCTTATACAAAATCATCCAATCACACCTGCCAGGTGATTCAATCTGCACTGAAGGCTCTCTTCGAAAACTGCTTGTTGAACAACTGATTCTGAATGGTGTAGTTGAACGGTGTAGTTGAGGCTTCATCTTGAAGGGAGACAATGCTCCATGATCAATGTAATTACTTTCGTTTGTGAAAGTTAGACATTGTCTCTCTGTTCTTAGGGTTATCATTAACTCCTAATTTGGTGTACATTATAAAAATGGAACTGGGAACTGTTGTTTTAGAGTTGTAAATTAAATTTTCTGTGACTGCCAATTAACCAAGCTTAGTCCCCCTTTAAGGCACTGACATGAAGCAGTATCTGGCACAATTTCTTTCAAGTCTGTCAATCTTAGCTTGTGACAGCTCATATGTAAGGGATTAAATTAGTCTGTCTACAGTCCCTGAACCATATTATTTTCCCTTCCGCCCAGCCCTTACTGTAACGCTGTAGCCTTAAATGAAGCTAAGTCAACAGTTTCAGAATTTCCCGTCTTTAGTGTGAACTAGTCTAGGGTAAACTCTGCTGAGAAATATACACAAGAATAAGTTTGGGGGTCAGTGTACTCACAGGCATTTGGCACCGCCTGATGGTCAGTATTGTTCTGTTGGCATTGTTTTAACCAGTGTAGTAAACATCTAAGATCTGTTCCACTAAAGTGGGGGCACGGGTGGCCCATTCATCTAAGGGGCAGCGATATGCTGTGTAAAGTGAGTCTCTTGGGCACGCCAGAAACCTATGATTGTGGGTTCAAATCCCGGTCCGCCCCAATTATGTTTCTAGATTTGTCAGCACCATACCCGTGCTTGTGGGTTTCACCGAAGTGGTAAACGTCTGAGACCTGCATCGCTTCGGGCTTTCCACCCACATTAAGCTGACACGCTGCGATATAACTGGAATACTGTTAAAAGCGGCGTTAAACCCAACTCACTCACTCACGCCACTAAAGTCTTTCACCCACTTAAAACCATCAAACAAGCAATAACCCCAGAACTTGTTCTCCCAGTGACTTGATACTGGACATATTAAATACGAGACAAGACAAAATACTGAATATAATACTGGAGATAATACTGGAGATAATACTAATCGCATTGATATGGCTCACGACTGATGACTACTGCATCAGATGTCATCTCCTTGATTATTTCTGAAGTTGGTAAATTCCGAAAGAGATAACAACCTGTTTGCTTTGACTTTGAAATGGATGCAAGGGCAAACGCAATTACCATACTAAATCTCCTGAATCTGTTTGTTTTCAGACAGTAATACTATTATGAGCATCCCCCTGTATTTATGACATTTGATAATGTCAGGTAATGTCATAGCTTGTTTGTTACGGAAATAGTGCCAAATGTTCAGGCGAGGCTGTAGGCTGTCTGACACTGTGAGTGATTCTCCACATTTCAGCTGCATCAAGAGTGTTGTGAAATGTTTTGACGTTTTTGACAGTTGCTGGTACTACTTTTGTGAAATGTCAAGGTTATTCAAAACTTTTGTAAAGTTTGTTGTCTGATGCAACCACTTTCGGATTCCAAGACAGAAAAGGTCTCCAGTTTTTCATGCTTGTCTTTCCATCAGGTGCCTAGGACGGAATAGGTTCCCGGCACCTCATGCTTGTCTTTCCATCAGGATTCTAGGATGGAATAGGTTCGAAGTTTCTGATGCTAGTCTTTCCATCGGGATTCTAGGACGGAATAGGTTCCAAGCACCTCATGCTTGTCTTGCCATCGGGATTCAAGGACAGAATAGGTTCTTAGTATTTGATGCTTGCCTTCCATCGGGATTCTAGGACAGAATAGGTTCCAAGTATTTGATGCTTGTCTTTCCATCAGGATTCTAGAACGGAATAGGTTCCCAGCACCTCATGCTTGTCTTTCCATCAGGATTCTAGAACGGAATAGGTTCCCAGCACCTCATGCTTGTCTTTCCATCGGGATTCTAGGACGGAATAGGTTCCCAGCACCTCATGCTTGTCTTTCCAACGGGATTCTAGAACAGAAAAGGTTCCCATTATCTGATGCTTGTCTTTCCATTGGGATTCAGGGACAGAATAGGTTCCCAGCACCTCATGCTTGTCTTTCCATCGGGATTCTAGGACGGAATAGGTTCCCAGCACCTCATGCTTGTCTTTCCAACGGGATTCTAGAACAGAAAAGGTTCCCATTATCTGATGCTTGTCTTTCCATTGGGATTCTAGGACAGAATAGGTTCCCAGTACCTCATGCTTGTCTTTCCATCAGGATTCAAGGACAGAATAGGTTCCCAGCATCTCATGCTTGTCTTGCAATCAGGATTCTAGTACAGAATAGGTTCCTAGCAGGTCCTTTTACATGACCATTCTGGAATACTGCTGACAGTGATCTCACTCACTCACTCACTCACTCACTCACTCACTCACTCACTCACTCGCTCACTCGCTCACGGCATAATTATAAAACCTATACTTTAGTTTAGGTTCAATAAATGGTACAGTTGCTCCATGGCTGATCCTGTTTCATGCTGTCATGCTGTAACGCAGCAGTATAGGCCTTGCCATGCTGTGCAGATCATGCCAGTCAGTGTAATTGGCAGGTGAATATTTTTTTGGAATGTAAGAGGAATATGTGTGTCTGTAGTAATCCTTGCGAGTAATTGATGCACGGAAATTGATGTAATTGGATGAGTTAGTTTTTCATTCCAGCCGAGATGTTTATTTGTCAGGTTAATGTATCACGATGTTTATCAGCATTCCCGTGTGTTACAGCATCAGTAAGATCATGCCTGTTTGGAAGATGAAGTTTACCTGACATCTGTCAGGATAATTTTATTTATCCTTTTCATGATTTAAAAAAAGACTGATTAAGTCATATTTAATGAGAAAAAATATGATTAATTCAATATTACGTTTAGTAAAGCATTATGTAATGATAAAGAATGCTAACGTTCCAGACTTGAAAATCATCAGAGTGGAATAATTTAAGCTTAGACCAAAATTAAAAAGAATTTTATTGTTATTTTGTGTATTGGGTGTTTTTAGCTTGTTAAAGTTCCTACTCATCTGCCGAAGGCCAAGGTTTTATTCCCCATGGGTACAAAGTGTGAAGCCTATAATATTACTAAAAGTGGCATAAAACCTGACTCTCACTCAGGCGCTGTAGTAGCCTCATCACCCTGAATGCCCAGATTCGATGCCCCACATGGGTACAATGTGTGAAACCCACCCACTCACTCACTCACTCACTCACTCACTCACTCACTCACTCACTCACTCACTCACTCACTCACTCACTCACTCACGTTTGCCTGCACCAGAGTAGACATTGTAGGTATTAGCCAAACGGCACACCCTGTTTTCAGCAATAAGGTCTCCAAAGCCAAGTTTCTGTTTCATAGGTAAATAACACAGACCACAGCAGGCTACACACACAGCCAGTTAAGTGCAGGCAAATGTACAGAAAGTGGACATGTCCCCAATGTGTGTGCCCAGATGTAGAACACTTTGTGTGTTGGTAGAACGCCCACATACGTCCTTGTCAGAGCTCCCATCTCAGTACCATAGCAACCTTGTTCTAACAATTTCGCATTAGTTACATAATGTTGTTTTACTGTTATTAGCAGTGTAGGAAATCAGTTAAATGTTAATCATAGTTAATATGCTCTAATTTCCACCTAAAAATATATCAAATATTGTCAAGAATAACAGCATTTTTCAGCCCGCCAAGCATGATCACACACAACCAACCAGGTCATCAAGTCATCCCTCATTGTAATTAGTCCTGCACCAGGGCCCCGTTTCACAAAGCACTCTTAACATTACGACTGTCGTAACTCCCATAGTTTAACATTGACTTACGACAGTTGTAACGGTATATTGACTTTGTGAAACGGCGCTAGGCTGGAATATCTGCTTTTGATTTAATCCTGGCCTTTATCCAAGACTAGATGACCAAAAATTAAACAAGTCTAGCTAGCTCTGGGAAATAGACACTAGATTTGAATTCTTTTTAATTTAAGCATAGAAATTGTTTAATGAAAGACGTCATGTGAAAGATCTCCGTGTACATAGCAGCCACTAAGATGTGGGGTATATGATGTGTACTTATGTGATGTTTGTATCCTCAGATTTGGACGTACCCGACCCTGATGACAAGTCTGTGTTGACCTACGTCTCCTCCCTCTACGATGTCTTCCCACAAGTCCCCACTGTCGAGCAGTCACTCAGAGACAATGTATGTACTTCCTCTGTGTACCCATTACAGTTGGGAAAGCATCTAGTCCTTGTAGCTTAAAAATTAGTTTTTAGAGAACCGTTCTGTTTTTAAACATTTTATTATTTTCATCTATTTTTATTATTTATGGTATATTCAGATATAAATATTAAAAAAGAAATGAATTAAGTTTTTTTAACAATACATCAATAAGAAAATGTAGAGCAACAACAAATTAATAATTTTGTCTTTAGAATCTTCTCACCCCATACAAATACGTATTGGATATAAGAAATACTCTTCTGTGGCTCAGAAGAAGAAAAAACTTATTTCATTAACATTACTTTTGTGATGTGAGACATTTTTGAGCCTTTGAAAGCAAGAAAGGTTATTAAAATGTAAGAAATAAATCTCTTCTAGAAGATCTTTTGTAGAAGATCTAATTAACAAATGAGCCCGGAGTTGTGTACTGTTCGGAATCAATCTTGCTGGAACTGCCAGTTGGCAAGAGCGTAGTCCCCCTTTAATTGTTTTGATACTGGTGTGTGTCAATGAGGCAGTGTGTTAATGGTGCTGTGTGTTGTTGCTGTTGCTGTGTAGGAGCGTCAGCTGAAGGTGGAGGAGTACCGCGACCTTGCCACCGCCCTGCTCTCCTGGCTGACTCCCACCACTAACATGATGCTCGACCGCTCCTTCCCGGGCAACCTGATGGAGCTCAAGGTACGTGCGCCAGTCTTATGTACATCCAACAATGTGTGTACTTATAGTGCACTAGGCTCCATGCACAAGGTGAACTCACAAAGCGCTAACATTATTACATCACCATCATAGACTGGCAAGATGATGAAGTAGCATGTTCTTTTACAAGGTGTGGTATGAGAAATTACTGGCAGAGATGGGGTTTACTGTGTTAAACATGGTGCTAGGGAAGCCTAGTGGTTAAGGTGTTTTCTCATCATGCTTAATCCCGGGTTCAATTCCCAACATGGGGTATGGTGCCCATTTTGTGGATGTTGTTGAGCGGTGTAAAACAATACCTCACTCACTCACTCACTCATTCACTCACTCACTCACTCGAATTAGTCTTCAGCAACCCATACTTGTCGTAAGAGGCGACTAATTGGATCAGGTGGTCAGATTCGTTGACTTGATTGATACGTATCATTGTATCCCATTTGCTTATATTGATGCTTGTGATGTCAATCACTGAATTAACTGGTCCAGACATGATTATTGATACACCACCGTCATATAGCTGGAATATTGCTGAGTGCAGCGTTAAACAACAAACAAACAAAAACAAAACACTCACTGTGTTGAACTTGACATTGATTCGCTCAGTGTTTTTAGTACAGACATGAACGCTGTTTTTATATGTACAGTAAGCTATGGGTATAAAGAACTCAAATGGACCACTAATTTTAGTTTGTTATAACCGTAGTTTGTTATAAGCATATATACAACATCTGTACAGCAAATGGCCGAGACCAAAAATTAAGTTTGTAATATACATCGTTTTTTTTATTAGCGTGTTCGTTATAAACATATTTGACTGTATTTGTATTTTATGCAGAATTTGCTGGCTGACTTCAATAGATTCCGTCTGGAAGATTTCCCAGAAAGAATGGAACAAAGGAAGAAGCTGCTCAAACTGTGGGAGGAAATACAGGTGAATACTGATACATCGTATCTTTGACCCTTGTCAGAGCAAAATAATGGATAGACCTTCCTGTGGTATGAAATCACTTTTAGAAAAATGGGGTGATTTTTAGAGGAAACACATTGTTATTACTTGTTGAATGTGACTTTTTAGGTTGAAATTATAGATAAACCTTTCAGTGTGTGACATTACAAGGTGTCTTATCTGAATATGAAAAATATCTTTACAATATTAATGGATGATGAATACCATTCTTTCCTTGTGTGGCAGCAACTCTCCACAGACTCCGCCCATCCCGGGATAGAGGAGGAGTTTAGTCCGGACAATATCAACCGATTGTGGAGCAGATTCGTCTCTGCCCAGCAGGAGAGAGACATGGCCCTCCAAGCAGAGATACTCAGGTGAGCTATACACACAGGAGCTATATCCGGGGGGCACTGTGGGGATGATATATGACGATTATTATGACAATGATAATATTATCTAAAAAATCAACTTCAACAAAATCATATTCTTGAAAGCCATGAGACCGCTGTTGGAAGCGATAAAAGTACAGGCTGATCAATTAACAAGAATGGTGCTTTGTGGAATGAATCATCTCAATTGACGAGTTAAATGAGAAACTTAAAGTTAATAACAAAACATTTTCAAGAGAATAACGAATGGCAAGAAGCCATAATAACTCCATAAATGACCCTCTGTCAATATTTTGCCTTGTCAATGTGGAACTACCATAAAAAGGAAGTCAACAGCTTATGTCAGGGCTAGACACTTACGATAAAGGGAGACAATTTGCGGGAGGTAACTCTTATATGATAATAGTTCCATTAAAGTGTTCAATGCAGTGAAATATCAAGTGTTATGTTCACTGCAGTGAAATATCAAGTTTTATGTTCACTGCAGTGAAATATCAAGTGTTATGTTCACTGCAATGAAAAAATCACTTTTCTCAACTTCAGAAACCTCGTTCTTGAACACGGAAGTATATGATAAATGATCATAATGATGATAATGGCAGCTGTGATAACTAACGATGATTCCTACAGGTTGGAGAGACTGCAGCGAGTAGCGGAGAAGGTGCACCGAGAGTCGAAGCTAAACGAGGACACTCTGGTGGATCTGGAGAGGAAGGTGGCGGAGGAAGAGAGGAGGGTGGATGTGATTCACCCCTTCGAGGCCAAGCGTAGCTGTGATGCAATTGACCGGTCCATCAAGACCATAGAGGACAACATTCGTAACCTGTTCCGAGACATTCACAGTTTACAAGATGGACGATATCCTCAGGCAGATCAAATCTACAGGAGGTGAGGATCTGACATTAGATGGAATGTATGAATGTATGAGCTGATACATGGATAATCATGAAACTGATATATATGTATATACTCAGCATCATTATTGACGGGTCATGCCAATAATGAGAAATAAAAGTATTAGTAAAATGTTGCATTTTCAACTTCCATGAGTGCAGTTCAGATACATCTGGGGCTGTCAGGTAGCCTAGTGGTTAAAGCGTTTAAAGACCCGGGTTCGATTCCCGACATGGGTACAATGTGTAAAGCCCATTTCTGGTGTCCCCCGCCGTGATATTGCTGGAATATTGCTAAAAGCGGCGTAAAACCATACTCACTCACTCACTCACTCACTCACTCACTCACTCACTCACTCACTCAGATACATCTTGTTTGAACCATTTTATACCCACATTGACTGTTACTTGTACATTGGACACGCATGGGCTAAAACATGGTTGTCCACCAATGTCCCACAGTTACTTCTTGAGAAAAAGTGTTTTTACTCCTCATGTCTATAACATGTTAAGTATGACCTCTGTTTGTCTCTGCAGGGTATCGGACCTTCAGACGCGTGTGTCGCAGCTACGCACGCAGCTGTACAGCAACGTGGTGCAGCGGTTGCTGTCCAGGTCCTACGTGGAGGAGGGCCGCACCATCACCAAGAGGAAGGAGGTCATCACAGAGGTCCGGATGGTGGACACCAACCCCGCCTTCAAACACTTACAGGACTGTCTTGACTGGATCGAGGAGAAGCAGGTGTGTACTCAAGGTCAAGATTAAGGTCACTGAGTGGGAGGGACGCAGTTTATGCATCTAATTTCAGAGATTTCATTGAACACAGGAGTATTTTTGCGGTCATGAATGTGTTTGTTGTTTAATGCTGCACTCAGCAATATCACATCTTTCTCATGTCAGTGTGTAATTAATCGAGTTGGGACCAGGACAATGCAGTGATTGATATCATGAACATCTATCCATGTAATTGAGATACGACAACATACAACGAACCAAGTCACTGAGCCTGACCTCCCTATCCATATATTCACCTCTAACAACCTTGGGGACCTATGTTCTTACCCGGAATCACCACAGGTCTTGCTGTCAGGAAGGTCCCCGTTATTACCTGCATGTGTATTGAGTCTGTAAATGTTCTGATGTGATTAGGGGCAAGGGGGTAGCCTAGTGCTTAAAGCGTTGGCTTGTCATGCCAAAGACCCGGCTTTGATTCCCCATATGGGTACAATGCGTGAAGCCCATATTCCGGTGTGATATTGCTGTAATATTGCTAAAAGTGGCATAAACATACTCCCTCACTCACTTTGATGCGATATATTGAGAAGTTGCCCATACAGATTCCATCAGGTGATATCTAGACGTACTTGGTATGATACCTTGGGAGATAAAAATGATATTCATATTCCCACTGATCCATTCACAGAGGTAGTAATGTCATGTTACTTTCTGTACTTTCATGTTAGCTTTCTCCTCCTTGGTGTGGAGTATTACACGTCATTATTTACAACTACATGTTTATCTGTGTTTCAGCAATCCCTCGAGTCAGCCGAGTACGACAACGAGCTGTCCCGTATCCAGGCCCTGCTCCAGGCCCACCAACGGGTCCACCAGGAGATCCTTGGCTTCCGGGCTCAGGTCGACAAGTGTATAGCAGACCGGGTAGGTGCTCTCAGTTTGGTGGTGGTTGATAGCATGAGCAACAAGCCATGCAGTCAGGTACTAATGACACACAATGGCCAGGTCACGCATTGTCTCCATCCCAACAGCATTTCGTCATACAATAGGTATGGAGTATGGGGGAAACTTCATTTCGTCCAGCAATAGGCATGGAGTACGGGGCAAACTGCATTTTGTCCTGCAATAGGCATGGAGTACGGGGCAAACTGCATTTTGTCTTGCAATGAGTATGAGGATCTGTTCTGCCTGGAATCACCATGAAAGTTTATAATTAAAGTGTAACAAGTATACCAGATGCTTAAATAATATTTTCTTTTTTCAGAATTCTTCATATTTTCTCTATGAATCTCAAACATTTTAACATGATGTTGCAACTTCATTATTTCCTGAAGACACATGTAGTTTGTTCTGGTAAAATGTTTTTTAAATGAATATTAATTGTTCCATCTATAGCTGAGCATGTGGCTTGTTAGTTTTTCATAAAGATGTTTTTAGAATAATACTGATGCCAGCCAATTTTGTTTTCAGAGAAGTCTTTCAGGAGAAGAACAAAAGCTTTACACCCAGACTCTTTCCAAAGCTGAAGTGGCTTATTCCTTGTTAACGGTGGGTTCTTCTACAATTTCAGGAAGTCCCTAGATTAACATATAATAGAAGAAAACTTCGAGTCCCTGGGACCCCCTAATTAGGAACATTGATATTCCTTTTTCTTATAGGGGCGGTTTAGTAGCCTAGTGCTTAAAGCCTTTACTCGTCACGCCTAAGACCCGGGTTCAATTCCCCTCATGGGTACAATGGGTGAAGCCCATTTCTTGTGTCCCCTGCCGTGATATTGCTAGAATGTTGCTAAAACCATACTCACTTAATAACTTTTAAATCCCAAATAATAAAATATCTCAATTTCACTTATTTCACTTTCTACAAAAATATTTTGTATTTTCAATCACTTACTGAAATTCCCTAATCTGTTTTCAGAGGAACATAATATTAACCTTACTTTACAGAACATGTATCAGTATTTGGTTTGTATCTCTAGAACACGTCCGTACGCCGTCAGAAGTGCCTGGAGTCACTACATGACTTTATCCAGGTGGCCACAGCAGAGCTGGTGTGGCTTGGACACAAGGAGGGCGAGGAGACGGCCCGAGACTGGGGCAGTCGCAACATCAACGTCGGGGAAGTCGATGAACAACACAGGGTAGGTTCAGCACTTGTTCTCCTCATTTGAATGTGACTAGATGGCCTATATTCTACAGAGTTGTGTCCCTTGGGTTCATACCTTGAACATTATCCGTGGTTAGTCAGCACTTGTGTGTTATCAGTGTTTAAGATGTCTTCAACTTGCATCGTATTAGAGTAGAATTAACTTATAACCACTGCTGTCCATCAAACTACATGATAGACCAATCACAAAGTCAGAAATGATACACCCTCTGCTTTTTTATCCAACAACTTCACACCGATTACCGAAGTGATAGATAGTTGTCAGATCAACTTTTTTATATATTTTGTGTATAGCACAATTGCTCATCATATTTGGATCCAAAACTAAAGTTTGAGCAATTAGCAATGTGAGAGATTAAAAAAATAATTTAAAAAAAATGTTTCTACAACTATTTACATTTGAAATATGTTCAATATGGTGTAAAAATATGAACATCTTCCTAAATGTAACATGCCATGTGAGAAGAAAATTGCAAATTAAAAAAATTAATTACATGTGTGTGTGACTAATTCTTACCTTCTTGCTTGGGGCATGATTAAGTCTACTCTGCAATGGGTTAATTGTGAACCATGAGAGTCATGATGTATTCATGACCTGTCATTTGTTTGTTGTTGCAGGGCCTGGTCCGACAGCTAGAGTCCCGCGAGTCCCAGTTCAACGCTGTACAGGAACGAGGTGGTGCTATGATTCTAGACAGACATCCAGCAGCTAAGACTGTCGAGGTAACAATTTGCTTTACACTGCACTCAGCAATGTTCCTACTACAGTAAACTACATTTTTAACGAACACGCTTATGATGAACTGACGAATATAACAAATTTATTATTTGGTCCTGGCCATTTACTGTTTATATACTGCATATATGCTTAAACTAACTACGGTTGTAACAAACTTAAATGAGTGAACCCTTAAGGTTCGTTATAATCGTAGTTTACTGCATATGACATCTACCCATACATAGTCAGGTAATTGATATGAGCAATGACCTATGTCGTTGGGGTACAATCAACCAAATCATGAGCATTTAATACTATCTGATCCATGGAGTTATCTCTTACAGCCGACCCGTGAAGATCCGGGGTAGAATAGGTCTTCAGCAACCCATGCTTGCTGTAACAGATGACTCTGCTTGTCGTAAGAGGCGACTAACGGGGTCGGGTGGTCAGGCCTGCTGACTTGGTTGATACATCATCGTATCCCAATTTGGTTGATCAATGCTCATGATGTCAATAACTGGATTGTCTGATCCAGACTCGATTATTTACAGATCCCCGTCATATATTGATCTTGTATTCCAATTGTATTCCTTGTATTCCTATTGAGAGCCAGGTGACCGTGTGTGATGTGTCAATGTTGCAGGCGTACATGGCCACGTTGCAGTCTCAGTGGTCCTGGCTGTTGGAGTTGACGGCGTGCCTGGAGCAGCACCTCAAGCACGCCACCGCCCACCAACAGGTACACCCACCTACATCTCATGTTTCCTCCCTATCAATGTGTCTGTATATTTATGCAATATTTTTAGATCAGTTGTTTCAGTTGGGAGCAACAAAACCTAAATGGAGACTAGACTCGGGATAATTAGCTGTCAGAAAACTTGATTAAAGTCCTTGAAGTCAAATTTAGGATTTGCTTGATGCTTGCAGTTGATGACAACCTCATTACACAACGACACTTTCACATTATAATGTCTGTACACAGGTTGGACATGGAGCATAGTCCCATTTAATAATGTTCCCAGTTCTGTAGCCTGTGTTACTACTCAAGATGGAGACTTGTTATTGTTATTAAGGTCCTTTTGTCAGGGTTCTTAAGGCCAATGCCAATCATGCCATAATAAGAGAAGAATGAAATTGTTGTTATTTCTATCCGACCTTCCTCGGTGTTGACCATTGCAATGAGATATGATAGTGTTTCAGGAAAGAATACCATTCACTTTATTAGTTCTGCAAACTTTCTGACAGTCCAAGACAGTCTATTTTGCTGACTATCGCCTGATGGTCGAGAGTTAAAGTTACTAAGTTGACAATCCACCAGTTTATTGTTCTGGGAACTAACATTAAACAGTTCTATTGTTATGCTTACCCTTTTGTTACTTTTTTCATTCGTCCAGAAAATTCTAGACTAGCAACATTTTATCTGACTGGTAACTTTGCAATGTTGCCAGTCCGGTTGTCTGACTGCAATTTCCAGGAATTTTATACACTTATAAATATGATGAAATAATGAACTACCTCATGTGTAAACCCTGCTATTTTATCACCCAGTTTTTCGAGGAGGGGCAGGAGTGTGAGCAGTGGATGATGCGACAGACGGAACATCTCCAGAAACGATACGCACGAAAAATGCTCCCCGGAGAGGAGGCAGAACATCTACTCCGAGAACTGGAGGTAGGTGCACGAATCATGTGACATCATGTGACATCATGTGACGAATGAGATTTAAGGGTCACTTGTCATTGAAAATGCATCATGAAGGTAGAGTTATCTGCCCTTGCTAAAAAGGTGAAGGCAAAATATGAAATATGACGTGGAAGAAAATACCATATTTTGGACTATATTTTCATTCTCATAGAATATTCATAGTTACAGGTTCAGCATTTATTGTTATTAAAAGGCATGCCATGATGTGGGCGTACAATTTACAGTTTATAGTAGATTAGATTCATTTTAATCAACAAAGATGAACAATAGTCAGAACACAAGTTGGTCTACATGGCACTGTAATATGGAGGAAATTGTTAGGTGACTTGTAGTCTGAAACAAGATGTGTAGATATATGATTTAACCACCTGCTCATCCTTGCAGGAAATGCAGGACCGTCTCCATGACTACGAGCGCCATATCTCGTCTCTGGTGGTACGCAGTCACGAGGTTGTCCCCCTTCTGCAACGGAACCGCCCAGTGTTCAATCCAGTCCGTATCCGATCAATTTGCACATACCACCAGGAGGAGGTAAGCTGACATGTTTTATCACGTTCGATAAAATCCACATATTTGAAATTATGCACACCTGGCAAAATCCTTTTGGTATTCACATTAACCATTTTTTTTCAGATTTCTCTTGTTCTAGAAAGAACAGTTTAATATGATAAAAGTATGTTGTTTTGTTGGTGATGAGTACTTGAATTTTCATCCTTCCAATTTGACATACGATCTCCTTCTGTACTATTATATTTGCCTTTACAAACATGGACGTGGTCATTTGTGTGAGGTATTTAAGTTTATGTGACTCTTCTATTGCAGCTGAGTTTCCAGAGGGGAGAAGAGTGTGTTTTGTTGAGCAATTCAGATGCTCTGAAATGGAAGGTATGTTAAAGAATCTTGATCACCAGGCATAAAATTTTGTTTTTCAAAGTATGAATAACAATTTCAGTATCAATTTCTTCACAGAAAATTTAAATGGTAAAGGCAAATGTTGATAATATTTTTATGTGACGGGTACATTGAGGTTATTATCTATGTTCTCCCCTGCACCAGGTGCGGACGGCTGTGGGTATGGAATCGACGGTGCCATCTGTCTGCTTCATAATCCCACCCCCCAACCAGGAAGCCGTGGACTATGCAAACAGGTAGGACATGTGACTGAACTGTGTGCATGCACCAGCCATCTTGGAACTTGGTCAGGTGAAAAACTTAAGCTGGTCATCCATACTTGGAAACTTAATTCTTTTGAATATATAAGTAACTTATTTTGACACAGAGTGCTCCCTTACAGGTCTGGGGATATTGAGTGCTTTAAGAAAGAAAGTGTAGACAGTGCAGCAGTCTGTGAAACAACAGACGGAGTCTACTGGCCAAAACCTGCAATTTGGCATTATCTTCAGTTAATGTTAGTCTTAGTATGCACACTCATATATAGATTAGCATCAGGTGTTCTTACTTGACTGATTTTTCTTTACAAAAATTGGTCTTCTGAATAGTGGCCAAAGTCACAGACTAAAAATGTTGCCACTAGAACACTGAAGACAATTTATTGTTATTATGACATTAGTTTGTGGTATAATGTAATGCAAAGATTTCCATCATATTCATTGGCTGAGAAGTGGTCACATGTCATTCGAAAGAAACGAATATTGACTGATAATTATGGTATTTACTTAAGTTACTAAAAATAGACTAGGAATTACCTGTAAGGGGTATTCCCCAAAGCTAAGCCAATTATCCATTTGTTGGACTCTCCCAACATTATTGTAGGTAACACAGTTACCGTCACTTCCAATGCGCACCATGATGTCATCTGTCAATGTTGTCAGGTTAAAGTCACAGCTGGAGAAGTTGTTGTCCCTGTGCCGTACCCAGCAGCGGAACATGAGAAAGGGGATGGTGCTTGCCACGATAGAGATTGTCAAGGGATGGGACCTCAAACAGGTAACCTTGTGCACATACTGAAGCTCCACCATAGGGATACCGAGTTAGAGCTGATCCTCAGCAGCCTCTGCTTGTCCCATGAGGTGACTGAATGGATCTGATGATCAGGCTTGTTGACTTGGTTAATTGCGTGTCATTGTACCAGACAACATGTAACATTGATCAAATACCTATCACTGGTTTGTCTGGTCCAGACTTTATTATTTACAGACCGCCATCATGTAGCTGTAATGTTAAACAACAAGCAAATAAAACAAACAAACACGTTACAACAATGCCTTTAACACAAGACCCATGAAGATCCGGGGTAGAATAGATCTTCAGCAACCCATGCTTGCCGTAAAAGGCGACTATGCTTGTCGTAAAAGGCGACTAACAGGATCGGGTGGTCAGGCTCGCTGACTTGGTTGACGCATGTCATCGATCCCAATTGCATGGATCGATGCTCATGATATTAATCACTGGCTTGTCTGGTCCAGACTCGATTATTTACAGACCGCCATCATATAGCTGGAATTTTGCTGAGTGAGGCGTTAAACAACAAACCAACCAACCAACCTTTAACACAAGATGTCATTTTTGAAAGAACTAACAAATCTGACTGAAACTACAAGCTATATCTACATTTATCCACACACCATATTTAGAGCAGTAATAGTATTCAACCATAATGGGTTGAAAGATTTACTTAGGAAGAAATGGAAAAATTAGGATTTTATGCATTGGATTCCAAGACAGCATCATCTATCTCCAAGCATCGAGGTTTGATTATTGTGGATCAAGCGCTATTTCTTGGGGAACATCAGATATGTATCCAGTTATACAAAGTTCAAGAGGAGTTTCGCTGTAACACAATATCAATAAGGATTATGTTGTTAATCAGGTTGACAATAGAGTTCATCTTTCGTAAGAGCTGGTGTATTGAGAAAGTAGTGTTCATTTTAACGAGAGTGTACATGCTAATACCAGTCACTGATGTTGTTCCAGTTCCGTGCCCTTGACCCCTCCCAACGTGTGGCCATATGGCAGGCACTGCGACAGGACGCGGAGAAACTCCTGGCCGAGTGCGGAGACTCTGACCCTCAGATGGCCAAACTCCGACAAGACCTGCAGGAGTGTAACCAGATCTTCCTCAACCTCTCGTCTCAGGCAGCAGCAGACGGTAAGTTGACAGACGGTCGAGTTCTTTCATTGACCAACCTTTCGGGTTAGAATAGGTCCCAAACAACCCTAAGAGGTGACCAAAGGGATCAGACTCGGTCAAACTCGGTGACTTGCTTGATAATGTGTCAGGGTATCCCGATGGCATGGATTGTTGCTCACAGTATCAATGCACAGATTATCAGGTCCAGACTTGATTGTTTACAGACGTTAAACAACAAGCAAACAAAGTAGGGGGTTATATCAGCGGAATGACTGATGGTTTGTTCTGCCATTTTAGATTCCTCCTTACGCATCACTCAGCAATACGTCTGTAGTGCGAGCGATGTGATGCTTCATCCTCTGTTCTGTGTCACTCAGCAATAGGTCTGTAGTGTGATACATTGATGCTTCATCCTCTGTTCTGCATCACTCAGCAATAGGTCTGTAGTGTGATACATTGATGCTTCATCATCTGTTCTGTTCTGTTTGACAGAGTCCAAGTTGAGTCAGTCGGCGTCCCAGAGCTTCCTGCAGCAGCTGGAGCAGGTAAACCGGAACCTGGGTCAGTGTGACCAGCAACTGTCCACCCTCCTCAACAAGCCTATCCACAACAACACTGACGCTGTTCACAGATCTCTCACCTCACATCAGGTAAGCAACACTGACGCTGTTCACAGATCTCTCACCTCACATCAGGTAAGCAACACTGACGCTGTTCACAGATCTCTCACCTCACATCAGGTAAGCAACACTGACGCTGTTCACAGATCTCTCACCTCACATCAGGTAAGCAACACTGACGCTGTTCACAGATCTCTCACCTCACATCAGGTAAGCAACACTGGTGTTGTTTACAAATAGTTTGATGAAAAGATGAAGAAGATGGTCTATGTTAAAGTTAGTCATTTTGATTTATATGACCGCTGTCTTTCTCCCGTAACTCAACCATGAGAATCTGCTGCATATTAATATTTCCCAATGTTAATTTGTGGTTTATTGTAATAATTTTACTCCTACTCTTGTGAATATGTTTCTTGCCAGAAAATATTTGATATTTGTCGAAATCAGAAACTGTGTGGAGTCTGCGAAAAGTAAATGAACAAGGGGAGTTAACTCATATTGTCTCAATAAGCAATGGCATTTTACCTTCATAAAAATGTCAAACATACAAAAGACATACCTCATGATTCGAGGCCACACAGGTAGCTGGTGGATAGTGTCTGTGTGCCTTACACCAACATTTGTTATTTGTGGTGCAGGAGTTTGACCGAGACCTACTGAGCAGTGAACGGGATGTGGATCGTCTGCAGCAGACGTACCAGAACATCACGCCAAAAACATCCCAGATTGAATCCCGCCTCAATCTCGTGGTCCAGAAATGTGACCAGCTTAAAGCAATTTCACAGATATATGTAGATAGGTGAGAGACAATTCAAGGTTGTGACAAATATTACGTTCTTTTGAGATATGATTAACTCAAAGTAACAAATTACTGTTAATGTGAACTGTATGATGCTGCTATCTTTAAGAAGAAATCAAAACTCATTATACTAATGAAATGTGTTTAATTAGCTCAAACGTTACAGTTTAAAGAGTCTGAATCCCAATATCTCGTGTTAACTTTTTTTGACAGGGGGTGCAAATATTTGTACAAGTATCACTTGTACCCAACTTGTATTTTCATGATTCAAATAAAACTGTTTTCTTTAAAAAAATCAGGGGGGCCAACTGCCCACCCTGACCCACCGGCTGGCTACGGCACTGCAGTCACCGTTTTCATTTCATGTTCATTTGTCTTCCTCCAGAATGAAGAGCGCCATGCTTGTAGTTTCGAGTCTGGATGAAGTGAAGCAGCTAGTGTCGGACTACGAGATTACGCTGGCCTCACATGACAACATGACCTCTGACACACAGGGTCTTCGCAATACAAAAGAGGAGCTGGTGGTATGTTGAAACTAAAAAAAATAATAATAGTCTTGCTTCTCAGGCATCACCCGCATAATCATAAAATCTGCGGCATGTTTCGTTTTAATTTCAATTGTAAAAAAAAATAAAAAATCTTTATATATTCCACATATTGAACACGCGACCCTGGGAGTGAAATGCTACAATACTTAAGAACAACATGATTTCACCGAAATTATTTTAAACAAAATTTGGTTTCTAACTTGAACAACGAAAAAAAAAAAATAAAAAAAATTTACTATTGTGTTTTTTACATTGGGACACCTTAAATAATCAACAATTAATATTAGGTTATCACATTGAAGGACCCATTGACGTTTATGTTTTGTTTCGAACTCTGCTGTCTACCATCCCTGGAGTTGTAACACTATTTCCACTTCCACATTTCCACATTTCCACCCCCAGGACCTCCAGTCCTCCATCCAGACCAAGCAGCCCCACGTTGACTCCCTGAAGCGGGAGGTGCTGAAGTTGCGGGCGCTGACAGAGCACAGCCGCCCCGGTGTCATGCAGCACCACGACGTGGAGTCGCTGGAGAAGGACGTTGACGAGGTCACCGGGCGCTGGGACAATGTCTGTATACAGGTGGTGGAGAGGTGAGAGGCTGTAAGCGGGCCTGTAGTTTATGATGTCAAGGGAAGGAAAAAGTTAACGTAGTTTTTGTGTTATATCTATGGGCAGTTTGACTTTTCATCAGACCATCTTAGCATCTAGTTATTCATGGTCCAGACTGCAAATCCTAACACAGTACATATATTTTGGTGTCATATGTCTGCAAATCACCTTGCCTGATGTCATGGCCCCGTTTGCATTCTGGTTTGAATATGTTTGCAACCTAAGCTGGTCGTAAGAGGTGACCAAATGGTGGTTACGCTCGGTTACTTGTGTTGATAGCGTGTCATCGTACCCGGACGGAATGGAGTGCTATTCACAATATTGATCACTGGATTGTCTCATCTAGATTTGATTATTTATAGGCTGCCGTCATATAGCTGGAATATTGTGAGTGCGGCATGAAATAAATTATGAACTACTTCTACTACTTCTGAACTATAGTAATATAGACTGTAAACTACTTTAATAACAAATACCCTTATAACAAACTGAAGGATATAAGAAACTGTTTTTGGGTCCCGTCCATTTGCTGTATATATGCTGATTATATTCTTATAACGAACAACATTTACAATAGATTAAAATGAGTGGTCCCTTTGAGTTCATATAACCGTAGTTTTCTGTATATGCAAATGTAACATACGGAAGAAAAAACAAAGTTGGGAAGAGTTCCACCATGATGCTGCATGTTGCAGACTGCGGAGCATGGACACGTCGTCTGACCTGGCCTCCCTGTACCACAACGGGCTGACCGGGGAGCAGCAGTGGGTCGGCCAGATGCAGGCCAGGATAGAGTCCCAGCCCCTCCTGTCAGACAACGTCGACCATGTCAAACAACAGCTGGAGCCCACCATGGTGAGTCCAGAACTTGCCAAGTCTATGAATTGACGTACAGTCAAGTCTCGCTCATCCGATACTCTTTATTTCAACAATCGACAATTCAACACTAAAGATAGGAACTGATTAAATCAGTGCTCTTTAGACCCGTTAATCTGACATTTTCGCTCTCCGAGACTTTTGTATTTGTATGGTTATTTATTGTGTAATGTCCAATATTCGATCACGAACGTTGATACTACTTAATTTCATTTAAATGACTTACTTGTTAATCTGACATAATCATATGCAACCAACCATGTCGGATTAACGGGACTTGGCTGTATAAAGATTCTAGAAACAGAAAAAATTGGGTTCAAATCCCTGATTAGCTGTCATTGTTTCCAGGTTTGTCAGCACCTTTCCATTTTTCCAAAGTTGTACACATCTAAACCCTGCACCATTTCGGGGTTTCCTCCCAAATAAAGCTGTGATGTAGCTAAAACACTATTGAAAGCAGGGTCACAAGTAACTCACCCAAATACAGAAATGACATTCACTTACTTATACCTTCTACATGCCTGACACTGGTGTATTTCAGTCTATTTACAACTCCCTCGGAGAACGTCGCCACCAGATCGAGGCTGTCAACCGTCATGGCGGACAGTACATCCGAGAAGCAAAGGTACTGTGCCAGTCTCTGTCTCCACAGCTACACTGTATAGTTGTATGCTGCCTGTTCCTAGCACAGTATGGATGCCCTGACACAACCACAAGACAAAGTTAATAATACCCTTGAAACAATTCAAATATGTTGAAAAAACAGTAGAAAAAATATATAAAATATTTGATTTTGACAAAATGAGAGATCATTGTGAATCATATTCTCCCCAAACATCTATACTTAGCAATAGGAACAGAGCAACAATTCAGTGAGGAAGGACGAATGAATGAAGATATGAACGAGAACACTCATACCATTGTTTCTTTCAGACTACTTAAATAAACTCACTCTTGTTTGTGGCATGTGTAGCTAGCATGTACATGCACCCTGACTCCTGGCACTGCAGGTTCCTATATAGCCCTGCATGGAGCTGTTCGTCTGCCTACAGCATGTGCAGCCCTCCTCGTCCACCGTCCGGCCTGCCTTGGGCGCCGTCATCACCACTGTTTGTTGTGTCTCTCATGCACTATGGATTGTAGTGTTGCCTAGTGTTGTGTACTGTTGTGTTGTATAGTGCAGTTCTGTAGCTACGTTTTGTTTCAGTGCTTGTCATGTCTCGTCATCAATGATTATTTTAGATTCCAAAATTATATAAAACAATTTTAGCTTTGAAAGTTATACCTGGTCATAAAATATTAAGACATATGAATTACTCACAAACACAAAAGTATATTAATATTTATCTTTTTTTTCTCAAGGATTTGTTCAAGTTCATGGTAACTGGAACATAAGTGAAGGCTTTTCACTATAAATGTCAATATCACAATAAACATCGATTTAAAAATGAGGGTTCTTTTATTTTTTTGTCAATTTCATCCATCTTAAACACTCCATACTTATCATATATCAACACCATCATGACCTACCTTCATCCGATCAACATGTCATCCCTCAATGATTAAAGATGTGCACAATGATTCTGTTACAGATTTTTTTTCCTGACCCCCCTGTTCCTCCTTCCCCTCCTCCCTTGGCTCAGTAACACTACTACAGAATATACCCGCCATCCTCATCTTTCTCTCTCTCTCTCTCTCCCCTATTGTTTTCAAGTACTTCGGTACTGGGGTATCTCTAATCACTCAAGTATGAAGAAGCTACGAATATGGAAGCTAACCTCGGATTCCCGCGATGCAATTAATTCAGGTTGTATTATATGTTGTGTATGTCAGTAACATATACATATAGCATATACCACCAACTACTTACAACAGACTTCAGGGGTAGACACCATTGTATAGCCAGCTTGTCCGCAGCTCATTCTGGGCAAGTGGTTATGGAAAATAACTAAATTTCGAGATATAACAACTAGTACTTTGAGAATGTTACTAGTCTCGGACTTACGGACCAGTGGTCGTGTCTATCCCTGGAGCTTTAGCTGCTCCTAATCTCTGGAGCTTTGTTATATTCTAATTAAAACATACGCGCCAGCAAAGTAAAACGTACATATCTTTAACGTGAACTTGTTGCGCTGCAGATTTCCGTCGACTTGAGTGTTTAGGGACAATCCGTCGTTACCCTTTTTTTGATTTTTGTACCCTTTTTCCGATACCGTCCGGCTTGTTTTGTTTAGTTCCAGCTCCAGTTTTTTCAGTTCGCTGCTTGCCGACACAGCTTGCAACAATTTGGTTACTATTGTTTGTTGTGACTTACAATGCACTGCCGCTCATGCACATGGCTTGTCCAACCTTTCCGCAATGAATGTCAGCTAGACGTTTGACCTTGAGCCACCAGTAAGTAATATACAAATGGTGACCTTGGCTCCTCAATGGAAAGTTTGTTGGCTGTAACGTTTATTACAAAACTTCAGACATCTGGCTGCGATGTTTTTGTTTTGCTTTTGTTTTTCTAGAAATTTTGTTCGTAGGTGCTTTATAAAATAGAATGAGCTAGTAAATGCTTTTAATATATTTTATTATTCTGATTTGATCAGATTGAAAACAATGTTCTGTTTTGGAAATTTGATGTCAGACACCTAGTTTTGGGTGAGACATTTTTAAGAACTTTCCATTCAGTGAGCTTCTAGCCACTGTCAAAAACATGTAATCTTTAGAATAGACTATATGTATAAGCCATGTATCAGTAATAGAAAAAGAAATTATCCGTAATTTTATATATATACTGAATATATTGTTTTGTAAATTGTTGCTTTGTAAGTGCAAAGATCTTGGAATGTTGCTTGCTTCTTTTCTCTTGTTTTTCATTGTTAGAGCTTGTGCATTTAGATGTCTTCTTATGGTGATGGTTAACCATGCATGTTGATAGATATGTGCTTCAATTTCACCTCACCTGTTTTTGACAACATGTCGATCATTTAATCAAATTTTCAAAAATCATGAAGATATCTGGTTGTTGTCAAATTCACTGAGAGTCAAATGAAGCATGTCTTTATAGTTCAAAGGGGACTGGATGGTTATCGATTTCAAGAAATACTTTTATAGATATGCTTAACATTACTTTTTTGTGAAACAATTTAATACATTTGAATTATATTTGACAATATACTCATTATTTAATATACAGGACATATAGCACCCAAAATTTTGAAAACTAAGAAAGAATGTATCCTTTTTGGTTGGTTTTGATTTCTTAGAGGTGATTATTGTCACTAAGTGAAATCTGTTGCCTTAGTTTGCATGTATATTGCGTTTAGATTGCATGTGGATTGCATGTAGACTGTAGATTGCATGGCCAGGCTGTAGAGCATGTGACATTAACCACACTAATCTGATCCCAGCTGACTCGCACAGCTTCAGCTGATGGCTAACATCCTTCATCAACATTTACGTCACTTCATTGTTAACCTGCAAGACAAGAATCGTCACTTTTGATACGTCATTTACATTTCATTGTGCACTTGTGTGTGAGAGAAGTGTCAGTTGTCTGTACAAACTGAATTCTTTAGATGATGATGTTGCACAGCACTTGTCAATGTCGCACATTCAGTCAGTCAGTCAGTCACACTGCAGGTTTTGTCTGCCCTTGTTTGTGTAAAATGGATCAATGTCATTATAAAGTTAGATATCAAGAAAAGGGTATTTTGCATGGCAATATTATTGTTGTGTGGTTTCGGAATTATTTAGTTCAAGTGAGTCCTCCCACATTCAGCTGACTAGCCGTCATATGTCTGAGATACTGTACAAAGCGGTGTTGAAGCTCTGAACTCACAACCATTTTATAGATAAGCTTATCAATGACATTGTCACTGACTTGACGGGACACGGGTGGCCCAGTAGGCTAAGGCACTGCATTTCGCTGTGCAGAGTTGCCTCCCTTGGGCATGCCAGGGACCTATGATTGTGGGTTCGAATCCTGGTTCTCCGTGATTATGGTGTAGGTCTATTAGCACCATACCCATGCTTGGGGGTTTCATCAAAGGGGTAAACATGTAAGACCTGCATCACTTTGGACTTTTCTCCTATCTTCAACACAGTGCACTCACTGTCAGTGACTTGAGCGTATACGGGTTGCAAAAGGAAACTTGATGCGTCATATAATTGTGAAATGTACTTCATCAAGTTGTGTCCTGAGTTATATTTTCGAAGACATATCCTGAAATTTATTTGAAAAAGTTTCTTGTCCATATTTCAAACCTTTTACCCTCAATACAGGACATCCCCAGATATCAGTCATATAACTATATTCATGATTCAGTCCATAATAAACTACTTTGTCTAATCATAGAAAATGTAGAGTTTAGTAATGTATTAATTCCAACCTTACAATAGTGTAGAAAACTCACTGTAGAGCGCATGCTTCTCTGTAGACTCTGAAACTGTCTATCCAAGAGGAACAGTCCCCCGCCCCTCTTTGTCATAGTCACCTGGACGTGTAGCTGTATGTATCCCCCATGACCTCGTAGCTAAACGGGTGATCCATGACCTTATTATTAATATTATGATCAATGACCTTGTACCTACCATTGTGGTCCACGACCTTGTAGCAATCATACCATGGCCAATGACCTTGTAGCTACCATGTCACTAATGTTGTTGTCAGTGAAGTTTTAGCTAACCCGAAGATGTTGCCCACAACCTTGTTGAAATCATACTATGGCCCATGACCTTGTTGAAATCAAAGAGATCAATGACCTTGTAGCTACCATGTCACTAATGTTGTGGTCAGTGACGTTTTAGCTAACCCGAAGATGTTGCCCACAACCTTGTAGCAATCATACCATGGCCAATGACCTTGTAGAAATCAAAGAGATCAATGACCTTGTAGCTACCATGTCACTAATGTTGTGGTCAGTGACGTTTTAGCTAACCTGAAGAGTTTGTCCACAACCTTGTAGAAATCATACTATGGCCAATGACCGTGTATAAATCAAAGAGATCAACGACCTTGTAGCTACCATGTCACTAATGTTGTGGTCAGTGACCTTGTAGCTAACCTGAAGAGTTTGCACACAACCTTGTGCTAAACACAATATGGCCAAGGAACTCGTAGATACTATTGTTGTACATAACCTTCTAGCTGATATCAAGACATTGTCCATAACCTCAGAGCTACCATCCATGATCATGTAGCTATCGTTGTGGTCTGTGACCTTGCAGTGACCTTGTAGCTATCATTGTGGTCTGTAACCTTGTAGCTATCGTTGTGGTCTGTGACCTTGTAGCTATCATTGTGGCTGTGACCTTGCAGTGACCTTGTAGCTATCATTGTGGTCTGTAACCTTGCAGTGACCTTGTAGCTATCATTGTGGTCTGTGACCTTGTAGCTATAATTGTGGTCTGTGACCTTGCAGTGACCTTGTAGCTATCATTGTGGTCTGTAACCTTGTAGCTATTATTCTGGTCTGTGACCTTGTAGCTATCATTCTGGTCTATGACCTTGCAGTGACCTTGTAGCTATCATTGTGGTCTGTGACCTTGTAGCTATAGTTTTAGTCTGTGACCATGTAGCTATCATTGTTGTCTGTTACCTTGTAGCTATCATTGTGGTCTGTGACCTTGTAGCTATCATTGTAGTCTGTGACCTTGTAGCTATCATTGTGGTCTGTGACCTTTGAAGCTATCATTGTGGTCTGTGAGCTTTGAAGCTATCATTGTGGTCTGTGACCTTTCAGTGACCTTGTAGCTATCATTGTAGTCTGTGACCTTGTAGCTATCATTATCGTCTGTGACCTTTGAAGCTATCATTGTGGTCTGTGAGCTTTGAAGTAATCATTTTGATCTGTGACCTTGTAGCTATCATTGTTGTCTGTGAACTTTGAAGCTATCATTGTGGTCTGTGACCTTGCAGCTATCATTGTGGTCTGTGAGCTTTGAAGCTATCATTGTGGTCTGTGAGCTTTGAAGCTATCATTGTGGTCTGTGACCTTGCAGCTATCATTGTGGTCTGTGAGCTTTGAAGCTATCATTGTGGTCTGTGAGCTTTGAAGCTATCATTTTGGTCTGTGACCTTGTAGCTATCAGGGGGCACGGGTGGCCCAGTCGTCTAATGCACCGCGATTCGCTGTGCAGAGTTGCGTCCCCTGGACACGCTAGATTGTGGGTTCGAATCCCGGTTCACCCCGATTATGTTTCTAGGTTTGTCAGCACCATACCTGTGCTCGTGGGTTTCACCGAAGTGGTAAACGTCTAAGACCTGCATCACTTCAGGCTTTCCTCCCACATTAAGCTGACACGCCATGATATAACTGGAATACTGTTAAAAGCGGCGTTAAACCCAACTCAATCACTCTCTTGTAGCTATCATTGTGGTCTGTGACCTTGCAGCTATCATTGTGGTCTGCGAGTTTTGAAGCTATCATTGTGGTCTGTGACCGTGTAGCTATCATTGTGGTCTGCGAGTTTTGAAGCTATCATTGTGGTCTGTGACCGTGTAGCTATCATTGTGGTCTGTGACCATGTAGCTAATATGAAAACATTATCCATGACCATGTAGCTAATCCACAACCTTGTAGTTCCCATTGTGGTCTGTTCTGATAAATACTGGTACGAGATTGGAAACAATTACAAGTAAGTGATCAAGGTGGCAAACAAATATGTTTAGGGGCACCAGATGGGAAACAATACAAATAATGGCACTTGATGGGAAACAATAACAAATTGGTGCTCTGGCTAGGAAGCAATTACAAATATGGGCAGAAGTTGGGGAAACAATTACAAAAAAGTGATCAAGATTACAAACAAATACTATAAGGGGCACCAGATGGGAAACAAGTACAAATAGTGCCCTAGGTGGGGAACAATTACAAATATGGTCACTGGATGGGAACAAATTCAATAGTTGCACGAGTTGGGAAATATTTACAAATTGGGGCACCGAATGGGGAAACAATTACAAGATGGAGCAATAGATTGGAAGCAATTACAAATAAATGATCAGGATGGGAAACAATTCACATAGTGGCACCAGGTGGGAAACAGTTTCAAATAGGTGCTCAAGATAGGAAACAATTACAAATAAGGTCACCAGATGGGAAACAATTCAAATATTTGCACTGTATGGGGAAACGCAACTTGGGTCACTAGATGATACCAATTACAAATAGGGAACTCAATGGGAAACAGTTAAAATAAGGTCACAGATAGGATATAATTACAAACAAGATGGGAAACAGGGTACCAAAATAGGTCCCAAGATGTCAAAAAGGATTACAAATTGAGGTAACATTTAGGGAAACAGAATTACAAATTGACTTGTAGACCAGAAGGTGAGCTGAGATAATAATTATTTGGAACTCTGTAGGGGCCATACATAGGAAATTCAGACAAATAATGGCCTTATATTGGGAAAAATAGATTGGAAAAGGAAATATTATTTATCACAATTGATTGGAAACTAGAAAATGATGGTGCAGTATTTGGAAGCAGAAAGGTTCGAGAAATAGGAACAGGATTCAGGGTACTTAGTTAGTGGCCAACCATTTGAAACTTTTGAGGGATGGAAGGGGGTGGGTATTAATGTGTTCCCCAAAATGCTAGTAAAAGAAAAACCTTTTCCTCAAGTTGTACAACACAAAACTTGTTTACCTGACAAACTAGATGTTCTGAAAAATAATATGTTGTGTGTGCAAAAACATTGTCTTGCTCCTCTTTTCAAAGAAAAAACATCTTAAAGCACCAACAGAAAAGATATACTGTCTCAATAAAAAATTCCAGACCCCCACAATATATTAAAGGAACAAAATACAGAGTCAGGGCAGTAATAAGAGAGGAAGAAAGTTACTTGATGCTCTGGAACAGGCACTAATAACAGTTGATAGATTAACAGTTAAACATTAAGGTTACTAGGTGAAGGTCATATTAAAGCCAAAACATTATGTACCAGTAATGTAAAGTTTCTGACTTGATTACTTTGCATATTATATTAATAAATATAAATGTTTCTCTAGTTTCTTTTTAACAATAAGAACCAAAACTCATCATCTACAAACCCATACATATTCTACATATCAAAAAGATTCAAATAGAGGTATTTGTTGAAATCTCTCCAATGATTTGTAGGTCTATTGTCATCTTTTGAGTGAGCATCAGAAGATACCATCATTCCAGACCAGCTGAAAGGATTAGGTTTTACATCCCTATGGACTATGTTACATAATGTTCACCTTTCAGATAACTGAATCATTGAATCATACCAGCTTGAATTCATGATGGATAAATTGTAATGGCTGTCAGTATAAAGGGTTTTAAATATCAAATATTTCAAATTTTTAACACTCTGCACCAAAAAGAACTCTTCGTCCGATGTTAGGTGACGAGATGGTGGAAAAACGAATATGTACATACACCCAAAACACATGTGTCAAACGTGTTGTGTCACCCTGGGCAAGTGACTTTGTTCAAATGTGCCTCTATTCACCCAGCAGGGAATGGGTACTCCATATGTGAGGTAGACGTATAACCCGTAGGCAGCTTTTGGGTGTATACTCCCCAGGGAGTTGAGAATGATAGCTGGAATGAAAACGGATCCATTGGTCAGGGAACAAACAAAACCGCATTTGAGCAGATACTAGTACCTGGATACCTGCAGTATATAAATGTATAATCTAATATAATAAATATCGGCTTTTATAGTTAGCAGGTGTTAGATATGGGGTAATTAGCCTCAGGGCAATCCATCACCAGCTCTTTTATTCTAAAATATTAATATTGAGATGTAATAATAAGGCTTTTTTGTCCTATGAATTAGTCTCGGTGGCAGAACATATTCTTAGTAAAGGATTGTAAGAGAGTAAAACTACAACACCCTTAAAGGGCCTGTGGGGTAGCCTTGCTGAAGCATTAGTTCATCACGCCGAAGACCTGGGGTTGCTTATTTGATGAGGTCAGTCCACTATTTGATATGTACTTGTTACTGTTGTGTGACGAATGTTCCCGAAGTGTCAGTTTAGGTGCTATTGTGTGTGACATACATCACTGTTTATAACAGCCATTACAATCGCCATCTAATTCATATGATATGCTTAGCATTGTTGCTCTGAGATTTGGTTCTGGCAGAACATTGTCCATAACATGTACATTTCACAGCCTTATATCATGTGTATATATATCACTGCTCAGTGTTGTAGAACTGCGCATACACCCCACTGTCATATATCACATAACATATATCTCGTCAAGTATATCTTGAATATTCTAAATTCATAAGAACTAATTCCAGAAAAAACAAGGCATTTTTGGCATTTTGTCTTATAATATACACATTTGGTCATCTTTGAACCACGGTTTGAATTATCATCAAGGAAGCATTTCTACTTTGCATTCCAAGTAAATAAAAAAATATGCATACAAATCTTTGAACCACGGTTTGAACTATCATCAAGGAAGCATTTCTAATTTGCATTTCAAGTAAATAAAAAAATATGCATACATGACAGTAAGGTGTGATTCTTAGCAAGGGACATCAATCATTTATATATATGCATATCCATATATAGCATATCAATCACCTGTCACCTCATGTTAATATCGCTTGTGTATTTACTGCTACATGGCAGGGTGTGTTATACAGCCTGTAGTTGCCACCAATCAAACAATCAGATTGACAGATTACTGCATGTCATTTGTATATCACATGTCAATTTGGTGTATATTGCAAATATGAATGTCAGCTCTACTGTTTTCACTGACCACTGATTATGAATAATGTAATTAAAGCCTCCAAACTGTCAACTTGGAATGTTTGTTGAAATTTTTCCGTTTCAACAACCGTTTTATTTGAACATTTTGATTTAGATAAATTATTCTTCAAACACTTTATCCTGAATAGTAAAACTGATCATATGTTTGTACAATTCTCAAAGGGACAACATTGGAGTTAAACCTAAAGATACAACATTTGTATTCAAAAGTGCATCAGTCTTTTCAAATTTGTATTTTTCACAAATAATTGTCCTTGATTTTAATATATTCTTCTTTATCAGTTAACAGTGGTATTCTAACAGTGAACTATTAATGAAATGCATGATATAATATGGTTTTGTACAGCCTTTCATATTTGTATTATACTTATGTTATCCATTGTCAGCTTAATGAAACATACTGTGATTCAATCATGTATTAATATGCATGATTTTCTAATTTGTAAATTAATTCATCATAGTATTATCTGACCTGACTGAGCTTTGCTTTTTAACTGTCTATCATCCAGACTTTGTATAGACCTTGATATTGTATTTGGAGTTTAGTGTCATTGACCTATAAATTAAACTATATTAAGGACTATGCGTTTGAGGTAAAAATGGTTTAATGGAAAAGCTGTAAATTGGACATTATTTATTTCAGATTTATGACAAGCGACTGCGGCACTACAGGGAAAGTCTTGAAGAAGTTGACGCCAAGTTGATCGAAACTGTACATAAGAAGTTAAAGACTCAATCAGGTGCAAAGGCAGTGCAGCAGGAGCTGGACACACTGAACAAAGACTACATGGAAATGGTCAAGTGGACAAGTGCTAGGTTGAAGGACATCACAGCCATACTGTCCCAGGCCAATATAGACATTAAGGTAAGTCACTTGCACTGCAACCTTTGGGTGGAGTTGTCAGACAATACCTGAAGGTTGAAGAAGTAGATTTTCCCTTTCTTACAGTAGGTAGACATTTTTCCACATTAAACTTCTCCTCCACTGCAGTTTTGATTCATGGGAGTACTAGTGTGTATGTTTCAACACAAATAAATTCTTGGTTCTCTTCTCATTTTAGTACCCGTGAAGATCCGGCTTGCCGTAAAAGCCAACTATGCTTGTCGTAAGAGGCGACTAACGGGATCGGGTGGTCAGGCTCGCTGCCTCGGTTGATGCATGTCATTCATCCCAATTGCGTGGATCGATGCTCATGATATCAATCACTGAATTGTCTGGTCTAGACTCGATTATTTACAAATAGCTGGAATATTGCTGACAATCAACAACCGAAATCTCATTTTACTTTTCGATCTGTTACCACCATTGCGCTGAAGCATTATCAAATTCACTTCAGTAGCACACTTTTAAAACCAAGGAAAGGAGAATTGGGTGTTGAGTCCAAAATTATATGACTTCATAACCAGGGAAATAATTTCTTTTTGTAGTTTTGCCTCAATGTTTTGATGCTGTTACGAATGCAGATCATATATTTTGTTACATGAGAATTTCTTTACTTCGTCCTGAGAGTTGAGAATACTTTATATAACATGGAAGAGATGTTTTAATGATGTAGATATATCTCAATCTCTTATCACTGTGCAAATCAGAACAATAGAGGAAAATAACTAAAAGTAGTAACTTAGATGTATGTAATTGTTACATCATAATTTGATCATCATGTGGTGTATGTTAAATATAACTGTAAATTTGATTCATTGAGGTATGAATTAATTTGCGTGTCTTTCTGTCATAGCTAAATCTTTCTGTTTAAAATAGTGGTGATGATTCTGCAAATGTTTGTGCTCTTTCTCTATAACACTGGTTGAACAAATTGAAGCATACAAAAAGAGCAAATATTATATTAAATGATTCTTTATTGTCCACATAAAGATTGCTTTGCACTGTAGGACTTCTTGAATTAATTTATTTCGGGCAGTCAGTGCTTGTCATTGGAACTAACAACAATTAAAGTCTGCTGCTTCCAATGTGTAAGTTAGTGTTTTAGCAGCCCTGCTGTGATATTGCTGGAATATTACCTACTGGCATAAAACTGCGTTCACTCATTTAAAAATAAATAATCAAACACAACTCACTATTCTGCACACTTTCTTCACCCGACCAGTATTATTTTGATGGAGCACTTTCACTGTAGCACAGAAACTGAATACTTAGTCAGACCTTGTATCTTTCCTTTCAGTTCCAAATGGTCATAGATGATGAAATTCCCCTACTTCGTACATTCCGTGCCGAGCTGGCTAAACGATCCTCCATGCTGTTTGATGAGGACATGGAGGAGTTCTTCCAGCAACTCAACGAGTTCGAGGGCTACGGAAACTTACCCACGACCTACTTCGGTGGACACCATACCTACGTCAGTCAAGCTGTTATCCAACCAGCTGCTACAGTTTCAGCCCAGCTGGAGAACCAAGAAAGGCTGTTGCGTGTTTCCAAGGTCGGCACTGTCCAAGAAGTCGTAGGTCCTCAGCGAAGTAGGACAAATCTTGATAGTATGAGTGTATCTGTGAGTCAAGACCATCAAAGACGTCTGTATGAAAAGGTGGCTGTGATGACGAGTTCAAATGCCAGGGCAACAAGTGCAGATGTTCAGACATTGATCACAGTGAGGAACACTGAGGTTGCACCAAGGGGACCATTGTTGCATGTGTCAGCCATTTTGAACCCATCGACCAGGGAAAGAGTGAACCTTGTCGAAGCTATACAATCTGGTTTGATTGATCCCAAGACACAAACCTACTGTGAACCCAAATCAAAACAGAGGCTGTCCTTACACAATGCTGCAAAACAAGGATTCATTGACGAGAGCCTTTTGAAACAAATGAATTCCAACTCAGGCATCAAGGATAGGACAGGCAAAAGTTTAACTCTTATGGAAGCAATTGGTAAAGATTTGTATGACCCTGTTACCAATTCTGTGAAAGACCCAGCTTTTGGTACAGAAATGCCTTTGTCTGTTGCAGTGTCAAGGAACATTATGTCAGAATCTTGTGCCGCTTCACTGCAAGGAGAGCCTGTCAATATCACAGCTATAACACATGCTCAAGCTGTTGTTCCCAATTCTGATCTTGCTAAGGCTGATGCTTCAGTAAGTCTCACTCAGGCAATAGAGCAAGGCTTGTTTGATCAATCTACTGGAAAGATACATGACCCCTTTACTGGGGAGAAGTTGACTTTGATCAATGCTGTAGAAAAAGGGATTGTGAATTCTAGTGTGTGTGAAATTCTGAGTCCACAAACAGGACAATGCATGACTCTCACTGAAGCTGTGAGTAAAGGAATAGTGGACCCTGTCTCTGGGACCTATGTCCATGCAACTACAAAACAGAGATTGCCACTAGATGAAGCTCATACAAGAGGGCTTGTGAGGAGACCTGCTCCTCTCTCGGATGTGATATCTGACGGGTGCTTACTAGAAAATGGATCAATACTCGATAAAACCTCAGGGCAAGTAGTGACACTTGAAGAAGCTTTGAGGTCAGGGTTGGTTGATGGTGAAAGTAAGTGTCTTGTTGATCCCAAATCTGGTGATGTACTATCGTTGAGTGAAGCCATGAGGCGAGGGCTTGTGAATAAAGCTGGTGACTTTGTGCCGTTTGGTAGAGGCTCTCCGAAATCTATCTTGAATGCTGTTGGACAGGGCGATCTTAAGCTTGTGAATGAAAGTGTTACATTCTCAGACTCCTTAGTTAAGGATACCTCAACAAAACAAGGAGTAACCTTGTCTGAAGCAATAAAGCAAGGCTTAATGACATCCAAGGGCACTTTCATTGATAAAAGGACAAGGCAAGAACTTTCACCGCAACAAGCTGTGGCTCGTGGTATCGTTGATCAGTCCCTAGTAGATAAATTAAACCAGAAAACCAGTCTCAAAGACAGAACTGGTCAAACACTGACCATGCTGCAAGGAGTGCAGATGGGATACATCTCACCAGAAGATGGTTCAGTGAAAGACCCAAGAACAGGGAAGCTCCGTACTTGTCAACAAGCAGCCACAGAAGGAATATTAAAACCAGATGAAGCTTCAGACTTGCTGAGTCTCATAAGTCCAGTTGTGACTTCAACAACCATCCTGACTCAGATACAACCTTCCCACCCTGAGGCAGTGATCAGGTCTCTGTCGGTGACAGAAGCAACCAGGAGAGGTCTATTGGATGATGGAACTGGCATGTACACCCATCCTCAGACAGGAGAAAAGATGCCAGTTGATGAAGCTTTAAGTAGAGGATACCTTCGCCTCAGCTCAGAATGGCCCTCCACACCTGATGGAACTCTTCCTAAAGGTTTTGATGAGCTGGATGAAAGAAATGGTGCTACATTCAAAGTGTCTGTTGGAACACAGCCAAGAGACACTGAACCCTCCGAGTCTGTTGAATCTTTCATGTCTAAATCTGGTGCTCAGTATTCCTTCACAACCACAACCACATCCCTACCATCTATAACACCAACAGTCATCAATGAGACACGTCAGTTGACTCTGAAGTCTGTTGTTGATCCCAGAACTGGCAGGGACATTAGTGTTACAGACGCCATGAATAGGGGCTTGATTGATCTTGAGAAAGGACTTTACTGTGATTCAACCAGTGGAACAAAAATGCCTTTGAACATTGCTGTTGAACGAGGCTACATAAAAGCAGATCAAATGAGTGATCCAAGTTCTCAAAATGGTGAACCTATTAAGGAAACGAGAGCATTTTCCATCACTGGTGTTATTCATCCCAAAACTGGTGAGAAAATGACCGTTAGCCAAGCAATAAGAAACGGAATCCTTGACCAAGAAAATGGCCTCTATCATGGAGCTGACAAGTTTGGTAGAAAGGACACAATGCCCATCAGTGAAGCTATACAGAAAGGGTTTGTGATAGCTGAAGACATCAGTACAACTGTGTCTGTTCCTGGATCTCTGCTTAGAGAAACCAAAACATTCAACTTGAAGAGTGTGAAGCACCCTCTCACTGGCAAATACATGACTGTAGCAGATGCTGTATCCCAGGGCATCATTGACGAGTCAGAAGGTGTTTATAACAACCCATTCACTGGGGTGAAAATGTCAATCCATGAAGCCATTGAGAAGAAACTGATTGAGGCTGAACTCACATCTGTGACATCAAATGCAGAAGGAGATGTTAACAAGATAACCACAACAAAACTGACAACCCTAGCTGTGACTGCTGTCAAAGATCCAAGAACTGGTAGACTGGTAACTGTAAACAAAGCTATTGAGGACGGTATCCTTGATCATGGGAAGGGTATCTATCACAATCTTGTCACTGGACAGAGCATGCCACTCAATGAAGCAATAGACAGTGGCCTTGTTATGGCAGACACAGCAGAAGATGAAGATGACTTGGAAAGAGCAGAGATAGCTAGTATCCATATTGCTGATGATCAAGAATCATTTGAAGCTACTCTGCTCGAAGACATTCACTCTGAAACCATGACTCTAAGCATCAGCAGTGTCATTGATCCCAGAACAATGGAGATGATCTCTTACGATGATGCCGTCCTTAATGATATTCTCATGGTCAATGATGGTATCTATCGCAATCCCTTAACAGGTGAAAAAATGACTATTACTGTTGCCATGGAAAAAGGCTTAATTCATGGAGAAGTCACAGCAAAGACCAAAGAGGAAGAAATCATGAGGTGCTCTGTCAATGCAGAAAAACCAACTTTCACTTCGTCCCACCAGATAACATCTGCTATTGATCCTAGAACTGGAAAGCAGATTTCTGTAGCAAGAGCTGTGAAAGAAGGCCTGATTAATGTTGAAAAAGGTACCTTCTATGACACCAGATGTGGAGAAGAGATCTCTCTTGAGAATGCTATGAACCAAGGCTTCTTAAACCCATCCAAACAGACAGGTGCTTCCGAACTTGAGAAATCCATGGATGAAGATGATGATATTCCAAAGATTGTTCTGAGGAGAAGCTCCGATAAAGATTCTCCTTGGTCAGTTGTGGACATTGAACTGGAAAAGACAACAGCAGAAGAACCTGGAGAGTCAACACTTGCAAGAGAAGTTCTTCATTATTCCACTGAAATAGAAAGTCATAGTCCATTGAACAGATCCACAGACTTCCCTCATACACCTCTAACTCCAGGTGAAGTCTTTACTCAGGAATCAGGCAGACAACCTCTCGGACTTTCTTATGAGGCAGCAGTGAAACTAGGCATAGTAGACACTGAAAGGGGCAGAGTCAAAGATCCCAAAACTGGAGTGACTATGACTTTGTCTGATGCTGTCACATGTGGTCTAATAGATGCAGACAAAACAGCCATTTCTGATCCTACCTCAGGAAGGACCATCAGTCTAAGTGATTGTTTAACAAAAGGTATTGTTAATCCAGTGTCTTGCAAAGTTGACCCTATGGTAGCTGAACAATCTGGTGTGAAGCAAGCAGAACAACTATTCAAAGGCAAACAGCTAAACCTGATTGATACTGTAAGGAATGGATTGTTTGACAACAGATCTGGAAAGATCTTTGAGCCAACTATTGGCAAATCAATCACATTGCGAGAAGGATTAAATAAGAACTATATTGAAGGCACACTGGTTACTGTGAAAAACACTCAGACTGGAGAAAGGGTACCCTTGAAACGTGCAATGCAGCAGGGTCTCATTGATGGGACGTTGTGTTTAGTTTGGGACAAAGCAACCAACAAGAAAATACCACTCCCAGTTGCAATAGAAAGAGACTTGGTTGAAAATGTGCTTGATTGTTCATCTGGACAGTTATTGGATTCTCAATCGGGGAAACAAATTCCTTTAGAAAAAGCCCTTGCTCAGGGTAAACTGAAGCCTGAAAGTGTTGAAGTATTGGATACAAGGACTGGTGAACATGTTCAGTATCAGGATGCATTGAGACGTGGTCTCATTGACAGGTCAGGCAATGTTGTTGACAAGTCTGATGGAAGTAGCATGTCTGCAGAAGATGCACTGAAGATGGGTCTCCTTGCTATTGTTGGTGGTCCTATTTTAGCTGGGAAGATGGTTGTGGATGCAGTCAAGAAGAAGACGTCAGAGAGATCAAGCCGTCCATCTGGATTCTCTGAAGGACAGTTGAATGGGGAACCAAATAACAGAGAGTCCTCAAGAACAGTGGAGACAAGGGAAACAGAACCATTGACAACAATAGTGTATGCTAAACCAGGTGACAACATCCGTCCTGCCAAGCCAACCAGTTCTAGAGAAGTTCAAGAAGTAGTTATTGAAACAAGTGTGATTCAAAAGGTTAGGAAACCATCGGATATGTGGGAAGATGGAAAGATTGAAACAAAGTTACATGAGGTGGGGAAGGTGACAGACGAACTGGATAGTTCGGAAACATCCACTGACAGATTTTCTTCGGTAAGTGGTGTAGTTGGAGTTGCTCCTGTAGATTCTGCTTCCTCCCTGTTCTCTGCACCCTCTCCATCATCGCCAACAAAATCATCTGTGCGTATTTCTCAACAGTCTGAGGTGAAGGGTGTTCCTATGCAACCTAGTCCAAGTTCTATCTCTGCTCCCCAAATATATACACCCTCTATCTCCAGCTCTGAAACCAAACCAAGTGTGCCCTCTGTTAGTGACTCTGACCTTGATATAGATTGGAATTCTGGACAAGTCCTTGTTAAATCTACTGGTGTTGCTATGACTGTTACTCAGGCTGTACAGAAAGGTTACATTGATTCAGAAGTTGTTGAAAGGCTTGCTGTGAATTCTGGATTTGAGTCTGGGCATAAGATAACAATAAACTGGGATGATGGGTCAATCACAGAAAAGAACTCGGGTAAAACATACACTATCCATCAAGCCCTAGATAAAGGTCTTATTGATAGACCTACATTCAATGCTCTGACAGCTGTAACAGGTGATCAGACACAAACAACATCAGGTTATACCCAAGGCGTGCAGTTTTCTGAGACATTCAAGTCCACAACAGTGCAAAAGAGTTCCCATAGAGAAGGCACTGCTGGTGACAAAATCACTTCCTCTGTAAGACATTCTGAAAAAGTGGAATCTGTGGCTGGATCTAGAGTTACTGATACAAAACCTTTGAGACCGTCTAATGAAGTTCCTACCTTGAATCAGCTTGTCAAAGAAGAACAATACATTCCTTCGACTGGAAAAGTGATTGACCCCAAGACCAGGAGATCAATGACTATAAGTGAAGCTGTTGGTAAAGGTCTGGTCGACTCAGAGAACTCTGTAGTCATAGATCCAAAATCTGGCCACGCAGTCCCACTTGTTGATGCTATCGACAGGGGTATCTTGGATCCCAGAACTGGATACTTAATTCATGCTGACACAGATGAGAAGATCACCCTTCAGGAAGCTGATCTTGAAGGACTCATTCCTCATCCTGAACACCTAAATACTTTACGAATCAACGGCAAAGCCATGAGTTTAAAAGATGCTGTTGCTAAAGGACTTGTTGACATGGAGAGTGGCACATTCACCGATCCTTTGACAAGTGACATCATGTCTCTGGCTGCTGCAATCAGCTATGGCTATGTTGCTTCTGGAGAAGCTCAGACTGCAACTTCTGGAAAATCGGTGACGTTTAATGTAAGTGAGAAACTCAATGAAATCAGAACAACAAAGGAGCATGTGGAAAGGAGGTCCAGAGACAGAGAAGTTATTGATCCATCAAAACGGATATCATTTGCTGAAGCCCTTGATCTGGGCTTCATCGATCTTGAGACACAGAAATACACAGACCCAAATACTGGTTCCAGAATGGCTATTATTGATGCCCTAAGGGAACAGATCCTTGACCCATCAGCTACCCTAGAGCCTGCCCAATCAGAAGGTATGAGTCCTTTGACTGCAGTAGAGAGAGGTCTGTATGACAAATCTAAAGGAGGATTTAAGGATCCTGCTTCCCCAAAGAAAAGTCTGACATTCCAAGAAGCTGTAAAAACAGGATTTTTGAGCAGCAAGTTCTCCATTTATGATGTCAAATCTGGTGAAATTTACACACTAGAAGAGGGCATTTCAGAAGGAAAATTAGATGCAACATCTGGAGAGGTTTATGACCCAGACACGAAAAGAAGCATTCCGTTGAAAGAAGCTGCAAAGATGGGTCTCATAGCTGTTGTGGGTGCCCCTGTAGCTGCTGCCTTCATGGCAAAGGAGAAAATTGGCTCTGTATTTGGATCAAGGAAAGGAGCTGCACCTGTACAAGAAGGACCAAAAGAAAGTGAAGGGCCATTGATTACTTTCCAAACTGTAACTGTGAAACAACTTTCTCCTAAAGTCATTGAAGTGACCCAGATGGAACAAGGTACAGAACTTGGGAAGGGGAAGGCTGATGTCTTGACCTTAATGGAAGCTGTGTCAACAGGCTACCTGAACACAAAGACGGGCGTTCTTAAGGATCCAAACACGAGTAGGCAAATTACTTTGTTTGAGGCTGTCAGACAAGGTGTTGTGAGAGGAGATTCTGCCATTCTTAATTACAAAGGATCAAAGATACCACTGGAGAGAGCTCTTCTTGATCGTATTCTTGATCACACTGGTCATATGGAAGTTAAAGGATCGCCCAAGAACCTAGAACAGCTGATCAAAGATGGAATCATTCAGGAAGTGTCAGTGAACCCAATTGAACACAGTAAACTTCTTGCCAAAACGGTCGAGAAAGTAAGTGTTGACTCTGTTTATGATTCAAGAACGAATCAACAAATCAGTCTTGATGAAGCCATTGACAAAAGAATTATTCATCTTGAAGATGGAACATATGTAGACCCATCTACAGGAACGGATATGGACATTTCTGATGCTGTTAGAAAGGGGCTTGTTCAAGGTACTCTCATTGATAGTGTCAGAACTAAAGAACACACAACAAGAGCTGGTTTTGCTGCAGAAGTGGCATTTTCAGAAAAGAAGACCCTGAAAGTCCAGTCTGTAAGAGATCCTGAATCTGGTAGAAATATTCCTCTTGCAGAAGCGATAGCTAAAGGAATAATTGACAAAGAGGGGAAAACCTATTTCGAGAAGTCAGCCCAGAAACACATTCCTATAGAGACGGCAATGGAGCAACAGTTAGTAACAGCAAGTGAAATTAAGGCTGAGATGAAGACAGGGGAAAAATACACAAGATCAAGTGAAAACATTGTCACACAGACAAAAACATTCAATATTCAAGGAGTTTTGGATCCTGCCACAAACATCCAGATGACTGTTGCAGAGGCAATTCAGAATGGTGTTCTTGATACATCAGCAGGTGTAGTTATCAATAAGAGAACTGGCGAGTCAATGTTGATTGCAGATGCTCTTAAACAAGGCTTATTGAAGGGAACCACTTCTGGTCAAGGGGCCCATGATGTGTCAGTTGTGAAAAGGAGAGATCAACAACAGTCAGTGTATGATACAGAGAGTGGACATTACTTGTCTTGGAAGGAAGCAGTTCGACAAGATATCATTGACCCTTCCACAGGAATGTATAAGATCTCTGACTCAGAAGCCATGTCAGTTGAACAAGGTGTCCGTGAAGGTTTGATCAGAAAAGGGCCTGCACAAAGCACTTTGAAGAAACGAAAGTCGTTTGATGTTACTGCAGTCTATGATTCCCGAAAAGGCAAAGAAGTCCCTGTGGTAGAAGCTATTGACACTGGACTGATCAATTTGCAAACCGGAATGTACAATGACCCAGCCTTCTCCACATCAATATCCATTCAAGATGCCTTTCAGAAAGGACTAATTAGTTCCTCAACCAGAGAAGTAAGACCTGACACAACATTTGCAAAGTCTTTAGCAGTTTTAGATTCTGCCGATGGAGAAACTATTACTACCCCAGTTATTGTAGAAAAACGAGATATTCCAGTTCGAGAGAGAGCAACAGCGGAATATATTGATTCAAGTACAGGAAAAGCAGTCCATGGTGCTAAACGTTTCCAGATCTCTGGAGATGAACAGGAAGGACAGGTACTTACTTCAGTTGTCCAGAAATCTTTGACAATCCACAGCCTGGTTGACCCTGCCACAGGAAGAGAAATCTCATTGGCTGAGGCTGTAGAAGAGGAAATATTTGACCCTGACAAGGGAGAGCTCATCAACAAGAACACTGGTCAACATATCTCTGTTGATGAAGCTATGGGAAAAGGTATGGTGAGTGCTGATGTCGTTCAAGGACAGAAGGCTCAGGAATTCACTCTCGTTAAAGGATTGATCATCACCAGTGTAACTGATGCCAGGACAGGAAAGGAGATGTCCATTAGGGATGCCATGAAAAATGGCATACTAGATGAAAAGGCAGGAACCTATTACAACACAGCTACAAAGAAGAAGGTGCCTGTCAAGACTGCATTGAAGCAGGGCATGATTGAAGGGAAAGATGTGGAAAAGTCTGAACAACAAAAACAAGACTCTAAACAGATAAATGTGACTTCAGTCATGGATTCAAAGACAGGAGAGGAACTCAGGCTGGAGGATGCCATGTATAAGGGTATCATTGATGAACATTGTACTATGTACACTGATACTCTGACTGGAAAGAAATTGTCTGTAGAGGAAGCTATGAAAGAAGGACTTGTTGCAGGATCCATTCAGACTATATCTCAAACACAGACCACAGTTATGTCAAAGAAATCATCCTCAAAGTACAACATTGTTGGTGTAATTGACACAAGAAATGGAGCAGAAATCTCTGTTGGTGATGCAGTTAACAAAGGAATACTTGATCCAACAGGAACATTTGTGGACACCAGAACAGGATCTGTTATGTCTGTGGCAGATGCTATCAAGAAGGGATTAGTCATCACTGAGGAGGTAGGAGATGAAAAGGGTGCAGCTGATGTCAGTATCACCGTGAAACGGCATGGAGAAAAATTTGTAGATGCAATGAGAAATGGTTCTGTGGACCCCAATACTGGACTGTACAGGGATAATGAAGCTTCCAAAACATACAGTGTTGATGAAGGGATCCGATCTGGTAAACTTCTCAGTGATGATGGTAGACCATACAGGTTCAAAGTTGAGCCAAGCAAAGGAATTAGATTCACCTTTCAGAATGCTCTTAAACTACGTTTCATAAACACAACAACTGGACTATTCCATCATGAACTTTCTGGACAGGAAATGACAATTCAAGCAGCCCTTGACAAAGGGTTCTTATCCCCAGTCTCAACTGTTGTTGGTAATCGTGGGGAAAGTGTTGTTATGTTGAAATCAGGCGTGGCACCTGTCATTTCTGCTGAGGGAATGAAGGAGCTTATTGACACACAAACCGGGCAGAAAATGACAGTTAGTGAAGCCCAGGTAAAGGGCATGATTAGTCATCTGTCTCCAACTGAGAAACCAAGTCTTGATGAAGCCTTCACAGCAGGTTCAGTAGACTCAACAGGACTTTATCATGATCCACTGACTGGTGAAACCATGACAGTTGATGAAGCAGTGATGTGTGGATTCCTCAACTTGCAACCAAATGTGCAACCAAATGGAAATGAAGATGTTGTGGATCGAAAACCTCAACATAAGAAAGAAATACTTTCTCTAACCAATGCTGTCAAGTTTGAGATGGTGGATCCTTTAACTGGTATATTCACAGATTCTGACTCTGGAAAATCCATGCCAGTTGGACAAGCTGTGTTAGAGGGGTATCTGGCACCAACAATGTCATCTTCAAAAGATCATGATAACCACAAGCCACCACAAGACAAATACATCACAATGACAGAAGGCTCTCCTTTCAAACCAAAACAAGATATTGTGGTTGAAAATGGACAGGTTGTATCCACAACAGCCACAGAGGTGACTGTGACATCTGGTTCTGCAACCTACACTGCTAGACCAGGATTTACTATAGATTCATCTGGTAATGTTGTTAACACCAAAACAGGTGAGAAGATGTCTTTGTCAGAAGCCGAACATGCCGGAATTGTAGACATTGAGGAGTCTCAAGGTGTTGGTGCTGTACAGGTGACAAGTCCAGCTCCTCCAGTCATTGAGGTATCTTCCCCGGCATCCTCTGTCACGACGTCCTCAGCAACTACCCCAACCACACCGGTGGTGAGTTTTCAGCATGTTTTCACTCATTTTCATTTCATTGCACATCTTTATTGTAGACTAGTATTACTGTAGTGGTCACATTAGTTGTTGATTTCCTTTTGTTCATATCATCATGTTTGTGTCTCATTTGTATAATTGTGTTTCTATTGATAGGATGTGGTAAGTAAACCTGTTTCAGATTTCTCAAAGATAAAATACAGTTTGGTAATTCAGTTTATTTAGATATTCTTGCAATTTTGTTACAGACATGCAAGTTATTTTTGTTGTGTAAATTAACATTGTTCTTTTGTTGCAGCTTCTTACTACATTTTGTTGAGTGTTGAGATTATTAAACTCAATTTGATGATTGTATAACGTGACAATGTCATTTCAATGTTATGAAATTTATGAACTAATACAAGAGTCAATTTCAGGAACAGACAAAGGATTCATTAGGTAGAACCATCAAAGTGTCACCCATGTCCATATCTGATGAACAAGTTAAAAGCACGACACCCGATACATCAACAGACAGTGAATTGACTGATACTTTGACACAAGACGCCACAGTTTCAACCAGTGTCGATTCTCAACACGATGGTTGCAGTGATATGTCTTCACATGCAAGTGACATTGAGAAAGGGAAATTTCAAAAGAATCAACAGCCAAGTCACCCTGCAGGACAAGGATCACTTATACTTGAACGATACATTGAAAATCTTTTGTTCAATTTTTGGGAGCCTCAATCAGAGAGGCTCATTCATCCTAAAAAAGGTACCAAGCTAGGATTTCAAGATGCTATAAAAATATCTCTTCTGCCTGAAAGTCTTCGAGTGAAACAGTTTCAAGGAGAGGATGATGTGAGTGTGTTAGAAGCATTGTCATCAGGCCAGATGGACAGGAAGTCAGGCCGAGTCGTTGACATGAACTCAGGCTTGGTAACCCCAGTCCTTGAAGCTCTTAAAACAGGAGTCCTGATGATCCATGAAGATGATGCTTGTGATTCCAGCACTGTAGATGCAATATCAAAAGAACTGGGAGAGGGACTTTTCCAGCTTGTTGTGAAAGGAGAGGCAAGAATGTCTTTGAGGATAATGGACAGGAAGAGTGGAAAGAAATACTCAGTTCCAGTAAGCATCCAGCAGTCACTGATGTCCACAAAAGATGCGACTGTGAAGGACACTGTGTCAGGCAAATGGATGAATTGGGAGGATGCCAAAAGAGTGGGTTTAGTTTTGGATGCCCGTCCAGTAACACTGCAGCAAGCAGTGCTGACATATCTCTCTAAGACAAAGAAAGATCAGTTTTACAAACCAGGTGAATGTGGAACTTTGCTTACTCTTGAGCAGATGATTGACCAAGGTTTTATTGATACCAATAAAAAAGAAATCTTTGACAATGAAAACAATGAATGGGTTACTGTTGAAGAAGCTGTATCACGAAAGATACTTGATACACAGACAGGGAAAGTGTTTCACACTTCCATTGGGAAGGCATTACCTCTTCTTGATGCGATGGATAGTGGATTAATTGTGTCCAGTAAGTTAAATTCAGCCAAGTCTCCAACATCAAATATGGCAAATGGGACAAATGGAAAGAGGTTAAACATCCCCAATGGTGAAAGACTGCCTAATTCTATTGGAATCCTTGAAGCTTTAGAAAACGGAAGTTTGGATCCGTTGACAGGAGAACTGTTCACTGATGGAGAAACATATTCCTTTGAGGATGCATACGAAAGTGGGTTGCTTTCACACAAAGATGTGTATGTCGTAGATCAAGGAACGGGACTGGTGTACTCTTTCCATGAAAGCATCAACCTAGGATTTGTGGATATGAAGTCTGGTGGTATATATGACACAGTAAGTGGTGAGAAACTGACTATTTACAAAGCCAAACAGAAGGGTTTGTTGAGAAATACGCCACAAGCTTTCCTTCCTTTGATTGTAGCATTCCAGAGTGGGATCTTTGACCCTGAGGAAAAAGCAGTCCAGCATCCTGTGACGAAACACTTCATATCTCTGACAGAAGCCATTGCTGAAGGTCTGATCAACCCTGCTTCCAGACTAACACATCCAGTCACCATGGAAAAATTCACTTTGCAGGAAGTTATTTCAAATGGTTCTTTGAATCTTGATACACTTGACATTGTGATCCCAGGTGGAAGGAAGATTTCATTGTTTGAAACTATCACCCCTGGAAGAAGGAGATCTTCTTATGCAGGTGACTTTGGTAGGAAATCTAGCCTTACTCTTGATGAGGCTATTACCAGAGGCATGTATGATCCCGTTTTGAATTGTGTAACATCTAAAGACAAATCAGTTCCACTGAAAGATGCATTGAAATCCAATCTCATCCACACAGACTCTCTTGTCAGAGACCCTTTCAGCGGGGATATTCTTTCTTTAGGAGAAGCCCTGGACAAGAGAATAATTGATCCAGAATCAGGCAAAATGATTGATGCTACAGGACAAGCAATAGCTCTTAACTTTGCCATGGACAAAGGACTGATCCTCAGGTCAAAAGCTCCTCTTGGATTATCCTTGTCTGAAACTCTTGATGAAGGTCTGTTTAATGTCATTTCAAACAAGTTTCTTAATCCAGATACAAACCAAGAGGAAGAACTGTCAGCTGCTCTTCAAAATGGTATAATTGACCCAGATCTGATCAAAGTCAGAGATACAAGCACTGGGATGTTACTTAACTTTAACTCAGCAGTGGACAATGGTCTTTTGAATCTGGATCAGGGTACTTGCATGGATACTGCTGAGGGTGAGGACTACAACTTGATAGATGCTATGGACAAAGGAATCATCATAGACACTTGTAACCAGCCTAATATTACCCTCCAAGAAGCAATTGAGGAAAATATTCTTGATCTTGACACCTGTACATTTAGAGATCCTGTCAGTGGTTTCATTGTTCAGTTAGATGATGCGATGGAGTCTGGACTTATAGACAGACTTTCTGTTAGTGTGAGAGATACATCAAGTAATACTCTTGTAACACTTGATGGAGCCATTGCAGAAGGCCTAGTTGATTCTTCAACAGGAATCTACACAGATCCAGAGTCTGGTAGAAAACTGACTTTTAGAGAAGGTTTTGAGAAAGGTCTCATTTTCTCTGACTCTTGTATTTCGGATGACAGTTTGATGGAAGCTATAAGACAGGGGATATACAGTGAGAAAACTGGAAAGTTTATTGAACCATCTACAGGAAAAGTTAGGGATCTGAGTGAAGTTTTCAGAGAAGGACTCATTGACTCGGACAGGCTTAAAATCCTTGATAAAGGAAACAAGAAACTTCTGACATTCAAGGAGGCAGTAGATGCCAAGATTATTGATGTTAAGAATGCTCTGGTTGTGGACTCTGAAACCAGTGAAATGGTGAATCTTAAGGAAGCCCTTGATCGAGGTTTAATCCAGGAGAACATTAGTACCATGACTCTGTCCTTGAAACAAAGTGTTGATGGACAACTACTGCAGATGAACCAAGGCACAATCCTTGATCCATTATCTAAAAAGCCTCTTTCATTGAAAGAATCTATAGATATTGGTCTCATTGACATATCAGATGTATTATTCAAACAGCCTAACAGTCAGACCTACGAACCTCTCTCTGATGTATTAGCTAAATCTGCAGATATTGAAGAAGACCAAATTATCGTTGATTCATTGGGAAACAAAGTTGATATCTCCCAAGCTTTCAGTGACCATGTTCTTTTTGAAAAACCTCCATCTGGCTTACCATTGGCTGATGTTTTGGAAATAGGACTGTATGACTGTAGAAAACAAAGATTTTGTGATCCAGTCTCTGGGAAAGATCTGACCCTTCAAGATGCTATCAGTAAGAAACTTATCAACCCAGACCTACCCCAAGTTGTTGTTCCTGAAGTTGGAGATTTTTCCCTGAAGCAGGCTTTGGACAAGGGCCTAGTCGATCCACACACTGGCAACTACATTGCTTCAGCTAGTCCACTGTCTCTTAGTGATGCCATGACTACAGGCAGACTCATCACTTCCGACCCATCAACTAGTGGAAGAAAGCAAAATATTATGCAAATGCAGGGCATGACATTTTCAGAGACAAATGGAAGGAGTCAATCTGCTCCAAATGTCTACCAGCCAGATGTTTCCCCTTCTGGAAGTGGTAAGCAGGTGTTTGACGAACGTTCAAGCCTTAATGTGACCGTACCTATTCAGGCATTTTCAAAGGATGGGAGGTTCTCAGTGAAATCAATGGAAGGACTTGCTTTCAGAGATTCAGATAGGGACAGACAAGTTGAGAAATTGAAAGCCCCAGATTTCTTTGTTGGGGATTCCAAGAACTCATCAGACATTCCTCAACAAGGGACCAAAGACTATGGCAAAGATACGGTACAGATGGGAGAGATTCCTGTACCTGGGCTTCCAAATGAACATTCTAACTTGTCTGTGAAGGGTGATAAAGGATTGGGACCAAAGGACAATAAGGCAGGAAATGAGGCAACTGTATGTGTTTCTGGAGATGTCAGGGCAGACTCTCCTGAGAAAAGTGTCCATATTCCTGGAGTGCAATTCAAGGAATCTGTTCACACTGACAAAGGTGTGGTTCCCAAACAAGACGCAGCAATGGCAGCAGTTCAGAGAGACCCACATATACACAAGACAGTCAAAGCTGTGAAGGATACTGATGCACAGTTTTCTGTTTGTGATGAATATGGCCTACAGTCTCCTAAAGATGAATCTAAACTCTTCATAAAAGGAGTTCCAAGAGCAAAATCTGCTGATAGTTTACGAGATGCAGGTCATCATATGGAGAACACAGTTCCTGTTTCAAGTTCTTTAGATGATGATTCGGTTTCACCATTGGGACAGAAAATTACAGATTGTACAACAGAATCACACAAAGATCCATCAAAATCTGACTTCTCAAGGTCACTGAGTAGCCCAGCAAAGGTGTCAGCAGCAGAAAGCTTCACTAAGGATTTACATCAAGTCAAATGGACACCCCCATCAAGGGAACTGTCAGCTTCCTTGGATTCTTTAATAGAAAACGCTGTAAAGAAACAGAAATATGGTCAAAAACATTGGACTTTGTTTGACTTACTTGAGAAAGGATACTATGAAAATGACACAGGGCGATTTGTAGATCCAAAAACAGGGGAGAGATATTCACTTGTGGAAGCTATAGAGGCTGGTCTGATTGATCACAATGCTAAAGTAATCTCTCCATGCAGTAAGCAGCCATTAACACTCCAGGATGCCATATCTAGAGGAATAATTGACCCAATCTGTGGAACTTACCATGACCAGAACATGCATAAAGACCTCACACTGCAGCAAGCTAAAGATGTGGGTTACATCTTTAAGGAGAGAGATTCTTCAAAGAGTGCAGTTGAGATTTATGTCGAAGAATTCTTATCCGAGTCAACTTCGACTGGAAGAAAGAAACTAGAAGAAGCCTTTGAGAGTGGCATACTTCATAGATCTAACTCACAGGTCATCGATCCAGATACTGTCCAACCAATTACTTTGAGAAGAGCTGCTAGTTTAGGCATGATTGATGTCAAGACTGGTAACTACAAGAACCCTCAAACAGGTGAATGCATGTCATTAGCTGATGCTGTACAAAGAGGCTTCATTCTGAGCCCTAAAGGACTAAGTCTTTACAGTGCAGTGATGAAAGGACTATACGATTCATCTTCTGGGCAGTTTGTAGGACCAGTGAGAACTGATTCTTTGAAGGACCTGATTGAAGATCAAGTCATCACTCCTCTTTGTGTTGAAGTAAGGGACCTTAGTCATGACAGTGTGATATCCCTAGGTGAGGCAATAAAAAGAGGATTGATTGATCCTGACAGTGGCTGCTATGTTAACCCCTCCAGTAACCAGTCGTTTGACTTCAATGATGCTATAGCTGCTGGACTTATCCTCAGTAGTAGCTCAAGAGAAGGCTTGCAAGAGTCTTCACAGTTGAGGCAGAAACAATCTGCACGAGGAGATGCACTTCCAGAGAAAGATCAGACTCGAGTATCCAGTGATGATGATAGGCCTAAACCAGGTGTCCTGACATCAGCTGACAAGAAGACAAAACCAGAAAGTGCACCAACTGAGGCTGATAAGATTAGCAATCAATCTGCACCTGAAGTTGTTTGTACAGCTCTTGCAGCCTCCAAAAAAGACACAGTTGGGATAAGAAAACCACTTCAAGCTACATTTGGTGTTGCATCTACGACAGAGGTTGATTCAGGTGTAGTACTGTCAGGAGGATCATGGGCTGAAAATATACAAAAACCTATGACAGATGTTTCTTACATCAATGAAAACAACCAGGAAGATGGTTCACAAGTTCATCACAACTTCAGAGAAGTTTTCAAGGTTGATGATCATGGAAGGAGCGTTATTTCAGAAGGCAATGACACTAGTAGAAGAAATGATTTGGAAAAAAGTTACCATGGTGAAAAAGATGGACATCAAGTCAGTGAAACTAGCAGGAAGGATGATTCAGAAAATGATGAAAATGGCCGAAATGAATCAAGACTTGTTGGAAAGAATGGAAAAGATGTTCCAAATATAAGTGGAAGTTCCAGAAAAGTTGTTTCAGAACTTGGTGAAACTAGCAGAGATGTACCAAAAGTTGGTGGAAATGATGGAAAAGATATTCAAAAAGTTGATGGAACTTCCAGAAAAGATGTTTTAGAACCTGGCACAGATGTGTCAAATATTGGTGGAAATGATGGAAAAGATATTCCAAAAGTTGATGGAGGTTCCAGAAAAGGTGTTTCAGAACTTTGCAGAGATGTGTCAAATATTGGTGGAAATGATGGAAAAGATATTCAAAAAGTTGATGGAAGTTCCAGAAAAGGAGTTTCAGAACTTGCCAGAGATGTATCAAGAGTTGTTGGAAATGATGGAAAAGATATTCCAAAAGTTGATGGAAGTTCCAGAAAAGGTGTTTCAGAACTTGCCAGAGATGTGTCAAATATTGGTGGAAATGATGGAAAAGATATTCTAAACGTTGATGGAAGTTCCAGAAAAGGTGTTTCAGAACTTGCCAGAGATGTGTCAAATATTGGTGGAAATGATGGAAAAGATATTCTAAACGTTGATGGAAGTTCCAGAAAAGAAGTTTCAGAACTTGCCAGAGATGAATCAAGAGTTGTTGGAAATGATGGAAAAGATATTCCAAAAGTTGATAGAAGTTCCAGAAAAGGTGTTTCAGAACTTGCCAGAGATGTGTCAAATATTGGTGGAAATGATGGAAAAGATATTCAAAAAGTTGATAGAAGTTCCAGAAAAGGAGTTTCAGAACTTGCCAGAGATGTATCAAGAGTTGTTGGAAATGATGGAAAAGATATTCCAAACGTTCCTGAAAGTTCCAGAAAGGATGTTTCAAGAGTTATTGAATATGGCAGAGATGATGTCAAGGTAAAAACACATGTAAAAGATTTGTCAAATGTGGATGAAGATCATGATGAAAGGGGAACTAAATTTGAAAATTTAATCAAAGATTCATCCCCAAGTGTTACTCCTTATTCCAAGGAGATGGTACCTAACATGGCAGAAAGAGATGGTGTCAAGCAAAACGTGGATCTCAAACCATCCCTCAAGGTTGATTTTAGGAATTCAAATGGAGATATTGACAGACCCAACATCCAGATCAAAACTAGTGATGAAGCTGAAGTTGATACGACCAGAACATCGAAACCCAAGAAATCAGAAGGTGGGAAAGCAGGCAGAATGGTCAGGTTCAAGGACATTGAATCAGAGAGTGATTCCAATGACTCAGTTCCATGCTCACCACATGAGAAAATCCAAAGGCCATCAACCCTTGGCAGTGACCTAAAACAGAAGGTCGACAGAGCTCGTACCATCAGCTGGGACGAAAGTGATGCAAGCACCCCAGAGAGTGAGGCCAACAGGCTGAATGAGCTCATTTTGAAGATGAACATTAAAGCAGGCAACACAGCCAGGGAAAGGAGAAAGGTACTTGGCATGATCAACATTTCAGTTCGAATGCCATCTGCTTGCTGTTGAATTTTTGCCGCCATGGAGTTAAATCTTGTCCATTTGGATAGAAAATGGATGAGAGTAGTGCATTTTGGATTTATGCCTGTGATCAAGTTATTTCTGCATGAAGGTTTTTCATTCAATTTTGAATAAAATGGATTAAAATTTACTAACTGATGACATGGCCTGGTCTGGTGTCATGACAAGGAGCAACTGATCTCACTGAGACAAGACAAGACTATCGTCTCAGGCATGGTGAACCAGGCTTTTTGATCCAACATATCCACTAACAGATGTGAACGTGTTTGCAACGTCCGCATGATTTGAATCCAAGGAATGTTTTACTTTTAGTTCCTTTGTGTTTTACATCCAAGACTAACTTAATAGTTGTATCAGTTATGCATGGTGTGATTAGTCGATTTACACTTTTGATATCACTGAACAGTCAGCTCATTGATTGTATAAGTATTCTGAAGTATATGCCTTTCTAAGAAATGAGGGTCATGTTAAAAGCTGAATAAGCCTCTCTCAAAGGATGAAATGGGATAAACAGCCAATGTTGAGTGAAGAACCATCAAGAAATAGATTTGTTTTGAATGAGTCCACAAATTCACTATCAAATTTGTTAAAAAAAGATTTTCATGATTTTCTTGAATAGTAACTTGAAAGTAAACTATTAAAGATATAAAAAAACTTTGTTACTCTGGGAAGATTGGGAAGAGGTTTAAATTTATCCTTGGTTCGTTGTACTTATGGTTTTTCACACGATTAAACGCAAAACATGTTTCGTGTCAGATTTTAGAATTTGTCAAATATTTCTCAGCACAGTATCAATTGTATGTCAAATGTTTGCAAAGAGATTCTGACTGTAAAGTCTTATCATTGATTTAAGTTTAATCAGATGTTTCAGTGTCACCATATGTTGATGTTAGTTGTACATTATGTGTCACACTTAATGAGCATTACGTTTTGATTTTCTTATGTATGTTTTGTAGATTTATAGATAGTAAGACTTTGCTTGACAATACTCATTGACCTCATCAGGTGGCATCAGTAATGAGCGGTTTAGTTGACGTGAAAATGTGCCGTCTATTCTCAGATGATACAAGATGAGATGAACTTTGTATTGTACAAGAACAGTCCCATGAGTGTATTTATTATGTGTTTTTTCAATGTTTGGGAAATAAATATGTGTTTGAAATATTTACATGTTGACAAGACAGATAGGGATGTGATATTGTTTTTGCATTGTGCAATATATATTTGAGTGAAACATTTAGAAACACATACAGGTGTTGCCAAATTGTAATGAATAGTCCATATTCTGATTTGCAGGATCTCATGCAGTTCTAACTTTTGCTAATCACGTGACACAAGTCACTCTGTCCAGTTAGTGACATCGTTCTTGGTCATTGACCAGCTGTATCCAGGGTGTAGAATTTATATTATATACTTTTGAGATGTCAACATGGGATATGGAACTGTGGTACAAATCTAGATCGCCACTATGAGTTTGACAGCAGCCATTTTGACCTCTAATGTGTCCTTTGTGACGCGATCACAAACTAGAGTGGAAGTCAGTATTTTTATTATGGTCTTACTCCCCATAGATCCTGTACCATAGGACTATGTGGATACAATGTGTGACCTTGCAGATTGTTGATTACTGCTCATGCTATCAGCCACTGGTTTGTCTGGAACCACGATGACAGGCACCCATGACGGAGCTATGATATTACTGGATGCGTGACAACAATACTCCGGGGGCGGTCGGGTAGACTAGTGGTTAAAGTGTTTGCTGGTCACGCCGAAGATCCGGGTTTGATTTCTGACATGGGTACAATGTGTGAAGCCCATTTCTGGTATCCCCCGCCATGATATTGCTGGAATATTGCTAAAAGCGGGGTAAAACTATACTCACTCACTCACTCAACAACACTCCCACACCTTCAAAATGAACTTACAAAGCCTGATACCATGCTATGTGTTTAAATCAAATAGCTGATATCAAGATTTGTTAATCCTTTCACATACAGAGAACGAAAAGGACATTTTCACCATGGAATTCTCTTTATATATTTGAATGTTTATCTTCTTGATGCCCTTGGTGTTTTCCAAGAAAATACTTTTTACACTTTTTGTCTGCTTTGACCTCTACTGTTTGTTTTTTGTTTGGTATATTCTTATGTGTTTGTTTGTGTGTTAAAGTTTATCACTTATATTTCTCTATTTAGGTACACCGAGAGAATTGTCCAGATCAGCAGCCAATTAATGAACCTCTGTTTCAGACTGACAATGTTATATTCTGCTTGCACGTGTGTGTGGTCTTGTGTGCATGTGAAAAATGTTGATTGGATGTTTTTAGAATTTAGACAGTTGTTTTAAACTTAAACACTTATACTACTCAACATTTGCGAAAGACCGAAATAGTCATCTTTAGTCAAAGGTGTGGTCCTTAGAAAATTTTGAGTAGTAAAGTAATTGTTATGGGACTCATAGCTTCCATTTCACCATCCATCATACATTTTATGTTCTTATTAATATGAATAAAAATATATTTATATTTTGTTAAAAAGAGATTAATTGGACTTTTAAATGTTATTAATTGAAAATATATTTTATTTTTGTAAATTGGAAACTCAATTTTATTTTGACTCCTAAGATTTCCATAAAGTGAAGATGATTCCAATGTTTATAGATTTGCATAAACTGAAGATATTCAAGTGAATAAGTCTTTTTTTGATAGTGGAACTATTTAGATTAAGTGATACTGACCTGTGTGTGTCTATGGCATTAGGGGCGTCTGGCGGACTCCTATGAGAAGCTGATGCAGGATCTGCACAATGAGCAGAATCGTATATCGGACTTCGAGCAGCTTCTGAAGGAGGACCAACAGATGGGAGACGAGGCCTACAAGGTTCAGAGTCAGCTGGAGGCTCACAAGGTAAACAACTGTTGCAGGTCACAAAGTGACATCACGCCAAAGGCCCAGGTTTCGATTCTTAACATGGGTACAATGTGTGAAGCCCATTTGTGGTGTCACACACTGTCATATTGCCGGAATATTGCTGAAAACTGCAAAACAAATAGAGGATGAAGACGGGAGTGCATTGTGCCCGTTTAATGAATGTCCTGTAATCACCAGAACTTTGTGCCCTCAAAAGAAAACACGTACATTTAAGTATTCATCAGGATAATATTATGAGGATGATAATAATGTCATGGTGTCAGCAATGAAGATGCTGGAACTCCATTTGCAGAGTTGCATCACTTGGTCATGCTAGAAACCCTAGATCATGGGTTTGAATCAGAGATTTACCCTGGGTATGTTCCTAGGTTTTTTGACCCGTGAAGATTCCTGGGTAGAATAGGTCTTCAGCAACCCATGCTTGTCGTAAAAGGCGACTAACGGGGTCGGGTGGTCAGGCTCGCTGACTTGGTTGATGCATGTCATTGATCCCAATTGCGTGGATCAATGCTCATGATATTAATCACTGGATTGTCTGGTCCAGACTCGATTATTTACAGACCGCCGTCATGTAGCTGGAATATTGCTGAGTGCGGCGTTAAACAACAAACCAACCAACCAACCAATCCTAGGTATTTCAGCACCACATTCATGATCATGAGTTTCACCAAAGTAGTAAATGTTCAAGGCCTGCATCACTTCATGCTTTCCTTCCACGTTTAGCTGATACGCCATGATATAACTAATATACTGTTATTGCTGTGTCAAACCCAACACACTCACTCACGCACTCTGCTTCCTCCTCCAGGCTGTCCATGAGGAGATCGTGAGTCACCAGCAGCGGATGCTGTCTCTGGTCTACCAGGCTGAACAACTAACGGAACACTACCAGGAGGAACTGACGCCCGAGCAGGTCGTGGAGATCCAGACCATGGCTGCTCAGCTGAAGAAGAGTCTCAGCAAGGTGGGTTGATAATAAACTTGCAGGATATCATCTGGTGATATGCATTCAGAAGTTTATCACAGTAGGTCTGTGTTATGGTGCGCTGCGGAGTAGCTTAGCAAAATGCCCGCTTGTCACACAATGGGCCGGATTTGAAGCCAATTTGTGGTGACACCACTCGAATATTGCTGAAAATTGCTTATATACCATACTCACTTACTCAGATTGTTACAAGTTCCATTTTCATTTTTTAGCTGTATCGACTATATTTAGGACTGAATGGAAAGAGGTTGGAGAAATGGCCTAAAGCAATTCTCAGTCACTCACTAGTATCTAAGTATCTATCTTTGGCAATATTCATTTCTTTCTTTTCTCAATTGCAACCAAGTTTTAAGTTATGTAATCAATTTATTCTGTCTGAAATGAATATGAAAATCCTTTGCTTTGTCAGCAAATATCAGAAAGTCAAAAGCAAGAATACAGAAACTACTTGCTGAACAAATTTATACGAGACACATGGACAGCTATGATAACCTCATGTTGAATTCTCATCTCATTTTACAATGAATTCTGAAATATAAATATGGTGTGTTGCACCAATGTGTTAAGCATCTCGGACCTGCATAGCCATGGGTTTCCTCCTTCATCAGTCTCACATGCCATCAACTACAGATCGAGCTAACTGACACTACAACTGATTTCACTGAACATGAACATGCATCGACACTCCTGTGTGCAGGTTGTGAAGTCATCCGAGACGCGTCTGAAGCACCTGTCTACGGCCCTGGAGGAGTTGACGAAGTACGAGACGGAGCACAACAAATTCCTGGTCTGGTTGACGGGAGCCGAGAAGGAGCTTGACAGACAGGAGGAGTGCATGCAGAGATTCGAGGATCTCAAACCACTGGCAGACAAACAGAAGGTATGGCATGAAATCATTTCCAAGATAGTTTTCTTTTTATTCCCCTGACATAAAATGGAGGGAGGATATAGTCATCATCTGCTTTGTCTGTCTGACCATATTTTGTTTCTGGAACATAACTTGAAAACCGTGAAAGATTATTAATCCAAACTGGTACATGTATTAACTAGGGGCTGAAGTAGTGCATTATGCTATTGTGGGGGCACAGGGGATTTGTCATCTTCTGATGACTCTTGTCTGATGAAGATGTTGCTCTTGTCCTGTCATGAAGTAAGCTGTTTACATTTTCTGTTACGTTTTATTATCCCACCGTCTTTCAGTCCTTCACTTCCTTCATTTTGTACATTCTTCTGTCTGCTTAAACCCTGTTATCAGATTTAGAGGGTGACAATTGGAAATAGTGTTTTAAGATTGGCATTGTGTCTGAATGGTTGGAATGCACATCACGAATTGAGAATAACCAGACCTAGACCTGAAAATCTGAACTCTTTACCTGTCTTAATCAGGATTATACATGTCATGTCATAAGCCAAATTGTACCATGCCAAAAGCTGGATTATGCCATGTCATGACTAAGAAGAGAAAATGATTTATAAAAACCCTCAAGTGCATTCTGGTGGGGATGTATGTCCTGCTTCTTTCTTCAGAGCTCATGTCCTTCATTTCAGTCCCTGCTGTCCGACATCGTGACTCATCAAGCTGACCTCAGGTTCATGTCAATGACATCTCAGAAATACATGGAGGAAGCTAAGGTATGTGGAACCTTTATTTATTGGAATCTTTAGTCACAGTTAGAGTCCAAATTGTCTAAGTGATTATGGGTTTGAATCCTGTTTTGCCCTGATTATGTTTCTGGGTTGCCATCCCCAAACCTGTATTTGTGGGTTTTACCAAAGTGGGAATGTTGATAAATTCTTGCTTTCCTCCCACATCTGACACGCCATAATATAACTGACATACAGTTAACGATGTTTAATGCACCTCACTCACACAGTCACAGTCAATTTCATACAGAAAACAAAAAGCCCTTTCTAACACTAGCTGCTTTCCCTTAAAAGATTCCAGAGTATTACTCACATTAATATATTTTTTTCCAGCTGCACAAATTGGAGGTTGATGCTTTCAAAGCTGACCGACAACGTCCAGCTCGCCTGAGTCTAATCAGCATGGAGGGTCTGGCAGCAGAAACTGTCAAGGATGATCTCAAGGAAACTCAAACACGCTACCAGGATCTCAAGGGCAAGTGCGGCAACTTTGGTGAAAGGTTGAGCGATCTGGCCAACAAACAGAGAGACTATAATGATGTGGCGTTCAAACTGCTTCAGTGGCTGACAAAAGCTGAAGACAATCTTATGTCCAACAAACAAGAAAGTGGGTCTCCTGATCCCAATAGACTACATGATCAGCTGGAAAAGCTGAAGTCACTTAGAACTGATGCTATTGCACAGTCTGGTGTTGTGGATGATCTCGAAAGGAAAGGAAGGAACTTGACCAATGGTCTAAGTGGCATCTCTGCTGACCCCCAGCAATTGGGTAAAATGCAAGATACTCTGAAGGACATTACCGGTAGATACGAATCACTCAACAAAGACATTGACGATCAGACGAAGAGTCTACAGACTGCCATAACCAAGTCTCAGGGAGTCAAGGAGGCTGTAGGTGGTCTGCTCAACTGGATGAAAGATGCTGAAAAGGTGATGAAGAAGCAGCATGCAATCAGTCTGAACCCAGACAATATTCAGGAACAGATGCAGGAGTTCCGTGCTGTTGAGAGTGATATATTGAATCATAAGTCCAGCATTGACTCCATCAAACAGGGAGCCCTTGATCTCATCAAGACCTGTGACCTCGAGATGGCTCGTGCACTTGAATCACAAGTTGAGGACATTGACAAGCAGTATGCTACCATCCAAAAGAAGGTTGAGGTGAGAGGACGCGACCTTGAGGATGTGTCTGCTAAGCTAAAGAAATTCCAGGATGAACTTAAAGACTCAAATCAATGGATAGTAGCTAACATTGACAACATGGAATCAAAAGACTTTAACAAAATGCCAAGTGAAGAGATGAAATCAGAACTTGAAAAAGTAGCAAACCAGAAGAACAGACGAGCTGGATTAGTCTCTGATCTCAAGAAGCTAGGTGACTCCCTTGTTAAAGATCCAAGGACAGGGGAGGTGACTTCGATGAAGGACTCGCTCGCCGAGTTAGAGAGGAACTGGGATGACCTGACCGTGCTCCTGGCAGACAAGGAGAGAGAGGCAGAACAGAAAGAGAAACAGGACAACGAGTTTGAGAACGCCAAGACCTTGATTCTTCTCTGGCTGGCAGCAATAGAGTCTCAGCTGGATACCTTTGAGCCGGTGGCTGTTGACATTGAGACGGTGGAGCGGCAGATTGCAGAACTACAGGTGAGAGGATGTCACCAAATTTAATTTGGTGATGTAGAAATTATAACAGTATATATAACGTACAGTGAATTCTCATGATAAGCTTACTGTCACTCTGTTAGGCAAGACTTTTGTGTGTATGTAGAGAGGTACAGATATTTGGCCCAAAAATTCAGGTTGGTATATATGAAGTATAAAAAATTTTGTTTTCAAATCAATATGTTTTTGATTTTCTCAAAATGTTAAGTTGGTTGGAAATTATTAATTTTTCAATTAAAGTTAGGTGGGAGTTTGGGGTGTCAGTTGATTTATAAACCAAGTTGAAAAATGTCTGGCCTTACCATGAGGTAGCCTAATGCTCTGTGTAATATCTGACATATTCAGAAAGTATCTTTAATAGGTTTAGTGATCTAAATACCAAAATTCCTCCAAATGCCAGTACATTTTATAGCTGTTTGTGACATGTAATCTCAAATGAAGTTGCTCTGTTTGACCATGTGTGTCTGTAGGGCAAGTGGCTGATTCCATAATTTGCAGCAAATGAAAAAAATAATATGACAATGAGTACAAACAAACAATATCTTTGTTTTATTGCAGCCAATGCTTGAGGAGTTTGAGGGTCATGGTGAGAAGGTGGATGAAATCAATGACCTTGGCAATGCCCTTGAGATGATGCAGTCGCCCACCGAGCGTCCTCTCAGTCCATTCAGGAGGATAAACAGTAGGTTCCAACTTCTACAGCTTGCTTAGTGTCTTGGACCAGATGCATGTCAGAACTGCATTTTGGCATATTCATGATCACCAGTCATTTCATTCAATTCAAATTTCTGATTTTCAGAACTTTTCAATGGTATAGGTTCTTATTAGATGGCAGGGTTTTAAGCTTTTATGGTATCTGGGAACTTTATTGTTCAGATGCAAGTTGGCAAGCATGATGGCATTTGATAAAAAAAACTGTATTGATATTGAAATCAGCATTATTTGCATGTAAATGCTGTAACTATGAATATGTATGTTCCTCAAGCCTACCTCACTGATGCCAACTTGGTTCTGATAGATGTTTGAGATTTGACACTTGCACTCTCAAGGATTTAGAGATCTATGTTTGGGTTGTCGTGAGATTCATTTGACCATGCTGTCATGTGGAGCAACTTGGAATACTTATTGCCTTAACACACAATCTACAGTTGAAGTGATCCACTTTGCTGTGGAGAGCCAGCATTTTGATTCTCATAATTCTTCTACGAGCACCCATGTCTTTATAGGTGGTTTCATGTTCACAATATGATATTCTGTAATTTCTATAAACAAATTTAAAAATCTTTAATGCCAAAAATCATCACTGACAAAAATTGACAAAAATATTCACTGATGATTACTGATTTGATCATAACATTATGAACAATGGTTATAGTTCTATGGATGTACAACTTCTTTATTACAATGATCACTTGCTTGATAATGGTGTTAGTATCAACTCGAAAATGTCACATTGTAATAAAGAAGTTGTACATTGATAGAACCATCTCCCTTGTTCATCATTTCAATTTCTAAATGATACTGAAAGAAGTTATAAAATAATGCTTTTAAATATCCAAATAACAATTTGCAACATATTGTGAACGTGAAACGATCTATCTCCACATCCACCTTCACCATCATGCTCTCTGCATCCACATCTTGCCCGTCTGCCACCAGGTCGGAGACGCCTTGGTCTGTACTCTTCGCGACTGCGTACCCCCTCCCCCACATTCCCCACGTCCCCGACCACTTTGGCCACCAGCCCTCTGTCCAGCGAGTCCAGCGGGGTCAGCAGCAGAAAGAGCAGCTCCGACAACTTGCTGCTGGACGGTATGTACATCTCCGCGTCATTCATTCACGTCCATTACCAGGGGCTTTGAGGATTTGCTTGTATTGCACCTTGGTTGAGGTTTTTTGTTTTTACTTTATATTATTCGGTTTGGAAATAAAATTATGATCTTTAACCAGGCAGCTGTTCCACAAACAATCTTAGTGTTATGACTGTCCATGTTATCCATGTTATAGTATAGGAGTCATGGTTGTCTTAGCGCTAAGATTGCTATATTGAATGGAACCCTGAAGTTTATATTTATGCTTTTTGTCTTCAAAAAAAAATTACCACAGATTTGATATTTGATATATAAATAAATATCTTTATTTAAAAAGATGTACCTTTTCATTAAATTTTATATATGATAATAGTCTATATATTACTTTTATCCAAAATTTGAAATGTAAATACTTTTTTTTTAAATAAGTAACAAGTTTTAATGAATGCTATAACATGTGTCAACTCAAAATAAAAGGAAGTCAAAAACATTTAATAGCATGTGCCTATTTATGTTGCTGTGAGTGATAAACCGATATTGAATCATACATAAATTTCATAACATTCCATAATGGTGCAGTATTGGAGACAATATACAATGATATTTGTTGTGTACCCATGTCTATACTGTGACCCCGTGTATAGATGACCGATGTATGACCTACACAACTAACAGTTACCCTCTTGCATGTCTAACCCCCACTATTAGCAGGCTGGCAGGTCACAGCGACATTGCACAGTGCGCACTTGTTATGTATGCAGATGATTAGAATTATGTGTCTTAATTAGGTAAATCGGTTGTGAACAGTGTAAAATATTGTCTTATGAAAGTCAACGATGTCACCATCTGATATTAAGTGTGTCATCATTTCTATTATAACAAATCGGTAAGTCAATCTGAAGCTGAAAAAGAGATTGTGGTTGAGGTTCATTAAGGATCCTTTGTTCAAGAATTGTCAGGATTCAAGAAGTCATGATCACATACTGATCATTGAAAAAGCAGAAGATGACGTACCATAAAAGACCAAACCTTGCTCCAGTTGCAGTACATAAGACCATTTGTATTCTTGTTCTGTCTTGATGTCATTGGCTCCAGAACAGTTTGTCCAAATCCAAATTTGAATTTTTTTGGTGTAAAATACATGCAACCATTTCAGGTTTATTTATCATCAATTAACAAATAATTTTTCTTTCAAATCCTTAACACCTGTGGCTGAAATATTGCCGATGTGACGTTAAACTTAACTCACTCACTCAACACCCGTAAAGATCCTGGTTAGAATAGGTCTTCAGCAACCCATGCTTGACATAAGAGGCGAATCTGGTGATCAGGCTTGCTGACTTGGTTGATGTCATCGTATTCCAATTGTGTGGACCGATGTTTGTGATGTTAGTCACTGGATTGACTCAATTATTTACAGGTCGCCATTATATGGCTGGAATATTGCTGAGTGCTGCATTAAACAACAAACAAATAAACAAATCCTTGAATCCATGCTTTCAAGTTTTATTAAAGTTAAGATGACCTTTATAATGACTGACCAATGCTGTTGTTCAGATCTGTCTGAAACCTAGCAACAGCTACTGGACATAAAAACACCAGCTGAAATATATGCTACCATATTAGGTTTCATTAGTTATTAGTTTTACAAAAACAAATTCTTGAAATACCGAATCTTTTTTGTCAAGTTAAGATGACCTTTAATGACTGACCAATGCTGTAGTTCAGATCTGTCTGAACCCAAGCAACAGCTACTGGACATAAAAACACCATCTGAAATATATGCTACCATATTAGGTTTCATTAATTATTAGTTTTACTAATAATTTTTCTTGAAATACCGAATCTTTTTTGTCAAGTTAAGATGACCTTTAATGACTGACCAATGCTGTTGTTCAGATCTGTCTGAAACCCAGCAGCAGCTGTTGGACATCAACCAGCGTTACGACATTGTGGGCGAACGCCTGGCTGACCGTCAACAGGAGCTGAACACTGTGCTGGCCAGCATCAAGACCTTCCTGCAGGACCTCCAGGACATGCTCACCTGGCTGGACATGAAGGACGGCGACATCAGCAAACAGGTGGCCTCCATCCCCACCAATGAGAAGGAGGCCAAGAGGAAGCTGAAGGACCATGAGGTAAGAGATGACACCTGTCTGAATTAACGCTTCTTGTAAATATTTGTTTGAGATGATAATCATAATATTTTGTTTGACAAGGTTGCTAACTGTTTTTTTTCTCTCAAAGTTTTTCGAATTATTTATTGTTTGATAGGCATTACTTAGAAGTTGACGGATGACAAGATAGACACAATTTTTGTGGATAACAACTTCTTTAATACTGGGAAAACGCGACATTTCGTATAGATCCTAAAACCGTTGTCAAGCAAGACTGATCTATAAGGATCTATACCGAAACGTCGCTTTTCCCAGTATTAAAGAAGTTGTTACCCATAAAAATTGTGTCTATCTTGTCGAATTATTTATTTTTGTTGTGAACTAACATTATGTGAAATTAATGTGAAATAAATCTATTTCAAATTTTCTTTTTGTTTACACCGAAAGTTTAGTTGAATGTCAGTTATGTTGGTAATGTGTAGATATTGATGTGGGTGATGTGTTTTGCAGGCATTCCACCGGGAGCTACTTGGTAAGGAGGGTCTCGTAGAGGACATCAGAAAGAAGGCACAGCACCTGCTGAAGACCAAGCCTGGCGTCCCCGGACTCGACACACTTCAGTCCCAGATCTCACAACTAGGTCAGTGCCTCAGTAGCTCAGAAACCGTACACGTATAAGAAAGAATCTTTTTACTAATTGGCAAAACTGTACAGTCACAATAGGGAAATACATTTTTATAAAATACATTTGTCCTTCCTATTGTCATAAACTCAGGTTTGCACTCTACATATTTAGGATACGATGAAAGGAAAATGGCATTGCAGTTAATTTTATAATGGCTATGTGAGGCATAATTTGTTCCATTAAGTGACGTCATTATCAGTCTCTCGTTTTCTTGTGAATCTTCTGTGATATCACCTCTATAATTTCTGAAAGACCGGTGAAGATCCGGGTGGAGATTAGGTCTTCAGCAACCCATGCTTGCCGTAAGAGGCCTATGCTTGCCGTAAAAGGCGATTATCGGGATCAGGTGGTCAGGCATGCTGACTTGTTTGATGCATGTCATCGTATCCCAATTGCGTGGATCAACTTTCAGGATGTTGATCACTGGATTGTCTGGTCCAGACTCGATTATTTACAGACCACCGTCATGTAGCTAGAATATTCTTGAGTGCAGCATTTAACAACAAACAAAGAAACATACTATTGCTGAAAACATGATCTCCCTGTTTGTATTCACCAGATGACAAGTGGCATGGACTCCGTGCTACCTCTGAGCAGCGCCGCAAGAGCCTGGAGGACATGGTGTCCCACCTGCGAAGCCTGCGTGAGAATGGGGATCTGCTCAACAAGTGGCTTACCCAGAAGGAGAAGATGCTCGACGTCTTGGGGCCAGTTGCTACTGAGCCTGCACTCATCCAGACCCAACTAGACCAGGTCAAGGTTAGTGACCGGATCAAAGACATAGCAGCACTGTGAATGCTGTGACCTTGTCAGAGGTCAACCAGATTGTGGAGATAATCCAACGCAATTGAAGTGTAGTTACAGCACCTTGTTAAGTCTATGTTGGAACAGGATTAAAGACTACCAGTGTCATTTTATTGACTGGGTTCCTGGTTAACAGGATCATGGGAATTCTTCTGGGACTTGATGCTATTCAGACTTTTTAGTTCAAATAATCAGGTTCATGATAAGAAATAAACTTAGTGTGTAATGTTGCCTTCGCATGCCAGTACTCATGACTTACTTTGGAATAGATTTTATAATGATATATAATGAACTGTGTAGGTCCTTCATGAAGAGTTCACCAGCCAGGAGCCCTTGTATGATCAGTTCATCCATGCTGGTCACTCCATCCTGGACAAATGTGACCCAGAGTCGCGTGACGCTGCCACGATCAGCCGTAAGATGGACACCATCAGCAAGGCCTGGGAGAAACTGCAGAGCCGCCTCAATGAGCGACAGTCCAGTCTGAGTGCCATGGAAGGCATTGGGTCTGAGTTCGCCCAGAAGACCAGCATGCTACAGAACTGGGGCCATGACTTCCACAACAGGCTGGACTCCCTACCACCTGTCAGCCCTTACCCAGAGAAACAGAGCAGGCAGGCCGATGAGATGATTGTAAGTGGCACCTGTATCCAAACTCGGTTATATCCTGTACTGAGTGTGCTGTTTGTGAAACTGAAGATTGTTTGATAAAAAACAGTGAATGTGTTTACAGTGGGCTTTTAAAAAATGATCTTTTTTTATATAATTCTTATTTGCTGTCTCTTCCTATTGTTAAACCCACATTGCCTTTGTTTTGGTTAAAATCCCAGATTCAGCCCAATTATAGTCCTAAAGTAGTAATAAATTAGGGTTTTTCTCCATCACAAGGTGGTATGGAATGATAAAGATTAATGTGTTGAAAGCAACAGATCTGCCCCAACACACTCACTATCTCTTCTGTTTTGCCAGTGTATTATTTGCTCCACCTTTTTGACAGGATAAAAGTCTTTTATATCCTTTAACATTAAGGCTATTAAACACTTAATCAAAGGTTTACAAGAAAGGAACGGTGGTGGGGTAGCCTAGTGGGTTAAGCATTCGCTTGTCACACCAAAAGTCTGGGTTCAGTTCCCCAGAAGTTGGTGTTTCAGTGGTGTTAAATCCAAGAAGGGAAACCAGGTAATGAATATGTTTCTGTCTTCTTGTAGCAATTGGCGGAGGAGATGATTGAGCAGACGCCAGTCTTGACTCGCACTAAGGAGTTGTGTAAACAACTCAGTGAGAAGACCAAAGACTCCGCCACCAAAGCGGACCTTCGTGCCAAGCTGGCCAGGGTTGAGAAAACCTTGGCTGATGCCGAGAAGAAAATGGGTAAGATTGCAGATTTGACTATCAGATTGTGGTCTGTGAAAAATTGTATCTGGACCAGACAATCGTAAGATTGTGGAACATTATGAGTAAATTAAGGCTAAAAAAATAATAGTCTTGGTTTTCAGGCATCGCCCGCATCATCAATAAGTTTGCCGCACATTTCGTTTATATTTCCATTTTAATATAAAACAGAAAAAAAAATCCTTAAATATTCCAAGTCCAACGGTAGTCAAATACTGTGTTCCAGTATTTTACTCATCAAGGAATACATTTATGTTGGTAGGCCCTTTCCTAGGTTGATTGTACACAAGTGTTTATTTGGCAACACTTGTTTGAACAACCCCCCCCACACACACACACAAAAAGACACTACCCGCCCGCGATATATTTTCAAAAACTATTGCCAGAGAACCAATTCTTTTATTTTGTAAAGCCTAAGTGGTGTAGTTTGATGACTTTTTTGACAAAATATCTTCCTTTCGATCAGATCAATTATTATTTTTATGAATTGTAAGTGTAAGCACATGAATGAATCATGGTAAATCTGTTTTCTACGTATTGAAACATTTGTTGTCTATCCTGTTTAGATGCAAGGAATGATGCCCTGGAGGTGGCTGGCAAGGAGGGCCAGAAGTTCACTGCTGACTGTAAGGAGAACCTGGCCTGGATCAACGAGGCATCTCGACGACTCCGCAACCAGCAGCCTCTCTCTGGGGATCAGAATGTGCTGAAGAAACAGGCAGATGATCACAAGGTATGGAGCATAAGACTACAGCTGACTTGATTATTCAGTATGGATGAGATAGAAAATCATGTTCACATTACTAATAAGTTGTGTTGTATTTCTGCGTTGAATAAATGCCCAAAAGTATACGTTGAAAGTACCAAATTGAACAACACATCAAAAACAGTTCATGTAGTTCTCACTACACTGATGCTTATGAGTTCATCAAAGTGGAAACTTCTAAGACCTGCACCGTTTGTAAACTCAACCCACTCTTTGTTTAAGGTTTTGCTTCAAGATATTACTGCCCAAGAGCCTGAAATAAGGGATCTGTTGGACAAGGGACAGAAGATCCTGGAAAAATCTTCTCCAACCATGGACACAAGGAACATCGCAGACACCCTGGATCAGATCCAGTCCGAGTGGAAGGATCTCCAGGACTCGGCCAAGGACAAGGAGCAGGATCTTGCTGAAGCCAAGGCACATGCCCAGAAGTACCAGGACAGCCTGGACAAGATGCTCATGTGGATGGACATGTCGGATGACAAGCTGAAGAAGACCCAGCCTGATAAACTCGAGAAGGACACTGTGGGCAGGAAGCTGAAGGAGCTGCAGGTGTGTAGGCAAATATTATTGATGATGATGATGATGATGACGACGATGACGATGATGATGATGGATGGATGGATGATGATGATGATATGTAGGCTATGGATGATGATGATATGTAGGCTATGGATGATGATGATATGTAGGCTATGGATGATGATATGTAGGCTATGGATGATGATGATGATGATATGTAGGCTATGGATGACGATGATGATATGTAGGCAATTTGGATAATGATGGAGGATGATAATTTTGATGATCTGTGTGGCTCTCGCCCCAATTCATGTTCTTAGGTTATGACACAAGTTCAAAATTTGTGTTTTCTTTGTATGACAGGCTCTGCAGAATGATGTTCTGAAGAAGACCCACGACCATGATCACTTGAATCGGGAAGGAGAGGCCCTGATGGAATGTGTAAAGGATGGCCGGCAGAATGTGAGGAACCAACTGGACGACCTCAACAACCGCTGGGAGCATCTCAACTCAGGCATCACCGAGAGGAGCCAGAGTCTGGAGGACCTCCAGCAAAGACTGGCTGAGATCCAGGACAACATGGCAGATGCCACCGGCAACCTCCTCAAGTGGGAAAACAAGCTGGAATCTCATCTCGCTCTTGGACAAATATCCAAGGATCCCAAATATCTAGACAAGATCAAGGTAGCCATTTAACACTGTTGATAGAGCTAGTATGTTGCTGGGGTGCGGGTGGCCTAGATGTCTGAGGCAACACAATTAGCTGTGAGGAGTTGCATCCCTTGCGTATGCCAGATATCTGTGATCGTTTAATCCTGGTTCGCTCCGATTTATTTTCGAGATTTGTCAGCATATTACCCATGCTCATGGGTTCCACCAAAGTGGTAAATATCTGAGACATGCATCACTTCAGACTTTCCTCTCACATTAAGCTGAAGTGCTAGAAGGGTAACGCCTTTTTTTTTCAGGGCAGTATCATTTGCAGAAGCCAGAGGTTTGCCATTAACTGCCCGACGAAGGAGGAGTTGAAAAGATCGAATGATAATGCCCTGAAAAATGGCATTACCTTTATTATAACTAAAATGGATAGAATTTGTTATCAAATAAAAAGAAACAACAATATCGGTTTAGATACATTTACTGCAATCAACATGAATGTCACTGACCCACTTTTACAAATATGGAAACGTCATAGAACAAACTAGATGACGTCACCTATCCCTATCCTATGACGTCACCTAACAACGGGCATGATAATGGCCCGTCGTCAAACAATATGAGGGCATTATCAACTTACAGTGGCCCGCGCATTCCTGATAACATGCGGGCGGTTTAATGATAATTCTATCCATTTTAGCTACAATGAAAGTTTTAACTGGCATACTGGTGTTAAACCACTCACTCACTGACTCATGTTACTGACCTTGACAACTACTTCATTCAAGATCACTCAAATCTAGGTATGAATAAAACATGTTACTGACTGAGTGTTACCTCACATAGGCTGTGTACATTTCTATATCTACCTGTTGTATAATTGTTATATTCCTAGTAGTCTTTGAACTTGACATATTCAACATAGCGCCAGTGTGGCTACAAGTCCATCAGATTCCTCCATGTGCCTCCTGTATTCCAGAACCTCCAAGAGGATGTTGGAGGCCTCCAAGACCAGCTCGACTACCTGGATGCCCTGGTGGAGGGAGTCAGCCTAGAGGCTTCAGATGAACCAGACACTGCAGAACTGAAAGCCAGCGTGGACAAGGTTCGGGGCAGACAGGATGCCCTCCAGGAAAATCTCAACGAGCTTCTTGGTGACATGGAGACTGGTTCACAAGTTGTTGGACAGTTCCAGGTGAGAGGCATGTCCTAGGCCCTCTTGCACAAAGAGATCTTAGCATTATGACTTTTGTAAGCCTATGTTATTATATAGGACTTACGATCACCTAAGCACTAAGATTGTTTTGTGTAAGTGGGCCCTGATGTCAGTAAGGCTACAACCATGTCAGGTACCCGATGGGGATTTCTGGGGAAAATAGATCCTGGTACCCAAGTAAGATTCGAGGTATGATGTTTGGGTGGTCACAATGTATGTCCACCTGATTCAGTTATCAGTATGCCTGTTGAGATTTTTTCAATCTGCCATGGTATAGTATATATACTACTCCACGTTTGTTATGGATATTTTTTATCTCTCCATGTTACACAAAACTGATTCTCATAATATGCTACTCAAAACAAGTTAAAAAACACCCACAACTAGAAGGCTGTGTGTTGCAATACCCACCAGACATGACAGATTACCTATTGTCATATGAAAAAGTCAGTGTTTTTTTACTTCTTGGAGCAGTTTATGTCAAGTGTATATTTAAACAGAATGACATCTGATTATCATTATCGAAAGTTGAGTAGTATACATATATATGTTGCTATATTTCAAGATCACACTTGCTTTTATTCGAACTCAGAAACTAAGCCATGTATGTGATGGAACTGTTAGTAACACCTGTTTATTCTATGTCAGGGACAACTGAGGACTGTGGCTGGAGAAATGTCTGACCTGGAGAATGAGCTGAAGAAGATGGCCCCAGTAGCCCGCGACGAACACACTCTCGATGCCCAGAAGCAGGACCTTCAGGTAGGTGCTTGCCCCGTATCCCCCGCCTTCGTAAACACAACAGACTATATTCACTCTCTGTCATAGATGCCATCTTTCTCAAATATTTCGTAGGGATGATAAATATGCGAATGATATGCCTATTTATAGAGAGCAAATCACAAGGACAAAATATTCATAGACACCATTAAACAGAGGGTCATTATTTAACTTTTGAGTTTCTGCTATGAACGTGTCTTGTTTATCGACTGGTATGAATCTATTTGTAGTGATGCCCGTCCAATCAGGACACTCCTCTCGTTACCATTGTCGAGACACAAACTAGGCAATAATATTATCAACTGAGTATCGAAATCACATGGCTGTATTGTACTGTAAATGATAAATATTGTCAAGCTTGACGTCCCGCCCAGAAGATCAAAATACCAATTGTAAAAGTTGGCAGCTGATCTTGATGTATATATTACAAAAATGATCATGACCTGGTACCTTGACAAAGGGTTTCTCTATTTGTGTGGCTTTAGTCTTTGTGTTATGGAGTGCTTGTGTTGTAGGACTACCAGACACAGCTGGACAACATGGGAGAGGCTCTGCAGGACCTGGAGGGACAGAGCGATGACCTCCTCAGGGCAGGATATGTCTCCGACCCAGATATGCTGAGAACACAGGTAAAGACTTTCTTCATTCCTTGTCTTCTTAAAACTTTTGAGCAGAAGTGTAGCCTACATTAGGAATCAACTCGTCATGCTGAAGATGATGTGTGAAGCCAATTCTGTGTCCCCTTCCATGACGTGTTGAATTTTGCTAAGAGCAACATTAAACTTCACTTGCTCATTCTCAAAACTTGTACACTGTTCTTGGATGGTTGGATTGTCTCACTGCCCTTGTATGGGACAGGTCTGATTCAGTACAGTGGAGCTAACTGTGACTGCAGAGTTCATGGTTACTGTGTGTTTGTTCCATCATGTCCGCCAAGGTTTTCAGAAAATACATGACTGTCTTCTCAAACCCAACATGAATATGTTTCTAGGTTTGTCAGCACCATACCTGTCCTTGTTGGATACACCAAAGTGATAAGCTTTTCAAGACTTTCAGCCACATCAGACCGCCTCCGTGGTCTTGTGGTAGAGCGTCCGCCCGGAGAGCAGAAGGGTTCGGGGTTCGATCCCCAGCCGCGTCATACCAAAAGACATTAAAAGATGGCACTTGTTGTTACCCTGTCTGGCGCTCAGCATTAAGGGGCTAAAGCAAGGACTGGTTGGCTCAGAGTCAGTATACTGTGTCTGAGTGGGGTATACATGTTAAACTGCGGCATGGTATCTCAGTGAGCTAGCACTATAAATCGGCATCAGTCCGGACTAGTACAAGCAGCCACACACATACATACACGTGCATGCACGTTTGCTATATAAGTGCAATAATCTTGGACGCGACATTAAACCCAATTTCACCTCACCTCACCTTCAGCCACATCAAGCTGACACGATGTAATATAAATGAAAAACTGTTCAAAGCGACCAACTCACGCACTCGTGACTCATGGAATGGGTACATCAGCAAGAATTATTCAGTGACATTTCTACATAACTACCAGCCTCAAGGCCTTCCTACAGATCTATTGGTCTAAACATCTATTGACTTTTCTTTTCAGCTTGCCAACCTGAAGAACCAGCATGACCGTCTGAGTCATCAAGCCAGACAACGAGCTGCTGATATAGACGCCAACCAGGACAAGGTGAAGAATGTCAACGAGAATCTGAAGAGACTGAGGAAGGGAATGGATGTGTCCGCAAACGTGCTGGAGTCGCTGAAACCTGTTGGAGGAGATGTTGGTCTCATCAAGGAGCAGCAGGATGAACTCAAGGTCAGATGGGGCAGATGTTCGGCTAGAAGTTGTGGAGAACTGTTAAATCTGATATCTTTAGAGATATGTTCAGTGATGCTGATGATATCGCTTTACTATTGGATATTGGCCAAGGTGAAGATGTTGAGAACTAATAGAAACTGGTTTCAATAGAGACAAACATGTTCCGTGATGCAGATGTTAGAGATTTACATTAGGATATTGGCCAAGGTTTATATATTTAGAAATCGCAGTGGATGAAAAGGGTAAACGATAAAGAAATTATGTGCTCTGAATAATTAAGATTACTTGTTTGAATATAAGAATTGTTGATATGAAATTAGAAAAGTATTGGGAATTGTTAATTTGTTTAGATCTTGTTTCAGATTAACTGTTTGGGTCTTTATGAATGTTTCATTTGGACACTTTGTGACACTTGGCTTATTGCAAAATGGTTGAATTTTATGTAATTTCTTTATCCAGAATGTTGTTCGCAAGGACATTGAGCCACTCCAGAAGCAGTTTGACGTTGTTACCTCTGAGGGACAGAGCCTGATTCAGTCAGTCCCACCTGGAGTGGACACATCTGAACTCGAAACGGATCTTGAGGTCCTTGCTGACAAGTGGTCCCAACTTAATGAGAAGGTATGTGACTTTTTTGCAACCTTCTTGTGACCTTGGGGACTCTGGGGTTAGAATAGGTCCCCCGCAACTAATGATAGTCGTTTGAGGCTAATTAATAGGGGGTGGGTCAGGATCAGTGACTTAGAACACCCTACCTGTGGGATTCATCAGTTATGAACTGTATACATCTATGACCTGCATCACTTCCAACAACAAGCTGATGCACAGTGACATAACTTAAATACATTTCAGCGTTAGCCAATTTGACCCACTCACTCCCTCGGCCTTCACATAGTCTCTGTGAACCACAACAAAATCTGTCCAGTCTGCATGGGGTTGGTTACACTGCCGATTGCTTGCTTCCAGGTGTCTGACCGGGAGAGGAGTCTGGACAGTGCCCTGCTGCAGTCTGGGAAGTTCAATGATGCCCTAGACTCCCTGCTGTCCTGGCTGTCCGAGACAGAGGACATGGTGGCCAACCAGAAACCTCCCTCACCCGAGTTCAGGGTCGTCAAGGCTCAGCTCCAAGAACAAAAGGTAAGTGTAGGAAGGACATTATTTGAAGTGACCGATCATTTTGGAGTGTTGTTTTCATGGAAGGTCAGTTCGGTGTTTTTGTATTTCATATACATGATACAGCTTGGTATGATAGTACAAGTAACTAACTCAAACCAGTGCCCCATTCCACAAAGCGATCTTAGCGCTAAGATCTTTGTAACTCCCATACTTAAGCACATATTTACATCAGTCTTTGCTCTAAGATCGCTTTGTAGAATCGACTCCAGTGCCCACTTGCTCAAAGTGAGGTTAGCAGTACATCTATTGTAAGTCTATGTTATAGTATGGGAGTTACGATTGTCGTAGCACTAAAATCGCTTTGAGCAAGTGGACCCAGGACGAGAGTTAGTTGTGTAGCCTGATAACTGTTTGCTCGTCACAAAAAAGACCACAAGGACAAAAGTTCCATTCCCACATTTGTACATGTTGTTAAGCCCATTCTTGTTCCCCAACCATGATATTGCTCTAATATTGCTAAATGTGACTTAAGCCACACTCAATCCAGGACCAGCATGTGCTTTTATTCCATCATCCACTGGCCACCTTATACACAGATTTTAGACCAAAATATCCATCATCCTGTGCATCTGAACCGATCTAACATCAATGTCTCTCCTAACAGTTCCTGCAGAAGATGCTGGAGGACAGATGGCCCAGCGTGAACAACCTGAAGGACACTGCAGACACACTACAGTCCACCGTAGACCCCAAAGAGAAGAAGAAGATCCAGAAACAGATGGGTGACCTTGATGCCCGATGGGGGGCTCTGGCCAAGAAGGCTGGCGAGAGGATGGGGATGTTGGAGGATGTTGTGAACCTTGCCAAGGACTTCCAAGGAATCACTGAGCCCCTGACCTCATGGTTGACTGAAGGAGAGAAGAAGTTTGCCCAGCTTGAACCCAAGGCTCTTGATGCTGAGGGGATCAAGAAGCTGGTGAAGGAACTCAAGGTGAGTTTAACAAGTTCTTTGTTAAACAGTTGATATTGTAAAGAGCTGACCAATTGATATTTTGGCCACAAAATAATGCTGGAGGACAGGTGGCCCAGTGTGAACAACCTGCAGGACATGCAGACACACTCCAGTACACCGTAGACCCAAAGACGAAGAAGACAACAACAAAAAATCAGCATATAGGGTAATATGCTGAAAAATAGTTTTTTGTCGTCCAGCTTTATCCCCCTAAGTTACTCATTCACACTGGACATGCTAGTTGTTTTTGTGGGTCCCACAATATTGTTAACGCCTCTTTTCAGTCAGCAAATCTCAAACTGATTTCCAAAATGTTGTCATTTCTAAAAAACAATGAGCACCTGAGTGTTTTCTTCTGCAGCAACTCCAAGATGAGATTGATGACAAGGACGATGATGTTCATAGTCTGGCCTCCAAAGGCAAGAGTCTTCAGGATTACTGCAAAGGTGATGACGTGGTCTTTATCCAGAAGAAGATTGATGATGGCCAGAAGAGATATGGTGACCTCAGGAACAAGGTGGAGGACATCCTGGAACAGATGGAAGAAGCTCTCCCATTGGCCGAGAAGTTCCATGATGCTCATACCAAGCTCCTTGATTGGTTCAGCAAGGTAGAACCAGAGGCAAGGTCTAAAGATGCTGTTGGTCAGGATGCTGAAGAGCATGTACAGGTAAGCATGTTTTAGAATAGTAGAAAGGCATACAAAACTATGGTTGAAATTGAAGATCATGTTTCATATGGTAATATGAAAGAGAGATGTTAAGTCTAGAGATCAGCGTACTTTGTTTCTTCAAGTTGGAAGCTGTATTTTTAAAGCTGATGATCAGGGGTTATGGGTGGGGTCACATTGTCCACTGAAAGTTCCAGTGCATTGACATGGTTGAGTAGATATGTAATTATATCTGGCATCATAGATCAAATCATATTTTTTTTTTTTACCACTCTGTGACCTCACAGCTCCAGTTCTCTATGTGCTTGAGACTGACGTCTACAATAGATGTGGTTTCAGGATATATGTTGAAATGATAGTTCTGTTCCATAACCTGAAAACCATTTTGTTATAACCATTGCCTTCAGTTTTTTGGCTGTTCTTCATCAATGAATATGTCCATATAGGTACTCATGGACCAACTTGAGGAGATTGAACCAATCCTTGAAGTTCTTAACTCTGAGGGCAACGACTTAGCGGACTTGGCTCCAGGAGACTCCGGACTCCGTATTGAAGACCTCATCTCCAAGGACAACAAGAGGTTTGATAATGTCAAGGACCAGATTGCCAAGAAGGCAGAGAAGGTCCAACTGTCCAGACAGAAGTCAAATGAGGTGGGTGATGCCATATCTCAGGGTAGCAATATGTGTAACAAGGAATTGATTCATATTACTTGAGGCAGTTAAGAATTGAGAAAATTGACTCCCGTCAAACTCGCACAAAAAATTGCAGTTGCTTTATGTTGAAAGTGTAGACCTATGAGACTTCATTGAAATGTCAAATGACCTCTGCAGGTGGTGAATGCCCTTGATGACCTGCTGGAGTGGTTTGATGAGGAGGAGGGCAAGCTTCTTGAATGTAAGGCCATCAGCTCAGACCCTAGTGTCCTACAGCCACAACTTGTGGAGCAGAAGGTATGGATCTTGTACATGCTGTAATTGGTAATGAATAGTTTGTCTTATTTGTTGCAAACTGAATCTTCAATGGCTAATAAGCTAATTGGCCATGGTTGCCATCTGCTGTGGTTGAGAAGCGTAGAATCAAAAGAGAATCCTTTATCAGTAATGAACTATACACACAAAGTTTACTTGACATCATGTTTTGTAAACTTTTATTCATTTTAGACCATGAATGACGACATTAACAGTCAGAAATCGAAGGCCAGAGATGCCATCGCACTGGGCAAGAAACTACTGAGAGAGAATTCTGTTGAGGAGGATGGTGCCATCAGGGAGAAGATGGATCTTCTGAAGCAGAGATCTGATGGTCTGTCTCGGATGAGCAACGACAGGCTCACCCAGCTGGAACAGGCACTGCCATTGTCTAAGCACTTCACTGATACCCATGCTGACCTCGTGTCTTGGATGGAGGAGATCGAGCCCTCACTTGCAGAGCTGGAGAAACCCTCTATTGACATGGAGCAGGTCAAGAAACAACAAGAGATGATCAAGGTTGGTGGAATTAAATTCTGGGTTGGGGTGGGGCAAAACTTTGCAGATGGGTTTAGTATTTCATGGGTAGCAAAGTCAATAAGCCTGTCCTACAAAGCATACATATTTTTGTAGAAGAGCGTGTCCACACAATATGAGAGAGCAACCATCAAGGAAAATAGGAAAGATTCAGTATTGTATAGTGGGTTTGTAGAAATAAATTTCTTAATTCAGACCTGTATGAAGAGAATTACATATATACAGGTGGACTCATGGTTGATGTTTGCCGTGCAGAAGACCCAGATCTGAAATTCCTATGTGGGCACTACGTTTGTGAAGCTCTTGAAGACTCCATCATGATTAGCTGCACTATCACTAAGTCACTGTATTTTACACTACAGTTGTATGTAACTGTCTTCTCCTTCCAGGCCCTGAGACAGGATGTGACCGACCAGAAGCCGATGTGTGACCGTCTGAACAAGACAGGTAACGCACTGCTGCAGATCTGTGGCCAAGGAGACGCTGGGAAAGTCCAGGACATCTTGGATGATGACAACCGCCGCATGGAGGAGATTCGCAATGGTGTCAGGGAGAGGTCACATTCCATCGATGCTGCCATGCAACAATCCGCTGAGGTAATTTATCATGCCCTTGTGTGTCAGAAATCAGATCAGTTATTGAAAAATCATGCATGAATTATTTGGGAAACATAGTTCAAGATATAAGATAGCCAGGGGATAAATCTCAAAGAACAATAAAGAATGAGGCGTGGTTTATTTCACGATAAAACATTGTTCTGTCATGACATCATTTCTGGAGATTCGAACATATGCTCACAACACGATGACATCGTAAATTGAACGATGTTATTTTGGAGAGGGTAGAGAGTTGTTCCCCAGGGATGGAGCGGGGCAGTGCAAGTAAAAGCAGTGGCTGAAGGCTGTTTCCAAAAGTGGGCGAGTTATGGCAATCAGTTTTGGGAGAAAAGGTACTGAGAATCTCAATGAGATTTGTAAGAACATTCAGGAAATATCAATCTTAAACCCCCTGTTCATAAAATGGAGCTGTCCGACATTGCCATGACCAAACTGTATTCAGGGAGTCATCACTGTTTAAATACGGGAAAATATTTTTAAAGCTTGTAAACTTCATGAACATCCTTAGGGAGGTTGAAAATAATATTGAGTTCTCACATAAGAAATAAATGACTATGGTTGTTGTATATCTCTTAAATAAATCAGAAATGAATTTGTTTATCATGTATGACAATGATCAACTTAGATATGTCCAGATAATGATGTGTGGGTTGTCTTCCCAACTGGCTTCATTTCATGCTCAGAAATACTTTTCATTAATGTCTTTGATAAGATGGCATATGAAAACGTGTACTGTTTGATTCCAGTTCACTGACCAACTTGAGGACATGCTTGAGACGATGACCACCACCAACGAACAAGTCCAGAATGCTGAGCCCATCTCGGCCTTCCCTGACAAACTCAGAGACCAGATTGCTGAGAACAAGGTAGGCATCGGAACCCAGTGTTAAAGACTGCTACTCCATACTACCTGCTGAGATTGCTAAAGAAGATGTACAGCTTGAGGTTGTATCATACCAGACATCTGCAGACTTTTATTCATTGTTTGTCTGTTTTCCAGGACATCATTGGTGATATTGACATGCGAGAAAAGGCACTGGAGAAGGTCAAGGTCACGGCTGAAGAGCTGCTGAAACAGGCTGGAGACACTCAGGATGATGCAGTGAAAGGTGAAGGAATTATTTTAGTTATCCAGATGTCTTGGATAAATAATTTGCAAAGTAGATGTGCGCGTAAGGAAAGGCAAAATAAAAGTTTGGGTCATGTTAATGATGCAACTGCTGCAAGTTTGCAGATGCAGCAAAAAGCCATGTTTACTCAGTTTGGTGTGAAGACCTGTGGACCTGGGTGCCATCATACACCTGTGCCATTCACAGATGTTTGCTTGTTGTGAAGGATGAAGTGACAAAGCTGATGTATTGCTCACCATAGCGTAAAACCCCATTTGCTCAATCATTTATCCCGTTTGCTCAGTCATAGATCCCGTTTGCTCAGCCATGGGGATTCCAGGTTAAAACAGGTCCCCAGCAGCCTTTGCCTGTCGGACCAGGTGATTCAGTGGATCGGTTGGTCGGCCTTGGTGGCTTGGTTGATGGAGTGTAATGGTTGATTGTTTGATTGTTAAACCCCGCACTCAGCAATATTCCAGCTATATGATGGCGGTCTGTAAATAATCGAGTCTGGACCAGACAATCCAGTGATTAACGTCATGAGCATCGATCCACGCAATGGGGATCGATGACATGCATCAACCAAGTCAGCAAGCCTGACCACCCGATCCGATCGAGTGTAATGAGCTGTTGCTCATTATGTCTATCACTGGTCCAGACTCCATTAGTTGGAGGCTGCCATCATGTTGCTGGGTTTGGCGTTCATCAAGTAAAAAAGTCATAGTTCCTATAAGAGGTGTAATATGAAAGCGTTCGTTTCTAGATGTTAAAGAAAAGCTGGATGAACTTATCAAGCTGTTTGACGACATCAAGACTAGCACGAAGGATCGTGGCGAGAACCTAGAGGATACACTTGATGTGTCTGAGAAGTTCTGGGATGACCTCAACAACCTCATGGGCACTCTCAATGAACTGCAGTCCAACATCAAAACCCAGGAACCTCCAGCATTAGAACCAGAAGCCATTCGAGAACAGCAGGAAGAGCTTGAGGTGAGAGGGTAACATCTTGTGAAGTCCAAGTAGAATAAAATATTTTTGTCAAGGAAGGAAGGGAAGACAACGTCAGGAATATGTTTGTGTTATGTTTCAGAGAATAATCTTGTCTATCATATAAACATTTAAGTACACTTTTAGCTTTAAAAAAATGAAAAAATATTTCTACTCTCATATGACAACATCTTCAATGACTACCCAAAGGCCAAGGTTTATCTTTGTACTAATGATATGTCTGTTTGACATTTTGTATCATTAACTATCCTGTTTCTTTCTGCAGGCTCTGAAAGAGGACATCCAGGCTACTGCTGCTGATCTGGATGATGTCCGCCAGGCAGGAGACCATCTCCTGTCTATGGTCGGAGATTCAGAGAAACCAGAAGTCCAGAAGAACATCGAGGATGCAGACGCCAACATGGCCGCCATCAGTGACGAGTGTGAGAAGAGGTCCAAGACCCTTGAAGATGCTCTCAAGAAGGCTGTCACTTTCCAGGATGAGCTGATGGTCAGTAATCTTGCCTTGCAGCTCAACATAATTCTTTTGTAAAGGAGCTCTCAGAGTGGGAATGAATTTTTCAGTTCACAGTTATGAAAACACAGATTCCGAAGTTGTTGTTGGAGACTCATAGTCGTTTGACGATCTGTCCTGGCCATTTACACAACAGCTTTTGCAACACAGGTTCTTCAGCTGGTGTCATTACAAGAATGATGAAATATTTAAAATAGGATGTGTTTCAGCTGTCCAAATATGCTTTTTTTTTTATTTACCCTTTAACTTTGCTTATGACAATGGGGTTTTTCCTTTTCAGAAAATGCTTGTTTGGCTGCAAAGGATGGAAGAAAGGTTCTGTGACCTTGGACCCATTGGATCTGACTTTGAGACAATCAAGAAACAGTGGGATGAACTCAAGGTACATATAGCCACCAGTACTACCTTTTTTTAATCCACCTCACACAGTGAAGATGGAACAAGTATCAAATAACTTAAACATTGGCAGTTAGGAAATATTAATTTTTCTTGCAACCTTAGTGTACATTGAAATTTCATTTGTCGGGACTCCAGGAGACCCAAAACACAAGCTTCCAAATTATGACTTACACCCATGATTAATTAAGTGTAAGATATACAAAATGAAGACATATTCAAAAACAGGTAATTCCACTGGAAATATTTCCTCCCACATTTGGGGCGGTGGGTTAGCTTCGTGGTTAAAGAGTTTGTTCATCATGCCGAAGACCCGGGTTCGATTCCCGACATGGGTAAATTGTGAAGCCCATTTCTGGTGTCCCCCGCCGTGACATTGCTTGAATATTGCAAACCATACTCACTCACTCACTCCTCCCACATTAAGTTGATATCCCTTCACATAACTGGAATACTGTTCAAAGCCATGTTAAACTCACTCACTCACTCACTCACTCACTCACTCACTCACTCACTCACTCTGGGATGAGTACTCTTTAGATTACCTAGTCATCAACAGTTCCACATTGATAATTATCTTACACATTTTTCCTCCAGATCTTCAAAGCTGACGTTGACCCTAAACAAATTGACGTTGAGACCCTAACCCAGCAAGTGAATGACATGGTGAAGGACTCCAATGCTGAGCAGGCTGCCGTGGTGAAGGAGCCTCTCCTGGAGGTCAATACAAGGTGGGACACGCTGGTGGCCGGAATCGGAGAGAGGCAGAGACAGCTGCAGATGGCCTTGCTCAGTGTGGGTCAGTTTGACCATGCCCTGGACGAGCTGCTGTCCTGGGAGGAGAAGACCGATAAGGCCCTTGATGCCATCACACCAGTCGAGGGCGAAGTCAAGGACATCGAGATGGAACTGGCTAAACTAAAGGTGAGCGGAGTTGTCTCCCTTTGAGTGGGGTGTGGGGTCGGTTGTTGTGGTTTGATGTTGTGTGACTTAATACTTGACAGTTTTTGGGTTGAAAAAATATAGAACACACTTCAAAGTTAATCTTATACACATGTACTTGTATTCTGAAAAATTATTTTCCTCTTTGGAATGATGCAATTATGGCTACTCCACACGTGAAAAGTCCAGAATGAGTGTTGATTCCATAAAAGGAGGCTTGATTTCCTGTAGGCCTGTGTTGAAACATTTAGGTAACTACATGCATCTACTTTCGGTCCTCAGTCTCTCCAGAATGACATCACAGCACACCAGCCAAGCGTGGACTCCCTGAACGAGGAGGCACTGAAGCTGATGGCTGCTGACAGTGGAGAGTCTGCCGCCAAGCAGAAGGTGGACAAGATGAACAACAGATGGGACGACCTCCAGGACAAGTGTAGCGACAAGCAGGCCAGGCTGGAGACTGCCCTCAAGGAGGTGAGTAGTGGCCACTGACATGAAAAGTAGCCCTGTGGTTAGAGCCCTCCAGGTTAGAATTGGTCCCCATCCACCTATGCTGGTAGTGTGCGACCACTTGATGGATCAGATGGTCAGGCTTCTGGACTTTGCTGATTTTGTGTCATCGTTACCCGGATCAGCCTAGCTAAAATCAGTCAAATGTTAATATAAAAACCCACTCATTTGCTGTCGCTATCAATATATTATTTTAAATACTATAATTAAAACCTGTTTAATATTTATCTTAAAAACCACTACTTTTTTTCTAGCAACTTATCAATTTGGGGAAATGAAAAAAATTTGGAAATTAGACATTTTTGTGATAATTTTTTCTCTTGACCCACCGGCTGAATTTTGGGGCCAAAAATATGTAAAGCAATAAAAAAACAAAACATATGGCCTTATAGTGTTTATCTATCAGATAATGTTGTAACACTGACGCATCTGTGTTCCCAGGCTCGCTCCTTTGGTGGGGACCTCCAGGACATCATGATGAAACTGGGGGATGTAGAGAACCAACTCATAACCTCCAAGCCGGTCGGAGGACTCCCAGAGACTGCCAAGGAACAACTCGAGAAGTTTATGGTAAAATCTGTTTGAAATATTTTATTTAGACAATTGTTCACTATGATACCAATGAATTAAATATCGCTCGTCATGCCGAAAACCTGGGTTCGATTCCCGACATGGGTACAATGTGTGAAGCCCATTTATGGTGTCCCCTGCCGTGATATTGCTGGAATATTGCTAAAAGTGGTGTAAAACCATACTCACTCACTCATGAATTCAATATCTTCAAAGTTTCTTCAATTCAATGGATATTGTGATATAGGTATGTTTATTGATAAAGGATGCCCAGTCGTCTAAGGAGCCACAATTATCTGAACAGAGAATCATGGTCATGGGTTCGAATCCCAGTTGACCCTGATAATGTTTTCAACACCATACCCATGTTCAGGGGTTTCACCAAGATGGTCAAATCTAAGGCCTGCATTAAGACCACATCCGTGGTCCAGTGGTAGAGCGTCCGCCCAGAGAGAGGAAGGTCCGGGGTTTGATCCCCGGCAGCATCATACCAAAAGATGTTAAAAGATGGTACATGTTGTTACCCTGCCTGGTGCTCAGCATTAAGGGGCTAAAACAAGGACTAGTCAGCTCAGAGTCAGTATACTGTGTCAGAGTTGGGTATTCATGTTAAACTGCGGCATGGTATCACAGTGGACTAGCACTAATAATTGTTATCAATCTGGACTAGTACAAGCAGCCACACACACACATGCATGTACGTCGCTATATAAGTGCAATAATCTTGGACGAGATGTTAAACCCCATTTCACCTCACCTAAGACCTGCATCACTTCGGGCTTTCCTCCCACATCAAGCAGACATGCCATGATGTAGCTGAAACACTGTTCAAAGCAGTGTAAGGCCAGTCACTCACTGATATTGTTTTTTATTTCTGCTACAGGATGTATACAGTGAACTTCAAGCCCTTGACCCCATGATCAAGTCTGTCATAGACAAAGGACATAAACTTGCCAAGAAATCCAAGCGCCCTGCTCAGTCCAACCTGACCCAGAATGTTGGGGCGCTCAAGCAGAGGTGGGACCATGCCAAGAATCGAGCAGAGGACAAGAAGGTCAGTAGTCTCTCTGCCACTTGTTAGGCCTTTAAATTAAAGAATTGGTTCTCAAGCAATGGCTTTTGAAAATATAGTACGAGCAGTGTTTTGGGTTTTTGGGTGTTTTTTTATAGTTTTTTGGGGTTTTTTTGGGTGGAGGGGCGGTTGTTGTTACCCTGTCTGGCGCTCGGCACTAAGGGGCTAAAACAAGGACTGGTCGGCTCAGAGTCAGTATACAGTGTCTGAGTGGGGTATTCATGTTAAACTGCGGCATGGTATCTCAGTGAGCTAGCACTATAAATCGGCATCAGTCCGACTAGTACAAGCAGCCAAACACATACATACATGTGCATGCACTTCGCTTTATAAGTGCAATAATCTTAGACGTGACGTTAAACCCCATTTCACGTCACTTTTTTTCAAATGGAAATAAAAATTAAATGTGCTGCGAACTTGATGATGATGTGGGCAGTGCGTGAGAACCAAGACTATTATTTTTTCAGCCTTTGCTGTACTTTTTACACATAAGACACTGCTAATTACTGGTTACAACCTGAACATTTTGGGGAAATGATTTTGGATGATTGATAAATTCTTACCCGAGTGTCTTTTGATATCAAATATATCAACACTATATCACACTTAAAACTACTCAGCAAGCCTTGTTGTTGATATTCTCTAAATATTGGAGTTATTACAATTAAATTTGACATGTCCACTTTCAGAATTTGGGAGCAAGCTTGTTTTCGAAAAAAGCATTTCATTGATGTGTCATAAACATGCTTACAGCTCTCTGCCGTTCAGAAACACAGACAATCTCCGATAAAATTTTATGTTCAGACAGCAATTAAAAATGTCTATTGGTGTTTAAATATGATTTTAATTATTTGTTATGTTTTTAGAAAAAGCTGGAGGAAGCTGTTGGCCTCGCTGGCAACTTCCACACGGAGTTGAACAAGTTCATTGCATGGCTGACGGACACAGAGAAAACCCTCAACAACCTCAACCCTGTCAGCCGCCTGGTGGACAGAGTCACCAAGCAGATTGATGAACACAGGGTAGGCATCCTAGCAACATCTCACCATGGGATCAGTGAGGTCTGAGGTCATAGAGACATGTAGGCATCGTAGCAACAGCTTACCATGGGATCAGGGAGGTCTGAGGTCATAGAGACATGTAGGCATCCTAGCAACATCTCACCATGGGATCAGTGGGGTCTGAGGTCATAGAGACATGTAGGCATCGTAGCAACAGCTTACCATGGGATCAGTGGAGTTTGAGGTCATAGAGACATGTAGGCATCGTAGCAACAGCTTACCATGGGATCAGGGAGGTCTGAGGTCATAGAGACATGTAGGCATCCTAGCAACATCTCACCATGGGATCAGTGGGGTCTGAGGTCATAGAGACATGTAGGCATCGTAGCAACAGCTTACCATGGGATCAGTGGAGTTTGAGGTCATAGAGACATGTAGGCATCGTAGCAACAGCTTACCATGGGATCAGTGGGGTTTGAGGTCATAGAGACATGTAGGCATCGTAGCAACATCTCACCATGGGATCAGTGGGGTCTGAGGTCATAGAGACATGTAGGCATCGTAGCAACAGCTTACCATGGGATCAGTGGGGTTTGAGGTCATAGAGACATGTAGGCATCGTAGCAAGAGCTTACCATGGGATCAGTGGGGTTTGAGGTCATAGAGACATGTAGGCATCCTAGCAACATCTCACCATGGGATCAGTGGGGTCTGAGGTCATAGAGACATGTAGGCATCTAGGCAACAGCTTACCATGGGATCAGTGGAGTTTGAGGTCATAGAGACATGTAGGCATCGTAGCAACAGCTTACCATGGGATCAGTGGGGTCTGAGGTCATAGAGACATGTAGGCATCGTAGCAACAGCTTACCATGGGATCAGTGGGGTTTGAGGTCATAGAGACATGTAGGCATCGTAGCAACAGCTTACCATGGGATCAGGGAGGTCTGAGGTCATAGAGACATGTAGGCATCGTAGCAACAGCTTACCATGGGATCAGTGGGGTCTGAGGTCATAGAGACATGTAGGCATCGTAGCAACAGCTTACCATGGGATCAGTGGGGTTTGAGGTCATTGAGACATGTAGGCATTGTAGCAACATCTTACTATGGGATCAGTGGGGTCTGATGTCATAGAGACATGTAGGCATCTAGGCAACAGCTTACCATGGGATCAGTGGGGTTTGAGGTCATAGAGACATGTAGGCATCGTAGCAACAGCTTACCATGGGATCAGTGGGGTTTGAGGTCATTAAGACATGTAGGCATCGTAGCAACAGCTTACCATGGGATCAGTGGGGTTTGAGGTCATAGAGACATGTAGGCATCGTATCAACAGCTTACCAGGGGATCAGTGGAGTTTGAGGTCATTGAGACATGTAGACATTGTAGCAACATCTTACTATGGGATCAGTGGGGTCTGAGGTCATTGAGACATGTAGGCATCGTAGCAACAGCTTACCATGGGATCAGTGGAGTTTGAGGTCATTGAGACATGTAGACATCGTAGCAACATCTTACTATGGGATCAGTGGGGTCTGAGGTCATTGAGACATGTAGGCATCGTAGCAACAGCTTACCATGGGATCAGTGGGGTCTGAGGTCATAGAGACATGTAGGCATCGTAGCAACAGCTTACCATGGGATCAGTGGAGTTTGAGGTCATTGAGACATGTAGGCATCGTAGCAACAGCTTACCATGGGATCAGTGGGGTTTGAGGTCATAGAGACATGTAGGCATCTAGGCAACAGCTTACCATGGGATCAGTGGAGTTTGAGGTCATAGAGACATGTAGGCATCGTAGCAACAGCTTACCATGGGATCAGTGGGGTTTGAGGTCATAGAGACATGTAGACATCGTAGCAACATCTCACAATGGGATCAGTGGGGTCTGAGGTCATAGAGACATGTAGGCATCTAGGCAACAGCTTACCATGGGATCAGTGGAGTTTGAGGTCATAGAGACATGTAGGCATCGTAGCAACAGCTTACCATGGGATCAGTGGGGTTTGAGGTCATAGAGACATGTAGGCATCGTAGCAACATCTCACCATGGTATTAGTGGGGTTTGCAGTGATAGAGAAGTGTAATCATCTTTATTTTGTGTCATTGGTTTATTGTAATTTGTATTGAATATTCTCTAACTTGTATTTTAATGATAATATGTGACCTAGTTATTATATTTTTACAACTTGTTACTTATATATATATACACAAAATATTCTGGCCACAATATTGCTGAAATAATGCTTACAAATTTTAAATTTATTTAACATGGAGTTAACGACTTGTTTCCAGTTTGATACAGGGGGTTGGGGTAGCCTAGTGGTTAAAGCATTTGCTTATCGTGTAGAAGACCCAGGTTAAATAAAGTGAAATTGGTTCTTTGTGTTTGATATGTCTAGTAAAAGTCTGAAAGCGGAGTTGAAGCTCATGTTATCTCTGGTTTGTTACAGTTTCTACAAAAGGATGTGAGCAAGCACCGAGAGGCGATGGTCGCTCTTGACAAGATGGGTACCCATCTGAAGTACTTCAGCCAGAAGCAGGATGTCATCCTGATCAAGAACTTGCTGTCCAGTGCACAGCACCGGTGGGAGAAGATCGTGTCCCGCAGTGCAGAGAGGACCAGGCACCTTGAGAGGGGGTACAAGGAGGCCAAGCAGGTGAGACATAACAGGAGGGTAGTGGTGGTGGTGATGGGGATGAAAATGACAACAATAGTGTCATCCTTTAAACACCGTGTACATTTTGTTTTGATAAATACCCTTGACCCATTTGCTGATTCATTTTTGAGCCGTATTCGACTGGCATGATACTAAAAAGAGCTGTTCATTCAAAGTACACTTAACCGCCTCTGTGATCTAGTGGTAGAGCTAAGAGCTAACTGGAATACTGTTAAAAGCAGCGTAAAACCCAACTAACTCACTCACTTTGTTTTGTTTGACTGTAGAAAAATTGCACATTTTGGGTTTGCCCTAAAAATACATGTTGTGTTAGATTTTGTTCAGGTATGTATTCCTATTGTAAAGGCTACTATGAATGCTATCTGCCATGTTGATCACATGCTAATGTACGACTGCTCCAGTTCCACGACATGTGGCGAGACCTGATTGACTGGCTGGTGGAGGCACAGAGCGAGGTAGACTCCGACCAGTTCATTGCAAATGAACCAGACAAGATCAAGGCCCAGATTGCCAAACATAAGGTAATGACATCCTTTTCTCTTGTGCTCCACCCCATGAAGATCTGAGTTAAAATTGGCCTTCAGGGACTCATGTTTGTCGTAAGAGGCAACTAAGGGGGGTCAGTTGGCCAGGCTCACTGACTTGGTTGATGTATGTCATCATATCCCAGTTGAATAGATCAATGCTCATGATGTCAGTCACTGGATTGTCTGGTCCAGACTTGATTATTTACAGATCTCTGGAATATTGCTGAATGTAGTGTTACACAACAAACAAACAAGAAATCTCTTTTTCTCCATCAAATAGTGTTTTGGGGGGAAGCCTAGTGGTTGGTTTCCCAGGTATGTACGATATGTGAAGCCAATTGTCCCCAGCACAATACTGCTGGAATATGCTCAATAACATGTAAAAACATACTTAGTTTGTCAGCATTCTATTAAGCTCCAGTGCACACTTGATTTAATGAGGAACAGTCAGATATTAAGTTCAGCAAGCAATTGCAATTTTATCAAACAACTCAAAGCATTCAAGCATTTACAGAGTTGTCTTCCTTTACCAGGAGTTCCAGAGGAAGCTTGGCTCCAAGCAGCCCAAGTTCGACACAGTTAACCGTACTGGCCGCTCCCTCAAAGACAGATGCCCCAAGGAAGACAGCCCTGAGATACAACAGATGTTGAATGATCTCAAGTCCAGATGGAATGCTGTCTGTGGAAAGTCTGTTGACAGGTACGTAGATATGTGTATGCGAGTCTGATAGTGGTTAGGTGAATGGGTGATGAAGGAGTTCCATGCTGCCGAGGTTTGAGTAAGCATGGTTGTATGCTGGTTGCAAGTCTGTCAGGAGTTGTCTCCCTTTCCTACACTCTTTGCAGTTCCACTGTATATCACTGTAGCCAGAGGTGCAGGCCTCAGGGCTAATTAGGAACCGGTTACCGCCGATTACCAGATCTGCGAGATTTGAAGGCTCAGTGAGAGTGTTTACAGACTTTATTTTGGTATATGGTCTCTGCTGTAGCCAAGTGTGTTGATTCTCAAAAGAAGTTTCTGTTCACCGAACCATCATGGGTATCTAGATTGTCAACTTTCGCTTCAAAGTACAAAGTTTGTGTACTCGCAAAATTTAAAAATGCAATATAAAGATGTCCTTTGAAAATTATGTAGTCTATTCTATCTCAGCAGGAGCAAAGAATCTAATTATGTTTACATCCTTCAGGATCGACTCAAAGTCTTTATGCTACAATCTTGAACTGTTAAACCCCATTTCATCTCACCTTTATCCACATATCTGAATGATATTTTTACCTGACCACAGACAACGTAAGCTGGAGGAGGCGCTGCTCACTTCGGGTCAGTTCAATGATGCCCTGCAAGCTCTGATGGACTGGCTGGCCAAGGTCGAGCCCACCCTTGGAGAGGATCAACTCGTCCATGGCGACATTGAGACGGTCAACAGTCTGCTTGACCAACACAAGGTTGGGACACTTACTGACTTGTGGGGACTCTGTGTTAGGATAGGCCCCAGCTACTATATATGCTGGTCATAAGAGATGAGTAAATGGATAGGGTGGTCAGACTCTGTCATCGTACCCTGAAAATGTGGATCGTTGTTCATCATTGCTCACAGTATCTATCAACCGGGTTAGAATAGGTCTTCAGCAACCCTGCTTGTCTTGAGAGGCGACTATGCTTGTCATAAGAGGGGTCAGGATGGCTGACTTGGTTGATGCATGTCATTATATCCAAGTTGCATGGATTGATGCAAATGATATCAATCACTGGATTGTCTAGTCCAGACTCGATTATTTACAGACCGCCATCATATAGCTGGAATATTGCTGAGTGCGGCGTTAAACAAGAAACAAACACAGTAACAGTTTACCTGTTTGGTCCAGACACCATTATTGACAGGCCACTGTGATACAGGGGAATGTTGATGAGTGAGGTGTAAGAACTAGTAACACTCCCAGCTGTCTTAATAAATAACATAACCATAGCAGCTTAAAGTGACGGTAAGCAATGCTATGTGATATATACAGGCATATAATGTCTATAATGTCATGTTGAAACCACATTTTGTCATGAAAAGTTACCAAATTAATAATAATTAATAAATATAAAAATATCTCTACATGACTCTCAGCTTTTGTCCAGCATTAAATTGAATTGTATGATTGTTGGCAGAACACTATTATTAACACGATCTTAAAAAGTACACCCAATTTTTATTGTTCTTTTGATTTTGTTTCACAGACATTCCAAACGGAGCTGAGTGCAAGAACCAACACAGTTGCCTTTGTACAGAAGTCAGCCAAGGAGCTGATGGAGAAGTCCCAGGAGGACACGTCCCAGCTCCAGGCACAGCTCATCGAGCTGTCCACCATGTGGGACCGAACTTGCCGCCTCAGTGCCAACAAACAGCAGAGACTCGACCAGGCACACAAACTGGTGTGTACACATGGAGCATTGAATATACCCAGCCTTTGGGTCTGAATATCTTTTCCTCATTCTAATGCTTGTTATCTGATCGCTTGATATTGCTGCTGAACAAATTAATGACGCAAAAACTCAATGAATTTTAAGCTCATAATGGGGTTATGTGTCCTCGCATGCATTACTTGGCTTATGCTATTCAAATCCCTTATCTACGAAATACATTTAATAAATTTACAGATCACTGTAACATTGCAAAAATATTTGCAATTTAAATTCAGTCAAAAGCTGATTTTAACCCTTTTTCAAGCTTTGGAACTCTTTTTTCTGAAGATTTCATGATGCAGAGTTATGTCCCTTAGAAGTGCCAGAATTATGTGATTGTGGGTTTGGATCTGAGGCTTACCCAGATTAGGATCTTTGATCTGTTTGTATCAAAGCCATACTTATAGGTTTTACAAAATGCTATAAATGACTTCTATGATTGACCTGCATCAAAGTGGTATTAACCCACAAACCCACCTACTCTGTCCCTCCAGGCTGACGAGTTCCAGAAGAAGGCCCAGGGTCTGGTGGAATGGCTTGCGGAGGCGGAACAGACCTTACGCTACCGAGGCCCAATCCCCGATGAGGAGCCCCTCATCCTACAGCAGATGGACGAGCACAAGGTTTGTTTGTTTGTGATTCAACGTCACCCTCATGGCGGCCTGGGAATAATCGAGTCTGGACCAGACAAAAGAGTGATTGATATTATGGACAAGTCCCGACACAATTGGGGAACATTGATATGCAATAAACCAAGTCACCCAGTCAGACCACCATTTTCATTGAGTTGCCTGCTACCTCAGCATAGGTTGCTGGGGACCCCTTCTAATCCTGAATCCCCAAGGGGGAACAAACACAGGGTCAACTGTCAGCTGATCTGTGGCTTCAAGAACATCCTACCTCATGGCTTGAAGACTTTGTTGAACCCCTAAGTATGGGATATCATTGTTTCATAAGTGTCATCACTGGAATGTCTGGTCCAGACTCAATTATTTACAGGCCGCTGTCATATAATATTGTTGAGTGCAGCATTAAACAACAACCACACACACTCACATGCATGCATGCATTCCTCATCTGATCACATTGGATCATATATGTCACCAATGAGCGTGCTTGGCCCTCATTACACCATGCTTGTTGAGGCAGAATGAAATGAGTAAAGTGTGTGACTGGGTTGATTTGTGCCCAGTGGCATCAATTGTTGCTTAAGTAGTAGACCAAGCGTTGGTTTGCTTTGTGCAGTCTCCGTTATTTACTGGCTGCTGTGATGTCTCTGGAATAGAGCTGACTACATCTCTGTGAGAGATTCACTCCCTCATATCTGGCACAAGCTGTGAGTCACTTCTCCATGAAGCACCAGTTCCCTAGGTAACTGTTAATTAAAGGGGGACTAGGCCTAGGCAAAATGACAGTCCTGGCAAGTTTGATTCAGTCTTCTTTTGATAAATTATATAGTGTATTTAATCTTGTAGTAACCCTATTTACAGAGATCTGAGCATCTCAGGCCTAGACTTAAAATGGGAGCGTAGTCCCTGTGGACTATTTTACCTCCATTCCAGCCAGTGAAATGACATGGTTTTCTGTGGTGGAGATGGGAACTTGTGGATGTGTGGACATTGACAGTGATACTTACTTCTTCATCCTGGTGTTATTTGTTACAGAAATTTGAGGAGGCCTTGATGAGACAGGAGGCTACCCTGAGAGAAACTCTGAACATCGGCCAGGACATCATGAAGCGGTGTCACCCCGACGCTGTGTCCACGATGAAGTACTGGCTGTCAGCACTCCGGGCTCGCTGGGAGGAGGTGAGATCATCCACCAATACGTTCCAGGAATTCTACTGGAAGGGTGTTTCGCATTTACAAAAATTCAAGTATTTTATCTCATACATTGCCAGTATGACGTTGACAGATCTATCACAGTGTGATCTTCTTAATTTGACCTTGAACTTGAAATATTTATCTGAGGAATTTTATGATCCGAGCAATTTTATGATCCGAGCAGAAGCCTTCTAAACACTATCAACACATCTCTTAAGGGACTGTGGTTAAGCGTTCACACACCCCACACGGTTTCAATTCCCAACATGGGTGCAATGTGTGAAGCTAATTTGAATATTGCTAAAAATGGCATTTAACCCTACTCACTCATTGTTTTTATGATTCACAGGATTTCACTGTGTAATGATGATGATGATGTAGGAGATTTAACGAGTGTTTCCGGTGTTGCCGACTAAGCACTCAGGCTGTATATTGATGTTTCGGCCTTAGCTTCATATGAATAGCATGGTGTGAATGAGATGTTAACACTCTTTCAATATAAACGGAATGTGCCCAGTGTTACATGCTGCCGTGTGTGTTCCAGCTGACCAGCTGGTCAAGGCAGCGTGGCCACCGCCTGGCGGAGGGTCTGACCCACCTGAGGAAGAACAACGCCCTGCTGGAGGAGCTGCTGGCCTGGCTCAACTCAGCCGAGGTGAAGCTCCACAACCAGGACCAGGAACCCCTCCCGGAAGAAATCCCGGCCATCATGGAGCTCATCCGGGAACATCAGGTATGTGACATTGATTCGAATCAAACTTTACTTTGACATAAATAGACACATATTTAACCTGGTAATTCACACTGATATAGAGTTAAGACAGCCATAGCGCAAAGAGTGCTGGGCGCTCTACAAAACGAAATTAGCTCTGAGGTGATCGTAACTCCCATACCTTAACATAGACTTACGATAGTCATAGCGCTAAGGTTGTTTTGTACAATGGCACTCTGGACTTTGGTTACCAGGGTCAGTGGGTGGGACAGAGTCAAAGGGGTCACCAAATATGAAATGTCGAACAGTTCTTGAAATATATTACTCAAGTGAGTGTGTATTATTCTGTGTAGTAGTACCACTGTGGTGGAATATTTTCTTTGAAGAATTTTCAACAAATAAATCTGATTGCCCTTCGTCTTTGACCCTTTAAAACATCTTAGTCTTCATTATGATCTTTGTCATTTCAGGATTTCCAGAACGAGATGTCTGGCAAGCAGCCAGAAGTTGACCGACTGACCAAGGCTGGAAAGAGGCGGACATCATCAGTATCTCAAGATGGAGTTTCCTCCTTCATTCCTGTACTCAAAGGAGCTTACAAGACACCAACCAAGTCATCGTAAGTTTCACATTAGTAGGCATGAAAAAGGCAGACAAGGCTATCAATACAGAATCGTCTCTAAATGAGGCATGAATCAGACAACAGACTGAGCATATCAGTATGGAAAGGTGTGAAGGGGTAGCATCTGTGTTAGGTGGTCATGCTGCAGGCTTGTTTTCCTGCCTGGTTTCAGTTTACGAAGTGTTCTGTTGGTTATTTGGTATGGATTTGCTTGAAAGTTAATACTAGGGCACTGGCGGAACCGGAGGGGATTGCAGGGGGGTTATTGATTCAGACACCTTACTGTGCCTTTGGGTGTAGTGTGTCATCATGCTTTATCTCTTTGCATATATTATGTTAGCTGTTTATACATGTCCTACCCAGTTATTGGACCTCCTAAGACGTTAAAAGATGTCTTAGGAGGTCATATCAAAAGACGTTAAAAGATGGTACTTGTTGTTACTCTGCCCAGCGCTCTGCATGAAGGGGCTTAAACAAGGACTGGTCGGCTCGGAGTCCGTAAACTGTGTCTGAGTAGGGTATTCATGTTAAACTGCGCTATGGTATCTCAGTGGGCAAGCGCTATAAATCGGCATCAGTCTGGACTAGTACAAGCAGCCACACACGCGTGCATGCATGTTGCTATATAAGTGCAATAATCTTGGATGCGACGTTAAACTCCATTTCACCTCACCTACCCAGTTATTGATCACTTGTTTGATAAAGGCAGTAGCATCTGTACCAAAATGTCTCATTGAATGAATAATGAAGTTGAATCCAGAAGTCAGCTTTGATAAAAGCTGTATCGATCCTTAGTCTTCATTCAGGGACTCTGTACTTTTTGGAGGAAGGTACTTGTAAATAATGAATTCTGCTTCAGACGCCTTGACACACCAGGAAGAAAAACTCCTGACTTTGGAAGAAAGACCCCTGACTTCAGTCGCAGTTATGGAAGAAAAACACCAGATTTCGGACGTAGAACACCGGATTTTGGTCGCCGCACACCAGAACCAGGCCGAAAAACACCCGAACCTCTATATGCCAATCCCAGAGTCGGTGCTCTGTTCAACAAATGGAGGCAGGTGTGGCTTATGGCTATGGACAGGCAACGCAAACTCCAGGATGCACTGGAGTACCAGAATGAGGTGAGGCAGGGGAGATAACTGAGAATACAATTTGAAAAAGTCTACTTGCTAAAGTTCCAATCTTGAACCTTTTCTCAGGAGGACAGTTCATCGTATTCAAAATTAGGTTTGATGGCAATTTTGTTTTTCCGAAACATTGGATCTTTTACTGAAATCTGTGTCTCACTTTCAGGTGGAGAGAATGAAAAACTTTGACTTTGATGAGTGGCGGAAGCGCTACCTGCGATGGATGCATCACAACAAGGCTCGCATTATGGACCTGTTCCGTCGCCAGGACCGCGACCACGACGGCCAGGTCACTAGGAAGGAGTTCATTGAGGGCATCATTTCGTCCAGTGAGTACAACTTCGTAACACCTTCATGAGGATTCAGGTTAGAATTGGTCTTCAGTAACCCATGCTTGCCATGAAAGAGGCAACTAACAGGATTGGTTCGTCAGGTTTGCAGACGCGGTTGGTACATGTCATCGTATCCAAATAACTACATCGATGCTCATGATGTCAATAACAGGATAAGGGTGGGGTAGCCTAGTGGTTAAAACGTTTACGCTGCATGCTGAAGTCCCGGGTTCAATTCCCCACATGGGTACAATGTTAGAAGCCCATTTCTAGTGTCCCCCGCTGTCATATTGCTGGAATATTGCTAAAAGCGTCTTAAAATACGACTCAATCACTCGCCCAATCAGGGGATTGTTTGGTCCACATTTGAAACACGAAAACAAAACCCTTGTAACACTTTATTCATATGGATCAAGAGACCTTGGCTGAGATACAGCACTATAGGAAAACATTTTACGGGACCAATTACACAAATTAGGTCTACTAGCCTGAAGTTGTATTGAGGCCTCATTTTCAGTAGAGTTAACTATTGCCATATGGACTTACAAAGACAGAAAGATATGTCACCAGATTTGGGCATCAGACAAGTGGAAGAAGTTGCAAACTGAAGTTTTAAAGATGACGATTACAAGTTTCAGTTTCTGTTATGATTGAATGTAGACTGTGAAGTTGAAAGTAAACTAATATTTGTCCATGTGTCTTATTATGTTATATGAAACTGTTATTCTTCAGAGTTCCCAACATCCAAACTTGAAATGAATGCTGTTGCTGATATTTTCGATCGTAACCGTGATGGCTACATCGACTACAAGGAGTTCGTCTCAGCCCTCAGACCAGACAGAGATGTAAGTAATAACCTGACTTAGTCTACGTACCCGTGGGGGCACGGGTGGCCCAGGCGTCTAAGGCGCCGTGATTCGCTGTGCAGAGTTGCGTCCCCTGGACACGCCAGAAATCTATCCCGGTTCGCCCCGATTATGTTTCTAAGTTTGTCAGCACCATACCCGTGCTCGTGGGTTTCACCAAAGTGGTAAACGTCTGAGACCTGCATCACTTCGGGCTTTCCTCCCACATTAAGCTGACACTCTGCGATATAACTGGAATACTGTTAAAAGCGGCATTAAAAACAACTCACTCACTTACTCACTACGTACCCGTTCAAGGACAGCGCTGTGACCGCTGTACATGTGAAATACAGCAGAACAGCAGAGTCCTTTGGACATTTGAAATATTTATATTACCATACTTAGAATATTGATTGTGGTTCGATCCCAGGGCAATGTTCCACAAAGCAATCTTAGCGCTAAGTCAATCGTAAATCCCATTCTTTAACACTGACTTACAACAATCGTAGGGCTAAGATCGCTTTGTGGAACTGGGCCCTGTTCATGTCATGCAAAAGACGTTAAAAGATGGTAACTGTTGTTTCCCTGTTTGTGACTTGGCATTAGATATACAACAACAACTAGTCAGCTCTGAGTCAGTATACTGTATCTGAGTGGGGTATCCACTTCAAACTGCGGCATGGTATCTCAGTGGACTTGCACTATAAAACCATCACTTGTCCGGACAGGTACGAACAGCCACACACACATGTGCATGCACATGATTGTATAGGTTGGTTGAGGCCTTTGCCATCACGCTGAAGGCCCGGGTTCAATTCCCCACATGGGTACAACGTGTGAAGCTCCTTTCTGATGTCCCCTGCCCTGGTATAGCTGGAATATTGCTGAAAGTGGCGTGAAACCATTCTCACTCACTCACTACTGTGAGGAGTACGTTAAAGGGCAATTTTAAGCAAGTTGAGATTCACTTGTATTGTATTGTCATAATCTCATCATATGAAATGGAATTACTATATATTGTGTATGTATTTACAGCCTCCCAAACCTGAGACGGAAGCAGACAAGATCAACGATGAAGTGAAGCGGCAGGTGCACAAGTGCACGTGCATGAGGCAGTACAAGATTCACAAGATCGGAGAAGGGAAATACAGGGTGAATATCTCCACTCCATCTCGCATACAACACAATACCGTCATACACTGTTTAGGGCTCTTAACAAACTTGTGCCAATACGTTTCTGAAGAGTATCTTGAAAGGATAACAATATTATGTCACATAGAGAATAGTTCACATCAAGTTTATGCTGGATTGTAGTGCTTGCATTTAGTGGTTTCACTGTTCAACTGCTTTCTCATGAACTTTGTTGGGTTGAATTACTTTTCTGGCTCATGTTATTGTCGTACGGACATTTCGAAGGGATAAGTTGTCTAGAAATGTGGCTGAAGTATGTGAAGTCTACAATGTCTTTTTAGTCCTGCAAGTCAGACATGCTCATCTGCTTGTACATTTCAACTCTCTTTGGTATTCAACACCATCAAAGTTGTCAAAATCTGACCAGTTGGTGATAGAAGGTAGCTGGCACCTTGGATACCAGTACTGATACCTCCCAACTTAGATTGGACGCAAATAGCACCAGAATTAACAGACAAGAAAATAATATTGTACCTGTTGAAACCTGGACATTTTTCAAATCGGGACAAGTAGATGTTTACAGTTTCTATGGAAAGATTTCTGCCCCTAACCCCTGCTTAAACTTTTGCCTCATCCTACATAACTGATTATTTAATACTTCTAGTTATGAATTTTCCAAATTTCGACACAGGGGTTTGGGAGGAAGTTTTTCCGTTCATATTACTTATTTTTAGAATCTGAATTAGGTTTTCCCACTTGTGATGTATGGAAGCTTCAGGGCCTGGGTTGTCTGTATACCACAAGCACATGCACCCATTGTATCCACTTTTGTTTTACAGAGGAAAACTATAAAAAGAAAACCCCTCAAAATATTCAAGGTATTTTAACCTAAGATATCAAAGCTTTCAAAGCTTTCTTCATTTTTAGAAATTCTTTTTTTTCATGCCTAGGCATATTCAGAGTAAAAAGCTTTTTGTCTATAATCTTCTTCAAATTTTCTCCCACTGTTTTATGTGGCTTCTGACCTGCCATAGGCAATTTTAGAATTAAGTTAAACATAAACGAACATGCAAAGCTTGTTGAGTCAAGCTTCCGTTTTCTTGTGTATTCACTTGACAAATCCACAAGTATCTGAACTGATTTCTCTTCTTCAGTATTTGAATTTTATTGTTTTCATCTGATTGTTTTTAAAGATGTGTTACGTGTTTAAGGCTAAAAAAAATAATAGTCTTGGTTCTCAGGCACCGCCTGCATTATAAAGTCAACCGCACGTTTTGTTTTTATTTCCATTTTTTAATATTTAAAAAAAAAAATCCATAAATATTCCAAGTCCAACGGTAGTCAAATACAGTATTCCAGTTCTTTTCCTGTCAAGGAATACATTGATCTAGGGAGGTCCTTTCCCAGGTTGATTGTACACAACTGTTTATTTGGTTACATACTAGTTTAAACAACCCCCAACACACCCCAAAAAAGAAAAAAAGACACCACCCGCCCGCACTATATTTTCGAAAACCATTGCCTGAGAACCAATTCTTTCAGTTTTGTTTTGAGCCAAAATGACATTCACAGGATTAACTAAATTTACCCAAAAAATTCCTTTGGGATTTTTTTTTTTTGATATGAAACTTGAAAGCACTTTGGATATAGTTCTTGTGAAATATGAATCAATATTTAGCCTGTTTTATGTCCCAGTGAACTGGGCTGGTGGTGTCTACAGGTGAAGATTTTATTCCACGCATCTATCATTTATCATGAAATTTAGTTGTTGCTATGGAAGGTATCCATTTTAAGACTTATCTTAAGCTTATTTTGTTTACATTTCTTCTGCTTGTCAATCAGTATTTTGGAGCTTGTAGTCATTTGGGTTGTCCAGGTAGGTATTCTCATTTCATGGTGTTCCTCAATCTTTTTACATCAACTGTTTATTCATTGTTTGACCATAATCAGTCTGTCAATCACCCGTCCTTTAAAATCTATTCCAGTTCAAAGTCATTTCCTTATTTCCATGGTGTTAAGTTATGGTTTAGTTTACGTCATAAAAAGTCCCTATTGAGTAGGCTCATCACAAGATCTGACAATAATGATAGCGATGGGCATGATGGCAACCTGTGGGGTAACAACAGAGTGATGTAGTATTGTATCATGATTCAAGGCTGGCGATACAACACATCGATTAACTGTATCACCGTACCAACCCCACCGTACCTTTACACCTCTAATGCCTATAACCACAAGGAAACTATCCCTCACCTGGGCCTACTTGCACAAAGCGATCTTAGCGCGAAGATGATCGTAACTCCCATGCTTTAACATAGGCTTACAAGAGTCGTAGCGCTAAGATCGCTTTGTGCAAGTGGGCCTTGGGAGTGATTTGGGTTTAATGCAGCTTTGAAATGACTTACAGTCATGTCACAGCATGAAACTTCAAAAGTTCTACCATAAGCATTAGAGGTGTGTGGTGTTCCCCGTATACCACGGTATAAAATACTAATGAATACGTATCGCAATACACTTGGAAAAAATCAGTATATTGCATTTTCAGTCATGCATATCTTCATCTTGTTGGAAAAGTTGACATAAGTGACATCAATGGACAAGTCGAATTGAAATTATAAAATTAGCAATTGTTTCCTGTGAGAGAAAAAGTGAAACAATTTGCGACCAGTTTCCTGTGTATAATGTGTCCATTACTTCATTGATTGTGACCAAAGCAACATCCAGAAAATATGAAGTTGTCAAAAAAAGTGTGGGGAAATTCTTTTTATTAAGGTTCTTTACCAATTACAGATGATTCATTGAAAGAAAGCATGAAATATATTGTTATGTATCGCCATACATTATTCATTATTGCAATATATTGCGATACGAAATTCAGGCCAATACCCATCACTGATGACCACAGTTGTGGTGCATACAAAACTGTTGAATCTGACCCCGAATAAGAACCAATATCCAATCCCTCTCTCAGCAGGGACCATGTGCACAAAGAAAGCTTAGCACTACTACTGCAAATGTGTGTTAAAGTAGCCTTAGAGCTTAGATCAGATTGATCTAGTAAGGAGAACGCCTTTTTGAAATGACAAACAGCAATTGAACTTGATGTGTCAAGAATCATCGAGATACTCCTACAGTAGCCATAGCACTAATATTCTTTTATGAAACAGCCTTTCATGACTGTACAGCCCAAGATATGTATAAACTATTTCCCAAATTCCGGGGCTGTCGGTAAGCCTAGTGGTTGAAGCGTTGGCTCGTCACGCCAAAGACCTGGGTTCGATTCCCAACATAGTACAATGTGTCAAGCCCATTGGTGTCCCCCGCCGTGATATTGCTGGAATATTGCTAAAAGCGGCGTAAAACCATACTCACTCACTCTCTCCCTACTTGCCCATTGACAAATAAGACTGTGCCTACATTCTCTGTGACCTTTATTTCAGTTTGGGGACTCACAGAAATTGCGTCTGGTTCGAATCCTACGTAGCACCGTGATGGTTCGAGTTGGAGGAGGATGGATTGCGTTGGATGAATTCCTAGTGAAGAACGACCCATGCAGAGGTACATACTGCACATCTTCCTCTTCTTTTATTTTCAGGGACATGACAATGGACTCCAAGTGCAAAGCATTTAGATTTGCAAAGAATCCCAAATTAAAATTGATTTTAGTTTCATGACCAAATGACATGGTCAAATGTAGAATGACATGGGTTTAGAAACGATTCACTGAAAGAAACTTCAGTGTAATATTTACATTCTGTAGACGACGCTTAAATCATTTTCAGGAAATGTTAATGCTTTGTAGTTGGTCTTTTAAGTATTCAATGCATTGCTGATAGAAGCCTCGTATGTGAATCTGCTCAATGAAAAATACTCTCTCTGCAAATCATAGTGTTAGACTGAATGATTTAGATGTGTGCAAGTAAAAGCTTAAATGTTGCATGTTTTGTTTGATATATATTCCAAATTTTAATTTGTGACTATTATTCATAAATGAACAGAAAGTTTTATTGTCTGTTTAAATTTGAACAATTGTTGCTTACTTAATTGTAATTTATTTGTTTGTTGGTCCGAGTAAGGTATCACCTAAACTGTTACTTTCACATGTGTTTGGTTACACTGATGATTTTGGCTAATTTATGCATATGACACTGTATTTCACTATCTTTCATTTAATTTTCTTTTTCACATCTTGAATTTAAATTATAAATTGCATTTCACAGAAAATATTTGGGACTGGGACTTAGAAATTGGTATGATACTGGAATGAGAACATAACCATTTTTCTTGAATGATTGTATGAATCGTTTCCCTTCTTTATTATCCTAAGTCTTGAACTATGAATTGATTGGTAGAAAGTTTATCTAAGTTTATTATTTGATAGAAGTGTTAGCAATAATTATTCACTATAATGTTAAGTTGCTTTGTGAAATTGTGTCTGTAGTAATATTATTTTCATCATGTTCATGAAATAATCATCTAAAGATATAATATAAGTTAACATAAAACTAGGAAAATAGTATCAATAACTATAGATTTGTTGTGAGGGTTTAATTATGCACTACTTCACAGCTCAATCTCTCAGCACCTACCTGTGGTCTGTCATCTTCACATTTTCAGACAACACTGACTTCACATTTCTTGAATTTTGTTTCACATTTCCTTCATCCTTGCGTCTCAGTGTTTACTGGGTCATGTTTTTTTAGCCAAAAAGATGACAGAAGATGCCATATTTTTTCCCACTGATCATGTTTTTTTTTCTTCATCTTACGCAATCTCAGATTTTGGTAAACAGACCAAAAAGATCAAAACTTTTTGTGAGTATAGCACTGGAGAGGGGAAAATAGTTTTTTCAGATTTTTTACATGTTATTTTTTACAGGGTTGAAGGTTTCACCTCTTGCCTTTTTTGTTTATTTTTGTTGTTGGGAGCTTTCTGTTGATTTTGTAGATCATACCTATTATTTTACGCTTCTGTAAGAAATATACCCCAGATTGGCATCAGATAAATGTAGTCGGAATGCATATGTCATTATATACATGTACGTAGTTGTAGATCACCCCGATGAAATCAATTCGCCACTTTTGTTCTTTTTCTTTCTCTCTTCAAAGTCGGCCTGTGGCGGCGAAACCGATTTCGCTTCATGAGACGTTTTCTTCATCACGACCAGTGTATGTGTCAATTTCCTCCACGTAACTCTCACTCTCTGCGTTGGTTTTTGCTGCCAGTCGCGTGATTGACATAGTAACCTTGACATTTACCACAGCTTAACATGTTTGGTCCCTGTGTTGACAAGTAGCTGTGATTTGATTGGTTGTTGCTATAGCCAAAAAACCTGTGTTTTGTAGAAATTTACATCTGGGTTATAGATCCCATGTCGCATGGTGTGGTTTGCGAGTCCTGCATGTGTTTTTCGTCTTATTTGCAATGTATGTCACCCAGCCTTTGTGTACGGAATGGTTTTGACCTCGGTGGCAGTAGTATATTGGCGAAATTGATTAGCCGTGACATCGTCAATATCTAGGACCCCGATAGATAGTAGTAGAAGTAGCCACTGTTTGATGTTGTAATTTTCAATTTTTGTGGATATGATAACTGTGATCCATTGTCTTTTTCAGCATGACTTTTGGATGATTTTAAAAAGTTGTTGCTTTTGTTTTGTGCAAGAGTCTGAACATCAACAATTATCATTGAACAATTAACATTCATTGATTAACAATCAACAAATGTCTAACACAGCTAACATCTTTTTTTATCCAAAAGAAGAGAATTTGAAACAACTGAAGTTTAATTTGATGTAATAATATCTAATGAAATGATTTTTTTGCAGGAAATGCTTCAAAAGTTTTATTTCAGTTGTCCAGCCTGTAACTGTTTTATGCCGAGTGATATAAGTCTTATTTGTGTTTTAAGTTAATTTATTTATTCATTGAAATATGTATTCATTGAAAAATGTAAACAAAATGTGTGAACTATCATTGATCAATTTTGAAACAATGATCATAAGTTAATGAAAGTACATTTCTGTGCAATGTGCATGTAAAATATTTCAGTGCAAATAATGAAAGATCAAAATGTTGGAATATTTTATAAATAAATCTTTACGGCTTTCAAGAGAAAATTGTTGTAAATATAATCAGTCTCTTGGTCCCCTGAACAGAATATGTTACTAGATCATGCTTAGATGATAGTAACACAGTAAGGCTACAGAACAGACCAATCTCTTGTTGCTATCAAAAGCAGCAACATATTGAGTTTGTAAAAAATAGGATCCTAATTTATTTGGAGAAGCATTATAATCTATTTGGAGTAGCAAGATGCGAAGTTATCCACAGGAGCATTTCGTGGGGAGAAATAAAATAATAGCAATGAATTACTGATGCGTTTGAGAATAAATAATATTCAGTCACCGTTCCAGTTTTTAATTATATATGAATCTGTTTACGGTAAACATTGCCTATTGATGTTTACTGTGGCCACCTGTCTGTGAGCATCCTGGGAAAGAATTCAGCCCTACTCTTGTAAGATTTAGGGATTGAATGGCGCAAATCATTAAGCATGATAGATAGATGGCAATTAAATCTCACCAATGTGGTAAACGTCTAATTCTTGCATCACTTCAGGCGTTCGTCTCACAAAAAGCTGACACGCCATGATATAACTGGAGTACTGTTCAAGCAGCATTAAACCCAACTCACTCACTTACTCATATGACTAGACAGGGTTCCCTTGACCCGACTGTGTTTCACAGGTTGGGCTAGAGCTGCAATGCTGCTGGCTACCCCTCCGCATCCTAAATAAAGATGTCCCCATCCAAGGGATATGGTTGCCCTGCGGGTATAGGTGCGACAATTTGCTATGCAGAGTTATGGCCCTTAGCCATCAGGATCGACTGATTACAGAATCCCGGATTTGTGTTCATTACAATCCTGGGGTGGTGGGGTAGCCTAGTGGTTAAAGCATTAGCTCATCACACCGAAGACCCAAGTTTTATTCCCTATTTGGGTACAATGTGTAAAGCCCATTTCTGGTGTCGCCGGCCATGATATTGTTGGAATATTGCTAAAAGCGGCGTAAAACCATACTCACTCATTACAAACTTTGGTCTGTCTAGACATTATTTGTTTGAAAACGTGGAAATTGCTTCCACAATGTTGTGGTGGGGGAAGAGAGGTCTGATCTGTCCCAGCTTGTCACAATTTTCAAACAAGCTACTAATAATTAAGGCATCAGACACGCTTGGAAGGCCACTAAACATGCATTTTGTAAAGTAACCAGATAGGTTTAACCAGAATTAATATAAATGCATGCATCTTGATTTCATTCACCTCATGTTCATTCGAAGTTGTGCTGTAACCAACTAATTGCATCACTTTGTTTCGACTGCATGATCATGTTTCATGTAGTTGAACAACTCAAAACATAAGATGATCTAATAGTTATTTCAGTGCAAACCATAATTCATTTTACAAATAGTTCTTTAAAGTGTGATCTATCTAAATCGTGATGACTATGCCTTTAAGATTATTTTGCAGACGTTAAGTTCGCAACATTCTCCAAAGAATTGTTCTCATGAAAAAAGGTTAATTTTCAGTTCAAGTTGTAATGTTTTATTCTTGTCTGAACATATATAAATACCTCAATAATGTATATCCTAACAAACTTAAACAAACTAACACTTTTAACAAAAGAAATCAGAAGAAATGCCAATCTTCTGCAATAGAAATTTATATGTTTCCATTGTGTGTTGCAGCAAAGGGAAGAACAAATATAGAGCTCCGGGAGCAGTTTATCCTTGCGGAGGGTGTGAGTCAATCTATGACGGGTTTTGTCCCCAAGACTCCCCCCAGCTCCAACTCCGGTAGTTCCACCTACTCCGGCGGCAACAACTCCTGGAGCAGCCGCTCCCCCAGCACCGCAAGCGGGCCCATCTACAAGGTACAGCACGACCCTATCCAGTCTGTGCCAAACACATTTGAGTCGACTAGCCCGAACATGCCTCTGAGCGCCATTTTCAGTAGAATTTGTTGTTACATGTATTTTACTTTTATTAGTTGAGCTTACTTTTCCAAACAGAATTTAACTAATCAGTCTTCAAACTAGTGGCTTAAGTCCTGTCCTACATATGTATAGATATAGATGAATATACTGTCTCCTCCAGGTTTAGCTAGGTCCCAGTGCCTTTTGCTTGTGCTCCGTGAAGATCCGGGGTAGAATAGGTCTTCAGCAACCCATGATTGCCGTAAAAGGCGACTATGCTTGTCGTAAGAGTCAGGATCTGGTGGTCAGGATCGCTGACTTGGTTGATGCATGTCATTGTATTCCAATTGCGTGGATTGATGCTCATGATGTCAATCATTGGATTGTCTGTTCCAGTCTTGATTATTTACAGAATGCCGTCATGTAGCTGAAATGTTGCTGAATGTGTCGTTAAACAGCAAACAAACAAACCTTTTGCTTGTCATTGGAGGCCTGGGTGTTTTGCCCATGTGACTGTTGAAAGCATGTCATTGTGTCGTATTTGTTTCATGTTATTACATATGATATATTAAAGTCTATTTATTAGTTCTTAGAGTAACATAATTCATAACTGTGTTTTAGATTCGTGAAAAGACACAACACCAATCACCATGGAAACGTGGCAAGACAAGCCCTGACAAGGAAGTGACCCAAATAATGTCGCGAACAGAGACGCCGAAAGGTCGCTATTCGAAAGATCTTCGTAGTCCTAGAAATATCAATAGTCCAGGTATAACTTCTTTCTTTACTTCCTCTATGAACAGAATGGATGAAACTTTTCCGAAATCAGTGAGAACAGCCTCCATATGAGTGATCTACTGATCATGTGACTAGTCACATGATTGGATGCATTCTTTCTTTGGCTTCATTAGGTGATTTTCAAGAATACTAACACATTGGTAGAAATCTTAAGAACTGATGTATATGTAGAATTTGATAATTATGTTTGTAGAGTTAAATGAGAAAGTCATTTTAGTAACTTTAACTTGAAGGTAGAATCTTAAAATTGAGTGTTGCTCATCACTGGATAGGTAGCAAAAAGGTTAAGCTAAAACATAATTAAAGTAGTTTTTATGTAGCTAGTTGCTACTACTAATAATCCTTTCCTAATTTTATAGCAGTTTGATTTATATTTCCTTTCTGAAAAGATTTGCCCAATTTTTCTGCACCCCCATGGGGATTCTAGGTCAGAAAAGATCCCAAGAACCCCATATCCTTGTTTAAAAGGGGCGGTTGGGTAGCCTAGTGGTTAAAGCGTTCGCTCGTCACGCCGAAGACCCAGGTTCGATTCCCAACATGGGTACAATGTGTGAAGCCCATTTCTTGTGTCCCCCGTCGTGATATTGCTGGAATGTTGCTAAAAGCGGCGTAAAACCATACTCACACACTCACCTTGTTTAAAATGACTTAAATAAAGATTTTGTGGTCACAATGTATGACCTGGCTGATTGCCTGTCATCATACCCCGCAGTGATGTTGCTCATACCATCAACCATTGGTTTGCCTGGTCCAAACTTGCCTATTTCAGTCGGGCTGGTTTCTGGTTGACAGTCGTTTTAACACATTCACACACTCACTTTTCTGTTACAGTTAGTAGAAGTTCAAGTCGAGCTAGCACCGGAACAGGAAGTCGTCCACCGAGCAGGACAGGAAGTGAAGCATCGGAGACCAGTGAACCTGATGTGTATTTAACTGGCCACGCTGAGGCACGGAGTGCAGGTGGACGCAACACCACGACGCCAACATACCCTCGGACACTGCAAACACCCCCGCACACACAGTCTCACATACCAACGCCAACCAAAGGATCAAAAATACCCAAATTTTCTCCCCGAAAGAAGTGAACGATGACTTTTCAGACAAGTGATTGAAATGAACACTCTCAATGTCTTTCAGTTTTTGCGTACATTCGGATTCTGAAAAATGTACAGTGTACAGTGTGTTTAGTTTTTTGCATCGATGATTGACAGCAAAATATGCTTGGATGCTAATCAATATGGATGTGCAAAGAAAAAGAATCATGTTTTGATTTTGTCAATTTCGTTACAATACGTCATCATCAAGTGCTGCTTTGTGAATCTCAGTTCAAGGAAGAGTGTCAATTGTGTGACGACGTCTATTGATCATTGGAGGTCTTGTGCTTATCGTGTGAAACTTGACAATGTTACCCCACTAAGTGCTTGATTTAGCTAGAGAAATGAATACCCTGGAACTAGTGTTGTCCTACAGTGTTGTGCTTATAGCTGACATAAGCCACTGTCTAGTGTTTGTCTCAAGACACCCCTGTGATAAAAGTAGAACCACCTAGACAATACAATAGTCTATTCCATGTTAGATTACAGGGGTGTTGAGTATGTAGAGGCCTATAGTCGAGAAGTAACTTATTTAAAAGCTTATACATATTGATATTTAACTGATACAGGGTGCCTAAGCGATGTATATTTCAATGATGGTATACAACTTTTCCTGTATAGATATTTGTAACGATTCTGATAGAATGTTATCAGGTTCAAAATTATTTTTATGCATCCACGCTAAAGATTGTTGAATCGAAAGTTATTGTTATGGATGTTTAAAGAAAATGTTTTGTCGAAGTTGTTGTTTGTGTATACATATTGTTATTAGTGTGAAAAGGTTAGGTTTTTTTCATTCAGTGACACTTTTGCGGTGTTACCGTCACGGTAATTCTTTCATTCATTTCAGATACGTTGTAGATATTTTAGCAACCGAATTTGATGTCGTTTCTCAAATGTTTTCTCTCTGAGTCATTGTTGCTGCAAATTTACCACCTTTTTGTGACCAGGTTGAAAATATTTGTCTTACGATTAAAGTTTGGTTTGGTTTAGCAGTGTGTTCGAGAAAGATAGTGTGTGAGCGTGATATATCATTTTGTATGCTGGTTGTGACTGATTTTAAGCTTCACTCCGTTATTCATTCATGCCGCTTAATTATATGCAGATGTGTATTATATATGAACAACATTTTCATTAGTTTGAACATTGCGTATCGAAGGCTAAGCCGTACAGCCATTAGTCCCTTGGTTTCAATGGTCCTGTTTGTCTCTCACTCAAGGTACTTATTGCTGTTTTTACATAAAATGTAGTCAAGGTTAATTTTTTTATTTTAAAGTAATATAAATATGAGCTGAAAATATTTTGATATCATCTTAAATTATTGTCCTATATATTACTATTATTATGATGTCCCTGGTACTACAATATTGCCGCTGTAACCATTCCCAAATACCTTATGTAGTACTTGGTCCACAGGAATAATTTACTTAACACATGCCATATTCCATGACATAATTTGATAACAATCGCTTCTTGTAAAGAGATGTACGTCGTGTATGAAACGTGCTAACTCTGCATAATATTGAAATGATATTTCGGGTGAATGGGGAAATTATCCTTGCCAGAAAAGCAGAAAATGATTGATTCAAAATACACTGAATAAATATATGAATCTCATGATTTTGTTTGTTGTGAATAGAATAGAAAAATATATATTCTGGGATGGAGATAAGGCTCTCTACACACCCAAGACAATGTGTTTTTCTGGAGAAGTTAATGTTGAGACGTTGTCTGATACTTAGGAAAAGTTGTATCTTCCCCAGTGAGCTGAGATTGGAAGTGGATTGCACACTGGTAGGTAGACAAAGTTATGGTATCATGATTTCGAATCAAAAATTCATTTCTGAATTTGATTCTTGGTCATATTTACCAAACTTGTGCACCTGCCATTTTCTGCCAAAGTTGTAGCATCTAAGACCATTGCTCAAAGAGATCTTGCGATAGTGATAGTCGTCACAACTGTCGTAAGCCCATGTTAAAGTATGGGAGTTCGACCACCTTAACCCTAAGATAGCTTTGTGCTTGTGCTTGTCTGGGCTTTCTTAAAGGTGACATAGAGTTATATAACTGAAACCTACTCATAGCATTAACTCGAGTATGAAACATCAATTTCAACATTCTTTTTTGTTCATATACCTCAAAGCATCAGGTTTATCTCCTCTACATGTAACTCTGCTAGGCACTCGGCAATAAGGGGCTAAAACAAGGACTGATATAGGCTGGCTGTGGGTAAATTACTCTCCCACCAAGCTGCAACAAATTAAAACTACATAATTTTTATAAAAAACTTTATTTGGTCGCAAACAGTCAAAACTACATGCACAAAAAAGTGTAACCGTGGAAGAAAAGGATATATGTATTGGAGTGTTTGCTTGTTTAACACTGCACTCAGCAATAAGCAAGCTATACGGCTGTCTGTAAATAATCAAGTCTTGACCAGACATGACATGCATCGATCAAGTGAGGGAGAAATTTGGACTGCACGTACTACTACTACAACAATTGGAAATACATTCCGCGTATTTCGCACACAGGGTTGCACTTATGCTATTGCGGGAAAAAAGCTTAAAGAATTATTAAAGAAGTGCAACCCAAAATAATATAAACGTTTACAGTCCTTATCTAAGAAAAGCAAGGGGGTAGGGTTTGGCTGGGTGGGAATGGGATGTAATAGGTCAAGCGGTTGAAGGCACGGAGTCGGCTGGCGAGCGTGTGTGGGACAAGGACCCTGGAAACGACAAGAAGAACTTCCCAGCCAGGAGGGTCCTGGCTATGGTCTCTTCTTGGTGGTGAGGGTCCGAAACATCTTGCCATGCAGTCAGCTGGGCGGCTGTTTTGGAGATGTAGGCCGAGCCTGCTTTGACATCACACAAATGAAATAACATGTAATACCTCTATGTATAATGTACATCATGTATATCTACCTTTCATGTCTATAATTATCCATATGTAGATAGTTTGTACCCTACCCTAACAACCCCCCCCCCCCCCCCCCCCCCCCCCACACACACACACACACACACACACATGTACTGAACCATGACCATAGTTGGGCGTGCCCGTGAGCTCATGTAGAGCTCTCATAGGGGGGAGGGGTGGTCCTTGTGCTGATCCAGGATGTGGTCAGCTACCTTCCAAGTCCTTCCGGGGATCCTCCTGCTCACTGGGGACCTCGACCGGGGCGGTCTGGGTGGTGCTGTCGTTTAGCTGGGGGCGTGGTGGTGTATAAATAAACGAAACATATAGGCGGGGCGAAATGGGGTTTAACGTTGCGCTTAAGAAATTGCATTTGTGTTGCGACCTGCATGCTTGTATGTGTGTGTGTGGCTGTTCGTAACTGAGCACTGAGATACAATGCCGCAGTTTAACATGAATACCCTACTCAGATACAGTATACAGACTCCGAAATCGAACCGATGAGTCGTTGTTTTATTCTAGCCGAGCGCCAGGCAGGGAAATAATAAGTACCATCTTAAGTCTAGGGGATCGAACCACTGACCTTCCGCTCTCCGGGTAGCGGCCATATCGACTAGACCACGGAGGCAGTCAATGACGGTGATATCATGTGTGCTCAAAGCGTTTTCGTTATTACCCTGGATCAGAGTACATACTCATTGAAGGACAGTGTTATGTATTGGTGTTAGAAACCCATTTCTTGGTTTGTCAGCCCAATACCAAACAATGACGCCTAAGACCTGCATTTCTGAGGGCATTCCTCTCATATTAAGCTCATGTTGTGATATAACTGCATTACTGTTCAAAGCAGCCTTAAACCAAACTCACTCACTCACTCACATGCTGTCCTAGTCCACAGCCACAGATAGATAGTTGAATGTTATAAACTTTGTATAATATAGATTCCGATGATGAAACCAATAGGATTATCCCTTCTCTGAGGAGATTAGGATCGGCACGAAAACCTCAAGATATGCCATTACTGATTTCCTAATGGCGACCTCCCTTGGGACCTCCGTCGGGGTGATGATAGGTGCCCGGGACATACACTTGTCGTTCGAAGGAACTTTAATGGATCGGGTGGCCAGGCTCTGTGACTTTGTTGATAGTGTGACATCGCACCCCGATGTCGTGGACCATTGTGCATATTAATCACTGGCTTGTTCGGCCCAGGATCGATGATTTAAGGTCGCCCTCATTTTGCTAGACAATTTCCGAGCGTAAGACCCCCCCCCCCCCCCCCCCCCCCCTAAAAAAACAACCACACACACAAAAAGAACAACAACACAAAAACAACAATAAACAAGCAAAAAACAACACCAAAAAAACCAACGAAAACGAAACAAAAAAAACACACATCAAAATGGCACCCACCAGAGAAGTGGCGCCAATTATTCGACGCATTTCGATCGTTTACTTGATAGACTTGCGCCTATGAATCCCAAACATGACACCCACGAAACGTTTGCAATCATATCAGTACGTTGACACCAAGATGAACTTTTACAAACTGTATCATTGACATTTATTTATATGCGAGGGGCCCTTTCAGATTTCAGTTGCCTGCAGTCCCAATTACCCTTGGGAAAACCCGACCGAATGTTCGTGAAAGGAGATTGACCCATTGTTACCCTGTGAATTACCACCGAGCATCTCCTTGACGCCGTATTCTCACGCCTCTCCGTTTCAATGCTGAATAAAATCCCACTAATGTTAGTCGTTCACGTTCACGAAATGATCAGTTTTAAGATCAGACCGATCACCTGTTGACGTTACCAGTTCGAAAGGAAAAACGAAAATTATCCAAGAGGCCACAGGTGAGATCGCAGGTCTCCAGTGCCCCATGTATCTGGATGCAATTTATGACCAATGGCATCCTGGTACTCAGCGGATGAATGTCATATGTCTCTATGGCTCTTTTTCTGCACGACCGGATATTGGAGCCTGAGACTTGATTGAGTCTGAATACATCGCAGCAATACACGACAGTCGGTTTATTCTGATCCACACAGCTATGACGAACCAATAACTTCATTTCCGGAATCGGATTTTGAAACGTCTGGCGTCCAGGAATGGCAAAGGGCTGTATTCATACACGGTGATTGTTAGACGTGTGTCCTGATAGTTGCATAAAAAGTCGTCCTTCCCCTTTACATATTCGATTTGTATGACAGATGTATAGTTTTGTAACATCTTACAATAAGCGTTGGTGTGGATGACCGACAGGTCCTGTGCAAATAAATGCAAATAATACTTTCTTATTGCTCAGTGACGTCATCCTGTCGCCGTGGAATATGACTAATGTAAAACATCACTAACTATGACATATTTTGGAACTGATTTCATACCAACGTTGAGGTTCGTTTATCAATCCAGACCATGTTGATATTAGTTCCTGTAGATCTGGGGATATAGAATTTCTCTATGGAGGCGGTTTCCCCACTTTAAGCCATGTAACGCGCAGATCGACTGCATCAAATCGAGAACCGCCCGTCAAACCTTCAACATGTGCCGTCTGGACAGACACGATATATCACGCCAATCCTCTTGGGGAATGATGCTGATAAACTGGAAATAATATCATTAACGATAATGGGGATGATAATGATGATGATAGTGATAATAATACTGACAATAATAATGCTGCTGCACATTGTATTAGGGATGATTATGGTGATGATGATGATGATGATAATAATAATGATGGTATTAATAACTAAGACGATGGTGATAATACGAATGATGATATACGATGATGGTGGTAAAAAAAGAATATAAAGATGATGATGATGACGTGTTGATGATAATGATGATGGTGATGATGATGATGACGACGACGTGTTGATGATAATGATGATGGTGATAATAATCATGATGATGATAACAACAATCTAGCACAACTTTTCTGTAACAAACTTTTCCAATGAATGCCTGTCCTTATACTTGTGACATATGGAATGGTTTCTGCAAGCAACGTCAAACGCATTGCGTCCACGTTGAGTTTTTTCTCCATATTTTCCAACCCTTCATATTGTGTGTAAAATATCAAGTCTCAAGTCGTATTGACCGTCGCCTAACTCTCACAAGACAAGCCGCCTTAGAACAACTATCGTGTTTTATTCTTGACAGGCCGCACGTAATATGGTTGCAAAATTACCGACTTCGGATCATCACGTATTGCATGACGACAAAGACTACCACACGTCACATGCAGACCATCTCATAATATTTCATAACGGCACAGATCATCACATGTTATATAAAGACCATCTCATATAATTACATGACGGCGCAGATAATCACATATTACATACAGATCATCACATATTACATACAGATCATCACACATCACATGACGGCACAGGTCAGCACATAATATTACATGACGGCACAGATCATCACATATTATATATATACTATCTCATATAATTACATAACGGCACAGATCATCACATATTACATACAAATTATCACATATTAAACACAGATCATCTCATATTACATACAGACCATCTCATATTACGTGACGGCAGAGATCATCACGTGTCACAGAACAACAAAGAGCACCACATATAACGGCACAGATCATCACACATCACATGACGACGCAGATCATCATACATGACGGCACAGATCATCACACATCACACGACGGCACAGAT